TATGTACACAATGAAGTAGCCTCTAGACTTTTGACAAATGGTTCATCTGATGTAGCCACACGTCTATCCTCGTCAAGGCCACAGTTTTCTGATTTCAGACTGATGTAACCTGGTGGTTTATGAAGGGCATTATAGAGTGATTCGTTACCTGCCTGCCGCTCGACAACCCCGGAGACAGTGTCAGCCGTTCCACGATAGAGGTGGCTAGCACGTGGAGGTAGTATATTTTTTTCTCCTTTCCTCCGATGTGTCACCACAGGATGAGTGTTGGTAGGTCGATTTCCGCAGCAGATTGCTGTGAAAAGGTACATGGATGCATGTCATAATATATTATAGACTTCGTCAATACTGCCGACAGGAAATCTAATTTATCGTGTCACATTTTCATCCAGAATGCAGGACTATGAAACATTTTCTACAACAGAGTTGGGAGATTTTCTTTCAAAAGCCCTAGTTCGGCTCTCGGTGACGTATTCAGGGTGGTGCTCAGATCAATCAAACCAGGAATCCGCAGTGTTGATACATCATAAATCGATCCAAGGATGAGCAACAAGCAAGTTCGTCTCAAATCTTCTTCTGATGTCGTAGATTGTCGGACGCCCGTCGTGTTTTAGAGGAGCTGCAGAATGCGCCATGTTGAACATAATTGCTTGGTGACGATGTAATTGACTCTGGAAGACCTCCCTAAACCTACCCCTAGGTCGTAAATTGAACAGTATTCACAAACAAATAGATAAGTAGGAACTGTTGTTGTTTTCATAAATACTTTCATACACCAAAGCTGACGTGCAGTATCGGCCCACTTTCCGTGCGTCGCTGGAAAATACTGCATGTGCCCTGTGGTTCGAATGACTCCATCATTTGATCGTGGAGCTCCCAGAACATGAAAGCTCAACTTTGCTGGCGGCCCAATCTGAGCGGTATAAAGCGACATCCTGCGTTTGTTGCAATGATTAAGCTACGTTCTGGGCCTTGACTGGATACTTCGTGACCAGGGTCGAGCTACGCCACGGAACACACGAGCGTAGCTATAGTATCGCTGTTATAGGTGTATTTATTGGTTCGTAGACACCGCACACAAAACAAAGTACCTGCAGCGGTCCGCCCCACCTCAACTAAGAACAGCATCACACGCAGGCGCAACTAGATGTGTTGCGCCGACCTGGACTGTTCGCAGCTCTGCGTGCTGGATGTTGGTCCATCATGGCCGAAATACAACCGAAAAGACTGCTCAAGGGAGAGCTTTAGTTTCCAACGATTTTTCCTTGCTGATCTGACCGAACAATCATCTTATGGTAACGAGTTGGCTCACTCCCTTGAAGCAAAAAGTTCCTCAAGAGGGCAGCGAATCATAGTAGCGCTCGGAGCGTTGACATAGCGGATCGTCGAACCGTGCCGTGTCTCACCATCCATTGACGACAAAATGCGACGTTGTCCATAGACTCAACCAGGATAGTAGAAATCCGCCGCACTTCCAGTTTCCATCTCCGGGGGTTGCAGTAGTTCGATTGCGAGTTTGAACGGGGTTCAGTAGACAGGAAGAGCACAATCCCACATGGGTCAGTGCGCCCTTAGATCGAACCGTAACTTTCTCTCGTCCATGGTTGAAATCATCTTCATTCACGTTCAAATTAGCTGGAAGGGCGGCCGTACATATGCTAGTTGGGCTGGACCATGCTCACGATTGGTTCGTGGACACGAAATATCTCCAATGCCACCAATGGTGTAGGGCAGAGTGTCGAGACTAAGCCAATTGAATAGGAACTTCGGTCCGGTGACCGTTTATGGCCCGGGCGCCACAGGATATTTGCTGGCCACCATCGTTTTTGGCGTCTCTTGGTGGCCTCGGCTGCACTTTTCGTATTATGAGAACCTGGGATAATGCTCCTACGTAACGCGAAATTGTTGATCACAAACACAAACCTCTCATCTTCAATGAATGCCACAGGCGGCCATAGTCATCACGACGTGGTTTTTTTTTTTTTTTCTTCTACAGACTATCTGAAGCATCTATAGTCGTTGTACATGACTGGTGGCGTGAAATATCACGCAGCAAAACAAATCCATCAACATATTCGAGCTCTGCTCTAAAATGTCGGAAAATCCTTGATGCACAACCTAAATCTTATGTGTGAATTGTCGGTACTTTATCCCTGCTAAAGTATGGGCATGGAACTTGGACTAGCCGCCGGTATTTGTCCTACATGCCGGCCTGAACGCCCGCAAGTTGGCAGCCTACAAGGATTGACTCCTTGATCGATCACAAGTACACAACCTTCTGATAGTCTAGAACTTTTTAAGAAGAAAAAATTGGATGTCCATTTAATATGCGAAGTACCACATAGGCTCTGGGGGGTTAATGATCCTATAGGGACAGCATGCGGCTTTCCTGATGCATTGGACAGTCCGTCGCTGAGTCGGTCATAAATGTAGTCGGTAGAAAATTTACAACCGGTCTTGCTACCAACCTGAATGGTTCACATCATGTTACAGCAGATCGAGAGGGCTTCCATTGAACCTTGACCATCACAGCCCCGGCCCACACAAATAGCTCCCAACTCAGTTCATGTTAGCAACTTCAAAGATGTCTTTGAAAATTGTACGTAGCGTTTGGGGGGTATTCTCATTATGCCGGTTCTCTCACCACGTCAAGCAGTGTTCAGTCAAGTAGTAATAGTAATGCACTATGAAACTTTTGCTCGATTCACCCGCTGGCTGGGCCAAAAGATTCTAGAGGCTTCGTCGAACACGTTAATGCTCCCGACCAGGAGTAAAATTGAGAGTACAGGCATCATCCTCGCTTCGCCCCCGGCTTTTGGGGGTGATTTATCCTGGTCAGTAATATATCAGGTGGCAGCTTCATGCTTCTTTGGACCCTGGCATAAAATGCGAGATACCTGAGCCTTATGTGGCAGATGGCAACCTTTTGTGGCTGCAGCATACCTACATGCATCCCATAACGCAGACTATTCTGGTGAAGTACCGTGATCAGCGCTTCCAGGAGGATGGGCAAGAAGCAAGATGACTCTCCCTGACACTAAAAGAACTGCATTGTAGGCATGATTTACCGTAAATTGGGAGCGAGAAGAGTATGAAGAACCGCTTAAGTGGACCAAATACATTCTCATGTATAATCTCGACAACGACGACCTTACTGCTGACTCTGGTTCCAGACCGACCTGGTCGTGTTAATGCGAGGGAGGAGTTACCAAATTGGCACCTACGCATCGCACATGAAGGGAGACACAATAAGACTACTCGGCATGAGGACATTTAATTTCATCTCATCTTCATAACTGGCACTCCGTACACCGGCGACGTGCCACAGATGACAAGGGCGGCTTCTTGATTAAGCTTGGTGTGCTTCGCTTCGGCGCCTGTCGACCCGAATTTCAGATCTCTTGGATCAAATTATGGGTCCAACTGCCGCCAAGATACGCCGGATCATTAATCCCGACCAGGATGTTGCAGCTTATTCTTTCCTGTCGAAGTTCCCCGCCAGTCGTCTTTTGCGTGCTGGCCGGCGTCTCTTAGCGTTACTGCTTGCCACTGCTCTAAGCGTCACCACCTGTACCGCTTTGCTAACGTTGCACTCACCAATTCAGAAAAGACAAGGTGAGTAGCCAGTCAGCCAGTCACGGACGAACGCTTCATGGAAGCGATCGTTCTAAATACACATGATCCTTACTGGATTATCCATACCAAGTACCTTTGCTACACTGCAATTTTTCAATCTCTTCTAGTGCTCAGTAGCTTGACCGTAACACGGGAATCATAGATATCGTGCGCTTCTCGTCTGCTTGGGACTTTACCTTCCCATTGCTGGCTTTCTTAAGTATGGGAACTACAGAATGTACTCACTATTTAATACAATGAATCTCGCGGTCGTTGTCCATGCCGCATACCCCACACTCTCATGATCGTCGTCCCATGCGCCCCCTCCAACTTCTCCAGATTCCCATCAGGTTAGGCCCTAGCCACTCATCGATGGGACCCCAGTCTCATCCGTGGTCTGCTTACAACCCTGCCACCGGCAGGTCGGTCAGGCAGAGGCGGGTCATATAACAGGTAGGCCCAAGGAAGTCTTCTCCAATACCATTCACACATCAGGTCACTGCCAGACCACCGACATCTGAGCCGTTTCCACCGCTGTATATTGTACTTCAATATCTAAGTGCATAACTTTGATATTGCGCTGAAGCAAAGGAACTCGGTGGTCCAATAAGATTCGTTCAGAGCAACGTGATCCGACAGGAACGTCCACTTCCCCATGTACGCCAAGGCCACACACGTTGTTGATCCGAAGCGGTAGTGAAAAAGTTCAGACTGTTTGGGGATCCTCGTACGCATGCTTCGTCCATATCGGTGTTGACGCTACTTCCTTTGACCCTTTGGTCGTCGATTTTGCTTCCGAATCTAACTCCAGCCCCTGTCTTAAGACCCAAATTATTGGATGCATCACGACACGTTCCAGTGCACCTTCGCATCCGAATAGCGTGGAGCACACCGTCAGATCCAGCCGTAAGTTGATCCCCCTTGCCCTTGTACCCATCTTGCCTCCCAGTCCCGGTGCCCATGCGCGCGCCGACCCCTCCACCAGGGTATCAGCCTCCGAGAGCTAGATGGTAGCTGTGCCTGCCGTCTTTTCATGGTGACCTTGATTCATTGTCACTGTTTTGGATCTACTCAAGCTTAATGGATGAAGTCATGTTCATGCCTTGATACCCTTTGGAAAGCCTTTCGGTCCGGCCTGCTGCCGTGAACCAAACTTCCCGTTATATCAAAGCCACCTATACTTGCACCTCCTCCATTCATATAGTTCGATCCATCGCGCTTCCAGGCACTCCACATTACTAGTTGACAGAGACCACTGTCATTGCTTCAGCCAACTACCACCACTCGTTCGAAGCTGTGTACCAGCTCGAGGACCGAAGGCCCATACTAACGCATATCACTTGTTAGCTTTCCTAGTATAGGGGCGCCTAATCCCAACAGCGAAAATGCTGTCAAATCCCCTGCAACGATTCTCACCATACCACGCACTTCAGTCGAGCACATATCTCTCGAATACCCACGTCCCCACAAATCACCTCCATGGAACTGGACTTGATGCTTTTGGTCACGGCTCCCAATATGCTGTACAGCATCTTCAACAACATGTGGGCATGTCCGCACCCCATCTTTCAAGAGCACCTCAGCCTAAACATCGACAACACCCTTACGGAGGCCCAGCAACTAGGGCAGCTGGACCCGCCGGGCCTATTCGTAGGAGAATCAGCAGGGCTTGCGATCAGTGTAACCAGCTGAGAACCAAGTGTGATGGACAGAATCCGTGTGCACACTGTATAGGTAGAGTCCCACAACCTCAGTGTGTTCAAGATTGTAGGTGTTAATTTAGTGCCACAGAATTCGGTCTGGGATGTGAGTATATTCGCGAGAGGAAGAAGAGAGGCAAAGCATCCCGCAAAGATCTAGCACAACAAGCCGCTGCACAGGCCGCGGCAACGGCTCAGGATGGGCAGAACTCTCCTGACCGAAATGACGAGGATGACTCTTCTGAACAAAGGGCAACCCAGACAGCAGCAACGCAGGACCAGCTTTCGAACGCGAGTGAGAAAGGCCTCAGCGATTTCACTGAGGATGCTATGGAACAAAGTCATACAACAGCCAACCTAGACAGCTTAGCTGAGTTAAGCTCCCATCAACCACATCTGGTAAGCAACATATCAACACTAGAGAGGGATCCACTCGATAGCCCTACATCATTGGACTTGAACCCATTCGGGGGTATGCAGCATGCCTACGATAGACAAGACATAGGGGCACACTTGATGGCTGGTTCCGCTCACAACTTTGGCTCCAGCCAAGCTGCTCTCTCGAACTATCCCGATATTCCTTATGGCCTCCATACCCATAATTCGAGCAACTACGCGACCAACGCCGCGGCGGGGTTCAGGATAGGAACCAGTCCTATAAGTGCGTATCCCATTACCGGAGAGCCAGCATCGCCAAAATGGATTCCTATGGCATCTCCGCCACCCCAGTATCAGTCCTACATTCCTCCGCAAATCAATTACCATCAGCAATCAAGATATCCAGTACTGAAACCTCTCATACCGCATCTTGGTAGCACCATCCCTGTTTCGTTGGCTTGCGACTTAATCGACCTCTACTTTTCGAGCTCTTCGTCGGCTCATGCCCATCCGATGTCACCTTACGTACTCGGGTTCGTGTTCAGGAAACGCTCATTTCTACACCCAAGTAAACCGCGACAATGCCAACCTGCGTTACTAGCCAGTATGTTGTGGGTAGCGGCACAGACAAGTGATGCACCATTCTTGTCCAGCGTTCCGTCAGCTCGGGGAAAGATCTGCCAGAAATTACTTGAATTGACCGTCAGTCTTTTGAAGCCCCTAATACATACTCCTTCCGGAGAAGCATCTCCCGCTTCGAGTCCCGTCATGGATGGTGTGGCTCTCGGTGGACTCGGCGTTGCACTACCAGGATCGTTGAGTCTGGAGAACGTGACTGGGGAATCTGGCGCTTTTGGTGCAGCAGGTAACCTCGATGACGTTGTTACATACATTCACCTAGCTACGGTTGTGTCAGCCAGCGAGTATAAGGGCGCAAGTCTGAGATGGTGGAATGCCGCTTGGTCGCTCGCCCGGGAATTAAAGCTCGGCCGCGAGCTACCACTTTCTCCACCCCCACAGAGCGATTCTGAGAACGGCAATATTGGTACAGTTGATGGACTTGGCAGTGGGCCTGAAGCCGCTACAGAGGAAGAGCGAGAAGAGCGCAGGCGGATCTGGTGGCTTACTTATATCATGGATCGACATCTAGCACTGTGCTACAATCGACCCCTGTTCCTTCTCGACATCGAATGCGAAGGCCTCCTGCAGCCCATGGACGACACGGAATGGCAAAACGGTAACTTTGAACCAAGCACTACAGACCCGGCCTTATCTGAGGAGCGTGTAAGGGGCCCACACTTTCAATGCACTGGGCATTCCATTTTTGGATACTTTCTACCATTGATGACGATTCTAGGTGAGATAGTCGATCTCCACCATGCCAGGAATCACCCAAGATTTGGGATCACCTTTCGTTCTGCTCCTGAATGGGATGGTCAAGCGGAGGAAATCAGACGTCATCTTGAGGCATATGAGGAGAGCCTTAAGAAATTCGAACAACAACATTTTCACGTGCATGATGAGGACAGGAGCACTCCTTCGATAACATTGGAGATGCCTGGAGAATTAGATCGCATTGGCTCCCCTTCGGCACGTTCTGTTCGTACAAATTCGTCGCGGATGACCGAATCAGACATCCAAACGCGTATTGTCATGTCTTACGGAACTCACGTAATGCATGTCCTCCATATTCTGCTAACAGGAAAATGGGATCCGATAAATCTGTTGGACGACAATGACCTCTGGATCTCATCACAAGGTTTCATCACAGCTACTGGCCATGCAGTTTCGGCCGCTGAAGCAATTGGCAATATCCTCGAATACGACCCGGGTCTGGAATTCATGCCGTTCTTCTACGGCATTTACCTCCTGCAGGGCTCTTTCTTGCTGCTACTCATTGCGGACAAGCTTCAAGCAGAGGCGTCAGCCAGCGTAGTTCGAGCATGCGAGACGATCATTCGTGCACATGAAGCATGCGTGGTCACGCTCAGCACAGAGTATCAGGTATTCTAATCCTCATCATTTTCCGGAAAGATATGCTGCTAATTCCGCGACAGCGAAACTTCAGTAGAGTAATGCGCAGTGCTCTCGCTCAGGTCCGAGGTCGCGTACCAGAGGATCTAGGCGAGCAACATCAACGCAGACGAGAGCTTTTGGCGTTGTACCGGTGGACTGGTGACGGAACAGGTTTGGCGCTCTAGGCCAATAATTGTGATCGTTTGGCTGTGTTTCCGTTTCAGGTTCGGAAAGGAGTTCGGTCTTTGTATCGGTCAAACCATGGATGGTCAAAAGGAAATCAAGGATGCTTTCCTCGGCAAAGAGCATTGGTTTGAGGTATATACCAAGATTATTGGGGCTCTTTGAGCAATACGGGGCTGCGAATTAGGGTCGAAGTTGCTGCTATGATTTTGCTTATACCTATACCTATCTAGACACGTAGATACTTTTGATTTCATATCCGTTGGCACTCCATGAGTCAGTGAGTTGTACAACGCATCCCAAAATTGATACTGCCTATATGTTCAGTGGTCTTAGACTCCGTTGAATAGCTGGTACCAAGTAGATAGCCAATGAGATGAGAGAGTGAATGCAGGCTACGTAAGCGCTAGGTTTCTATCATCCCTGAGGAAGATAATATTAGCCAGACGAAGTTACCACATAATATTTCTGCTTCAGTTGTATCTGTCACATATTGGTATTTATGACGTGGTGAATCGCTAATGAAGAACAGTATTTTCTGTGCAGTCAGCTTTTTAGTCTATTGTGATATTATATTCTCGCCACACAGCAAAGAAAAGGCAATACGAGAGCTATGGGGCTTGCCAAATGCATGCGATTTTTATGACCACATTTCAATAGTCGAATTCAGTTTGGTATACATTTTGCTGGCCTATTTGTCGACTGTCTGGGAGACTTATTGCCTTATACTATCTAGAATATAAAATAATGGACATTTTTGCGAGCCATACCTAATTCGCGGCACTGCAGCTGCGGAATCCTGAAAAATAAAAACGAAAATGAAAAGATACAGAAATAGAGAAAAAGGTGAGATTGCCTTGGAGAAAGTCTGGATTATTATGATAGATTGTCAAAGCACGGTGGTTTTGAGATGCTCAACCCGGTGAAAACTTTTGAGCGAGGTATGTCCTTAGTTACATATGAAAGATAAAATATATTGCATACTGTAACCTTGCCCTCGTCGTAAACTGACACAGTATCTGTTTCGATCGCATCTACAAGGGCTTTTGTCTGTGTCATCAACTTTATCACTACTAGAAGTCAACATGTCTAACATCTCCCTCTGTTGAAGCTGATCGATTGTGGCAAGCGGAGATTTTGTATCAGCCATATGCAGCGAACAGTACATCACTTTGAGCTACATCGGAGCAGAGAAGTACAAATAACACAAAAGAGTAGATGATAAAAGCCCTGATAGAGTTACGACTTGCGGTCCGTCAACAATGCTACCATCAGCTATTGGAGACACTATCTACAAATTAGCCGGTATTGCGTAGAGAAGCATGACTTATCATACAAGTCCAATCTAATATAGGAAATTGAAGAAAGATCTAAGGAAGAGCTGAGTTCACGATCAACTAAGGCTGCCGGCAACGGTCCTAGCCACGAGCTTTATAGAATGGTAGATAGCTTACGGAAGCCTCAGCCCATAATCGTCGTTCAGGCGAAAACGTGTGTAAAGCTCCAAGCTAACTTTGCGGCGGTGATATTTCATGAACAATGGACAAATGGTTTCATCATGTTTGTATTTTGAAAGAGGTGTGACTAGCATACCCTCTTCTATGGGCCGTTTGTAAAGGTAGATACTGCTATTAATGTTACGAGGTAATGAGTATGCAATTATTCTGAAGTCCAATTTCCTGTCCATAGACATGATACCCTCGATAGAGACACAATCGAATATTCCTAATTGCCATATTTCGTAGGCGACCTCATTTCGGAGTATAGCTGGCGAACTTTAGTTTATGAAGAGAACCGTCTGGATGCCATCAGTTGTGTGTTTGGGTAATACCGATCCATAGAGCAACAGGACTGGAGTCACTGGGGCTTACCTTTCACATATCACAGCCACATCTCTTAGAATGAAAATCTAGACGCAACGTTCTCGGGGGCTCTAAGATGATTCAAGTGGATGATACCACCGTCGCTATGATTGCTGGCATATTTTCAAGCTGGTCTAGGCTCTGGAGTGACCAGTTAACAGACTGTCTAACTGGATTAGAGCCACACATGAATAATGTCGTGGCAGATTAGATAGTACGTATTAGAGGTCTCAATAGAGACTCCAACGATTCACATGTATAGAGGCTGGGGTGGGTGGTGATCAGTCATTGAGGGTTCAAGGGTTAGCTAAGGGAGGTTGCGTTATCCTAATACAATAAATCTAACTCTGTATAGTCTGACATGATTCAATTAAATTCACACCATTTTCTTATAGGGTATCGGAGTGATCGTTGAAATAAAAGACATATACATACAGTATATGCAGTTGAACAGTTGTGGATAGGAATCACGAACCCCACAATTGAAGGCGCTTGTACATACAATTGATTACAGGGGACTGCATGGCTAGCAACAAACGGTAGAGCTGCTTGGAGCAAAGTCTCCGCCATCCAAGCCGGGGACTCACAATAATTAGATACATTGTAATGTTTCTGTTTTTGTTTTTACAGGGCTAATAGCAGCTTGTCATGCTGGTGACATCAACTTATTTTACTTGTAATGATCAATTGTTCAAGGACTTTCGCGGTCTGTGTAAGTGAGTCTGTGTACTTTATAGGGATTCTGTAATATTGATACTCAGCGACGGCACATGGCCGGCCAAATTCAACTCGTGATCCTCCAGAAGCTTTTATCAATCTCGATGTTCGAACGCCCAGTGCTTTATAACTTAACATCGCCCCAGCGGAGGCGAGGCCTTAGCGACATCAGTTAATGCCTTGTTACGCCTGGTTCAGTACAAACGTCAGCAGCTCAATAGACCCCTCTGTTGCACATAATCGATTGCCTCGCTCTTGGCACATACCGGTACTATGACGAAATGATCCTACAACGTGCTTCCCGTCAAGTTTCATGATTGTACGCGTAGAGAGAAAATTGGAAATTGTTTATGGAGCTTCATCAGGGGTTTTAGCTGCTTGCATGAAACTCTATGCATGTGACCCCAAATGGTTATGTTCCCGTGCATGTGGCTTAAAGGGACCGTCCTCTTAGTAGTGTGGCCATTCTAATGCTCGAATGCCAGGCACAAATGCTGCAAAGTAGAAGGCAACGTACTAGACTATAATCGCCAATTATATCGACATTTGAAGCGGTGAATGAGATTCGAAATGAACTGTCTGTACTACAATTACCGGCGCATCTCCGACGAATCTACCAGTGTGCCACTCCAAGAAGAGAATGAGCCTGCGAGATGCACAACCAAGTTTCCCTGCTTTTAGGATCATCTCCCAAAACGCAAGATGCGCCCACCAACGTCACTGCGTCGTCTTCTTTCCCCGCAAATATATGCAGCCTTTTGGCAAGGTGCATAATAGTGCCCGTGATTCTACCCCACCAATACATGAGTACAATTCAAGCACGAGCAGTCTACTTTAAAACCGTATGAGATCTCGTGATTTACATATTTTTGCCTCCTACATCATTCTTGCGCAGGAGCTAAACGATTTAGAACCCTTTCAAGAACTATTGACTATAGCAATTGACGGTCGAACAATTATCCAACATGGAGCGCGTTCATCAGAGTATGTGTGTCTATGTTCATTAGCATAGCATCCATTGTCTTCTTGCGAAGAGGTTTGATGAACCAGGTCTTGCTAACAACATTTTGCAGTCAACCCGTTCTCTAAGCGCGATTCTCATGATAAGAACGCAATTCTCGCCTATAAAGTTTTCACCACCCTTACATGGATCTTGTCAATCGCAGTCACGTTCTACTATACCTTCAGTAGGCCTCACGATGGCTCCTTCTCTGGACACACAATATGGGAACAGAATGATCTTCATCTTACAGCTTTCCGTTTGAACAAGGTTATCGCTAGTGTTTACTGGTAAGCAGTTGGTATTGGGCGTTGATGACGTTTTACAAGACTACTTACCGATTGCAATTATCAGGATTGTTCTGTTCATCCTTCAGGGTGGTTATATCGCCCACCTCTTCTCCGCCAATGTTGACACGCTCAACGCCGCCGCCGCCGTCGGCAGTCACTTCATTCTCAATAATCTCTTCCAGTTCGCGTTTGTCATGCTTTTTGTGCGAAGCTATTTTGGCTGGGCCGAGTTGATTCTCATCCTCAACTTTGTTAATTTGACATCGCTCTACTTCCGCCACCCAGCTTATGCTCGGTTTATTCATGAGGCTGTAGTCTCAGGCCCGCTCGCATGGGCTTTCGTGGCCATCTACTGGAACGGAGCCATCATGGTGCCACATGCTGCCTCCTTGGTCGCTCGAATCTTTGGCAACGTCTTTATCTGGTCGATCCTTGTCTACGGCTTGTTCTACATTGTTGCGTACAAGGTAACGACTGCCGCTAGTTCATGCATGACTTGTACTAACTTGGCCGCAGGATTACACCATGGGTTTCAACCTCAGCGTCCTCTCAGCAGCTATCGGTGTCAGCCAGTTCCTCAGACAATTCATTGCCTTCCAGTGGATCTTCGCATTTACCATCATGGCCACGCTCTTTGTCGCTACCGTTGGTGTTGCTGTTCCAGCTGCCACTGGCAAGGATTTCGGCTGGCGGAGACAAGTGGAGGCCGACACCGAGCGTGCGCCTCTTCTCCGCGACGAGAACAACTAAAGCATTATTACGGATTTGCTTTGAAGTTGTTTGCTTCGCTGTGCTACCAAAGTGATCTCGCGACAACTCGTCTAATCCGTTACGCTTAGCATGGTTTCGATATCCTCCCCAGCTCATCGTTTTTTTGGTCCGTTATTGGCTGAATTTCTTGCATGTCTGGACACGGCGTTTAGGATTGAGTGAAAAGGCAGGAGTTCTTGTTCAGTGGCGCCCTAATGCCCCAGTCTCTACCTGGTTCTTAACTATGGGGTCGACCGTGGAAAGAGATTGTAGCGGATATTTGAATTGCTTTTAAGAAAAAACTGAGATCGAATTGAAAATTATGGAATATTTTAACTGCAAAGAAGATGTGATGTACAGGATACTATGAAGGTGATTGCTGGGAGTGCTGGTGCAATTAATGACTTCCCAATTGATACCCGCTGAGACTAGCGACAACAGAAGTTTTTTGGCACTCACTGCTCGAAGTACACACTGCTTGAAGTACACTCGTAAGACAAGGCCTCAACACCTCGACTCTCACTCGTGTTATCATATCAGACCCGAAAATGGCGAATTGCGGCTCCATTCCCATGGGGCTTGGACACGACATCTGCCATATTCCAAGAATTTACAGAATCCTCACCTCGAAGCGCGGACCCAGGTTCATCGAGCGCGTACTGACAGAGACCGAGCGACGAAAGCCCAGGCCCACGTCAATATTTGAAGTTGTCTTCGCGCACCAGGGAAAGATTGCATCTCAGAGTGAGGGAACTACGTCGTCGGCGACGTCCAGAGATCCCAGATTCTGGAAAGCTGCCGAGTACCTGGCGGGCCGGTGAGTCGCGCCGCCTCTCCTCTCAACCACGCTAAAGCGACTGTAGAGCTCTGACACAAATCATAGATTCGCAGCCAAGGAAGCTGCAATAAAAGCCTTTCCCCACCACAGACTCAATTTTGAGAACATACAGATTGTCAGCAATCCTGGTATATTGCGAAGTGCAAAAATGAATGTTGCAGAGGGCCCGAAGCATGAGGCTAATCCAGAATTTGGGTCGTCGCCGCAGCTACTTAACAACAGCGGCCCTCCCACCGCGGTAATACGTATCGAAGGGACTTCACAGATTTTGAGTGCAGCGCTGAGTATCAGCCATGATGGAGACTATGCGAGCGCGGTTTGCATGTATCTTCCTGTATCGGCAGCGACTACGACGAAGTGTTGAAGCTAATATGGAGGTGTGCTGTATATTCTGTTGTATGTACATGACTGCAGCTAGACATTGTAAACACATGTCATCAGATAAGCTTGCCATGAGAATGACACACTTTGTTTGGTCTTTGCAAATTGAACGTGTAGAATACGACACTGGCTTTCGTTTCCATAGAAGAAAAAAGAAAGAAAAAAGGCTCAAGCCTCGTATAACAGTGGTGTGACTACTAAGAGGACCACTCACTGCTGCCCTCATGGATCAATTGCCGATTTACTTGAATATCGTTGAGCGACCAGTTGCATTTCCGTCGGAGTTATCTCGCCGCCTTCCCGTGTGGACATGGTATGCAAATGAAGTAATGGTACGGTCGTTGCATTTGACGTAAATGTGAGCATTCTCGTGCAGTCTCGCTTGTGTGGAGGTGTTTTGGGAGATGGTACACGATGTCGCGCTGCGCAGGGTAGAATTCGGGGAATCTAAACGTACAATTCCATGTGTATTGTATTGCATTAACAAACAAAATTGCCACAATTGGCCGTTTGGCGCAGTAAGTAGCTTCCCAGCTTTCAAGAAATCTGAAGGGCCCCAATTAACATCTCCATAGATGGTAGCGCGTGGACCTCCTATCAAGGCTTGTCCAAAGATAGTCCAAGGTTGCGGGTTCGAGTAAGTTAGAACCGAACACACATGTCCGCAGACAACCCACTAACATCTGTAAAGGTCCCGTGATGGTCGATGGAAAACATAACCATTAGTTCCTGTAAACAGGGATTTCTCTCTTTTTGCAACTGTTTTCTGGCTCCTTTTTCGTCACAGCACCTTACCTCGACTCCGACTGCACTCCGTGGGTTGGTTGGTTGCTCTTGTCGAGGTTGCCAATAGCTTGGGGCTAGGTAGCCATTGCATATCTGAGAGCCCTTTTTTGATTTGATTTTTCCATACCAATTTGTCCTTCCTGAATCTGAAAAGCCTGGACAACTACCTATTTCTTAGTCTAGTTCTAATATTCAGCACAATCTGTCACTCAAGCGACTGTCTTCCCCATTCCAGCCAGGATGTCTAGTGGAGGGTGTGCAGGAGCTGGTCCACTAAACTTTTGCGACGGGCGCGTCCAGCAGCAGCGCGATGCGACGTGCCGCCGAGCCTCAACTTGCGCCAGTTGACTTTTGATTCTGTACATAGCTTAGACACCGCGTGGTCGTATACACCTTTTGTTTGCTAGTTCGATTGTATACTCAGAGTAGTTGCCACAATGGCGACGGACGCAGATACCCCAAAACGGGATCCAACGCCCAATGCAACAATGAACCCCCCAGCCGGCAGCAATCCCAACTCTGCCACTTCGCTGCCTCAGAAACGGGCACTCGAAGACGACCATGTGCCTGCCGTCTCGTCGCCATTGAACCCGAACCCAGAACCCAAACTTGCCAAGACGCAATCCCATGATGACATACCAGCCATGGCCCGAGAGAAGCGTGCCAAGAAGGAGTCGCTCAAGAAGCGCGAGAGCAAGGGCGTCACCATCGCCGAGCCCGGGAGCTCGAGAGCCACACCAGAGCCCAGAGGCAGGAGCAGCAAGGAGGCACCCCCGAACGAGTCGTCGCCTCTGCGCTACAAGCTAGCACCGCCAAAGCCGTCCGACTTTGAGCCGGCTCGGGGCCCTGTCTTCACACATCACCACAATGTGCCCGCACCGGACGGGTCTGCGATCGAGTTCCACGAGATCTCGGAGCAGTGAGTCGCATGTGCAAGTTTTGTGTCGCAGAAGGGTTCTAACCTGCAATCAGTGTCTACAATAAGAAGAACTTCCACTACCTGCATTGCATAGCTGATCCGGCTTTCCCTTCATCCTTCTACTATCGTCAAACGGAGCCCGAACCGTGTGGCGCGCACATCAGCTTCGAGGATGCCGCAACACACATGTTTCTCGACCAGTCGGGGAGGCATATCACCACAGACAAGGGATATCGAATGGCGAGAGCGAACGTGGCCGTACGGCAAGGCAGGTGGTATTGGGAGTGCAAGATCACCAGAGGCACATTGAAGAGGGCCGAAGGTGCAAAAGTCGAGTCACATGGGCACGTACGTCTGGGGTTTGCTAGACGAGAAGCTTCCTTGGATGCCCCTGTCGGCTTTGATGCCTACAGCTACGGCATCCGAGACGTCGAGGGCGAGAAGGTGCACATGTCGCGCCCGAAAGCCTTCTTTCCACCAGGCGAGGACATTGCAGAAGGCGACGTCATCGGACTGGAGATACAGCTGCCTTCGGAGCAGCTGCATCGCAAGGTTGTCCAGGGTCAATACAACCCAGCAGTGGATCTTACAGACGACGATGGGCCCACAGCCGAGGGACCAAACATTGTGCGCGATCGCATCCCCATCCGCTTCAAAGCACACATCTACTTCGAGAAGATCGACTACCACAGCACGAAAGAGCTCGAGGACCTCATGAATCCATCGCCGGTTGGCGCATCTGGTTCGGCTAACAATTCGTCGGACACGCCAAATCCTCTACACCCCGTGCCCGCACTGCGCACACTCCCGAACTCGTCCATCAAAATCTACAAGAACGGCGTCCTAATGGGCACACCCTTTACGAATCTTCTCGCCTTCTTACCGCCGGCGTCAAAGCCACAAGCTCAAGTTGGCGCCCGAGACGGTCTCGACGACGGCATGCTCGGGTACTACCCTGCCATCAGTGTCTTTAGAGGCGGCGCAGCAGAGGTTAACTTTGGGCCTGACTTCTGGTACCCTCCCCCTGGCTACTCGCCCTCATCGGGGCCCAACAACGAAGATGTGGAGATGACGGATGACTCGGGTAAAGTGGCCGACAATGGACCCGCCTCCCGGGACAAGCTCCAGCCCATCGAGGACCGCTATACCGAGCAGATTGTCGAGGACATCGTGGCGGATATCGTGGACGAGGTCGACTTCTGGATGCAGGACGGCGCCAAGGTCATTGACCGGACGGGTGGCCGCGACGAGAAGGCCGACGTCAGCGTGGACATTGCGCCGGGCAGAGAGGAGATCAAAGAGCTGGTACAGGATGATTAGGGTCGTCTCGTATCATCTGCCATACCCAAACGGATACGAGAGCTCAGGGCAGCCGACGAAGGGCGTTCCCCCGAGAGAGATGTGTTCAGAGGAACGCCCATCCTTCCGAGTTCACAGACGACGTAGATCTGCCTTCAAGGTCGTGAATAGAGAAGAAAAAAAAGCCAGGGCGCCTGCGGGTCAGTATACCTTACCATCGGCTATGGAGGAATGAGGAGTCATTGGCGTCTAGACGTGCACAATTTAGCCAGCGGAAGGGCCGCGAAGTCTGAACACGAATGAAACTACTCGTTCCGCGATTCGAACGAATGTTTTGCCTTTTCGATCAATGTCCTTGTTACTTTTTTGCATCGTACAATGACAGGATATATAAAACAAACTTCTCGAAATTGCCCAAGTGTTGTTGTAGGATTAATATGGACATCCTAGATTGCGATGATGCTTGGTAGGATGGGAAACCAGATCCGCAAGGTTCCGGTTGACTGGTTTCGAGCAAGTGTCACAATTTGTCACGAGGCAATGCATGGTAAGTTAAGTCCGCTCGCATAGATCCTAAAACACATTCTGATATTGGATAATGTGTTTGATGACATACTCGAATGTCATCGTTTATTAATTCGCAGGGGAAAATATGGAATAAGAGGGTTGTGCTCAAACACTATGGGTTTGTTACACAGCCCTCGTTTTTGCTGGTGTAAATGCAATAAACTAGGTGCAGCTTGTACCGCGATCGTTTTATTACTGTCCCGACCGCTCGCGTGTCATCCTTGTGCCGCGCAACTAATCACATTGCAGAAAGGGGTATCAATACAATATCATAACTCATCATCATTTCCTGCTGGCCGACACGGGCACAGGTTTTCGCACCGGTGATGCCGACTTTGTCCTCTGAGTGTTAGCCCGCGGTATTGGCAAAGTCTGGCTAGTCGTGCCCTGGCCAGGCGCCGGCAACTGGGGATCATCAGGCAGTTCCTCGACACGGTCGATTCCATTCAGAGGATCGTCATTGTCTGCAGCCTCCTTCTCGAGTCTTGTTTCACGGCCACGCTTATGACAATACCAGAGGCATGAAAGAAGCAAGAACACCGCCACACTCCATAGCACGCTCGTGCCCATGAAAGCAGGCCATCTCGTTTTGAGAACGTTTACAATGCTCTTCAACAAGCCGGCAACGGCACCAGGCTTCGTGACCAGATCCTGAAGACTCTTGGGCGAGAGGAAGCTCTTGGCAGCACCCTTCAAACCGCCCTTTGCCGCGTCCTGACTATTGAGACCTTGCGCCTCCGCAGCTACAGCCAAGAGCTCAGGGGCAAGTGTCGACGACAGCTTGGTGGGTAGCTGTGTGACTAGCTTCTTGAGCGACTTGGGCAGTTTCTCGTAGTTCTTAGCAAGAATGCCGTCACGGTCCTCGAGAAGGTTGACGAGGTCTTGGTATGCGGTGGGCGCTCCATTGACGATGTCCTTCAAGACCAGGTTAAACTTGCGAACCATCTCGGTGGACTCAGCCGAAAGGGAGAAGACCTTGTTGTTCTGAGCCGATAGATTCAGGTCGTCGAGAACTTTGCTGATGTCTGTCTCCTCCCTCTGAATCTCTTGCTCCGGAACAGCCGATGAGTTGGGCGCCAGGGCGCTGTTTGCTGTGGGCTTTTTGCGCAAGGATATCGAGCGTCCAAGGTTCGTAATGACCGAAAACCGGCTGTTTGCAGGTTTAATTACATTTTCCTTATTTTGGCCCTTGCCCTTGCCCTTGCCCTTGCCCTGGAGCTTCTGGCTCTCTGCGCTCTCGGCATCACTATCCCAGTTGAAGACTGGTGTAGGAACGCGAGGAGGCAATGGAGGTGGAGGACCTTCGTCGTCGTCGTCACCTAAGCGGCCATCTGGAGATGTGAGGCGCTCGAGAAACTTCTCATCTTGCTCGGTGAGTAGAGGAGTACCAAGAGGCTGGCCCGCAGGCTTGGAGACCATGGTTGGGCCTGTAGGCGTTGAGGCGCCCTGGGGTTGGGGTGACTTGGCGGACTCCGCTTCTTTTGCGAGGCGCTCCCTCTCGTCTTTCTGTGTGCGGTGCTTCTTCACCTTCTTGTAAGTGAAGTACTCAAGCATGTTGGCGGTAGTGTGTGGCGGTCTCTTCAAGGTGGGAACCTGAGATTAATCCAGGTGCTGTGCAAATTTGGGAAGGAAGGGATATTGTCAGAAGTGTGGAGGGTACGAGGAGGTAGGCCTGGACCGTGTTTTATGTGAGGCGACACGTCAAGATCGCTTGCAGTCTGGCTGGTCTCCCCCGGGAGGCCTTCGCCCGTCCAGCCAACCGTCCCGTCAGCTTGTTTCGCGTTCGAGTTCACATGTCGCTTAACCGTCGTCATAGTTGCACTGCCACTGTCACTTGTGGCGCGAGCTTTGAGCGAGAAATAGAGGGGTTGAAGGAGGGCCTCGAGAGGGTCTAGACCGGGATGGCAGCGGCAAAGTGCCGACAGGAGCTACTTAGTCAGTATGTAGATTATCTACCCCACCGTGGGGTCGTTGGCCATGCACAAGTAATATGCAACGTGTTGTGCAGCTCTTTGTGCTGAAATCAATCTACGCGACAAACGCAAGATACGTAACTTACGGGGAGATAGAGAGTTCAGCACTTTCCGACGCGTCTCGCAACGCACAGCAGTTAATGTTAATAGTAGCAAACATATTCTCCCCGGGACACTACGGTCTACAGGTTTTGTAGATGCATGAGACTCAATCAGCCATTTTTAATCTTCAACGCGATCCTCCCGCTAAGCAGACATCATGGACGGAGGCATAATACCACCAGACTACGATGACAGCAATCGGGCCTTCCTACAAGCACTCATGGCCCGGGGCACCATCACATACCGTGAAGCCAAACCAATTCTCGCCAACATTCTCACAGCACAGCACGATGCCGACGAACGCGTCGATCCAAGCGAGTTATCACAAGAAGTCTTCGCCGCTTACATAGCTGCAGCCCAAGAAGCAGTCTCCCATTTCGACTATGAAATCCGCAACACTCTGCACCAAGTTCGTAAAGAACGTGTCTATGCCGTTGTGAACACAACCTCGGATGCCATGACCCAGCTAGCCACCTTACATACTCCGGACCAGATTGCCTTCGTCAAGAGGGTTATCGATGCCATGTTCGAGAACTACAACACCCGCCGTATGGAGGTCATGTCCATCGACAGTATGCAAGCAAACAAGTTCAGGCATGCCCCGAGGCAAGACGCCGACGAAAGCGTGGTCGTAGACGGAGAGGAACAGGCACAAGCTACACAGGGTGGCGTCAAGAGTATCAAGACATCCGAAGTTTCAGCTGTCCTGGCGGCACTGGTGGAAGAGGGCTGGTTTGAGAAGAGCCGAGACGGATTCTACAGTCTTAGTCCTCGAGCGCTGATGGAGCTTCGCACGTGGCTGGTAGATGCATACAACGATCCCGACTTGGGTCCGGATGATTGGCAGCGGATCAAGTTCTGCGAGGCCTGCAAAGAGATCGTCACAGTGGGACAAAGATGTGCAGACCGAGACTGCAACGTCCGTATACACGACATATGTGAGGAGGCCTTCTGGCGGACCAGAAGGGACAAAGCATGCCCCAGGTGTTCCACCGCATGGTCAGGGAAGCATTTCGTAGGGCTTAAAGCAGTCACTGAGACAGAGGCTTATAAGCGTGGCAATAGGAGGACAGGTGGTCGTGGATCCCTCATGGAGGAAATCATTCAAGACGAAGACGGCGAAATGGATGAAGAAGACGAGTAAAGTACACCTCAGTTCCGACAGAAGAAATTGGAGCGAATCATGCATGATACGCGGCGTTTGAGAGGTCAGAGCGATAAGCATTGGCAACCAGCCTTTCTGCCTTGGGACAAACAAAGGTAATGAGTTAATCGACACTAACAAAACCATTCCACCTAAACATCTGGACCACCTTGTCAACTATTATTCTGCTCTCGTGGCCACAGTCTCATATCCTGCTAAGTCGTCTCAAAGCACTCGCCAACCATTTGTTTGACCGTTTCCAACGCATCATGCATTGACTCGTGTACGTTCAATTCAAAATACCGTGGCAAGCCCTGGCTTTGTTCAGTGAGGAGCGCTTGGATATTGGTCGCGTCAAGTTCGGAAGGACATCTAGCCGGGGGGCCAGTGGTAATGCTTCGTAACCTCTAGCTCCAGATGCAACAGATGTTTGAGAGGGGGCTTCCAAGAATGGCAAATTTCAATAGAACACTAGGTCCCGGCTCTCCCGTAAGATAAGGGGAAGCAGTAGCTGTAGATCTCGCGCCGCAGCTCCAGTGGCAAGTCCCACTATACCGATACGCATTTTGAAGGGGACACTGCTCGTCGATAATAAGTTGAAGGTGTGGAGAGAGTTATTCTCGATCAGTTATCATACTCTGGGTGACTGGAGATCACTGGCGATACATGGCAGGTTTTAAGTGTCAGGTAGGTAGGTGCACGTGAAAGACCTGATAAATTGAAGTCACGGAAACCGAAAATGGCGGAGCAGGTAGAACGCGAATATCTTCGGAAGGTATTCAGATCTAGAGCACCAAGTGCCAATCATGTTCAAAGGATGATAGAACAAGGTCCTTTACAGGTGCCTGGGCACAATTGAGCCATCTATTGGCCATACAGTCAAATACTAACCTAAGGTCATCCATAACGTACTCGGAGTGATTTGAAATATTCTACATGATTAGGCATACCGACAAAGGCAGACACTTCCACACATCTATGCGTTGGAAAAGTACAACCACACGCTTTCAGAGTCTGCCGCTCCTCCTGATGAAACATCAATGATGGTCGAGGAATGAACCTTTCTGACGAGAATGAGTTATTTTGCCGTTACGTATACTCGGATGCGAAACACTTGATAGAAAGCGTTGTGTAAAACATGATGGCTATTTTTTCCAACCTTTTAATGAATGTTTCAAGGAAAACAAGGGATCTATTTTACAGCAATGAAAAGCGCATAAATCTGATTCGTTGCGCTATCCTTAACCGCGATAGATTTACGTTAACCCCCATTGAGCAAATCCCTCCGAATATCGGATATCGTTCGTAGAAAATATATGTGCACTGATCGTAGAGAGCGTCGGTTGCTTCATTGAAGATCTGTTTGCATGCGAGCATTTTTGCCCGCATGTTTCCAAGTTGTTCTTTCCAGCCATCCTTGTCGATGGCATTCGCGATTGATTTGTATCCATGCAACGCTGGTCAATGCAGAGCGAGGAAAGTAGTACCTGTAGGTTGGCTTGACGCAGACACATTTCAGATTGAAGAAGTCCATTCCAAACACGTGGGACAGGTCCTTGGTCATTCTCCGCAGAGGATATCATACTTCTTCTCAAGTCTGCCAAACAGGATTTCTCAATTTATCGCTTGAGCTAGCTCGTGAAGCGTGTTTATGATTACAAAACAAAACAAACCTTTTAAAACAAAATAAAAAATTAATTTGTATCTTGTTCTGTCAGTGTAGAAGTCTTTTACAAATGGTATGACGGCCTGATATCCCTGATATTTTAGTGCCGGGATTGCTGGGTCAAGCAGGTACATGGGGAGCTGGTTGGAAAGAGGGTTTGAATACTTGATGGTACTTGATTTGTGTTGATTTTGTTATTATCATAACAATGACTCTATGAAATGACATTACGTGCGAGAAGATGTCGCATTGGAAGCAAAGACTCTCTGATGCTTACTCTAAGCCAGCCCGTAGGCGAGATCGACTTGGCTAATACCCCCGGAAACAATGACATGAAAAGAAATATATACAGGTTTGTAAAGCGAAAGTGTGCTTGTGTATCACCAGCCATTATGCATCTCTTGATCTGAGACAGCTCTACTCCTTGCGACCCAGGTTCTCGTCCAACGAACTATGAGCCGAACTCACGCTGGGAGCGTAGGTACTGCTTTCAGAAAATCGCATGCCGTCAGACACGAATGTGCCCTCATTAGAACCCGCCTCATCATAAGCAGGCAGCGCCTCATCGAGCACCATATAGTCTGCAAACGCGGTATGTGGGCTAGGAGGAACGGGAATAGTCGAGTATTGAACCATGCCGCCTCTAGGAGATCGGCCCTCCTCGGCTGCGACCATGTCGCTGACAATGTTAGCTGCATTTCTAAACTGTTCAATGTCCTGCTCCATAGTGGTCGACATGGCATCGGAGTCGGTGTCTTCCTCGCCAACTTGGCGCATCATAGCCTCCTTCTCCTCGTCTTCTGCACCGTGGTGATCAAAGGCGAATCTCACACGTTGCACGAAACCAGCAAAACCAGTTCGGTGGGCAGCGCGACACTCGCGGCGGCGAGACATACATGATTGGTGACTTTCCTTGCGGCGGGCAGTGAAGCAGCGTGTGTGCAAGGCAGCGAAGAGCAGACCTAAAGTGACAATGATAGCACTGATGCGAAGGATAGGCATGGGGTGATGAATGTTGAAGCCCGAAGGCGGTCCGCCGTGGTGGGGGCCACCGTGCATGGGTGGCGGGCCATGATGATCGCCCACAGGTCCGTGAGGTGGCTGGTCCTTACCGCCCTTGAATGGCGGAGGTGGCGGCATATCACCTTCCAGATGAATCAGAGGATGCTCAGGGCTCTTTGAACCATCACCCTCAACTTCCGAGGGAGGGGGTGGTGGGGGAGGGAAGTCGCCTTCATGATCACCAAATGGTGGGGGAGGGCGCGAAACTTCGCTGTTGGAGTCGCCAGGGGCACTTTCTGGACCGTCCACAGAAGGCGGCCCATGGTGAGGCTTCCCGCCGGGGCCTTTGCCACCGTTGCTAGGGCCACCATGTGGAGGACCGTGAGGAGGACCATGAGGAGGCTCATCGTGGGGTCCATCATGGGGTCCATCGTGTGGTCCATCGTGTGGTCCATCGTGAGATCCGTCGTGAGGTCCGTCGTGAGGTCCGTCGTGAGGTCCGTCGTGGGGTCCGTCGTGAGGTCCATGATGGGGCCCGTCATGCGGTCCTTTGTGGTGAGGAGGACCATGGTGAGGAGGGCCACGGTGAGGCGGCGGTGGTGGACAATGGCAGAACGGGGGCGGGAAATGAGGAGGACCGTGGGGAGGAGGTAGAGTATCGTTACCATGAGTATGGTTCCCATGATGGGGGAAACCTGGGAAGCCATGGTGCTTGCCAGGCTTTCCATGTTTGCCTCCGTGGCGGCCGCCGAAGAAATCCTCTTCGCTCATTCCGTTAGAGTAGAACTTGCCAGCAGCGCCCTTGACGCTATCATACATGGACATGAAAATGCACTTGAGGCTGTCACATTCGGCCATCTTTGATGGCTTACCCTGAACACCAAAAGCCTCTGCCAAGAAGCGCTCTTTCATGAAGATGGCCTGCTCAAGTTCGACCAATGCCATTTTCATCGACTCAAGCTCGAACAGCTCGGCCGCCAGATCGGGGTTAAACTCGCCATCCGCAGGGTTTTTGGGAAGGAAATCCAGCTTGGGGGCCTTGATGATAGAATCGGCGCCCTCAATGTATGATACCCATGGTACGCCTTTTTGCTGAAACTGAACAGTGAAACCAACATCCTCGACCTCTTTTCCATCAATGAAGTCAACTTGCAACTCGAGGGTTTGCTCCTTGTGCGTATCATCCAGGTCTATACAGGCGAACTTCCAGCTGGCGATAAGAAGACTACCCTGCTCGGTCGAGACGGAACCGGAGCCGAGTCCCTCGGAATCCTGGCTAAGAGCCTGTTCGTTAAGAGTAACATTTCCAGAACCACATGATTCTTTGGATTCCAACACGCTGAACCGGAGAGTAGTTTCGACCTTGACAGAATCATCCTCAACGTGGGGCAATTGCAAACGGATGAAAGCCGATGGTGTTTCTTCGTCTCGCTTAATGGATCGGCTTGTTGCCAGCGCCGGCGCCAGCAACACGGCAGCCTTCAAAAGGCCGCGCATGGTCTATAGGCAACCAACAACTTTGCCTCCAATTTTGTTATTTGTTTGGGACGGGTAGCGTGGCAAGACTGCAATCTGATGCACTCAGATGCGCGGATACACACAAGAGAAAAAGAGCCGGAGAATGAACAGTGATGGATGCCTAGAAAGTGCAAGAAACGAGGACACAGACGAGCGAAAGGTGCAGCAAATCAAGGACTTGTTACGCAGGGTGGGTAGTTGAGGCTGCGCAAGCCTATCTCCTGTGTGGACCGGGGTCTGAGCCTATTGAGCCAATGAGCTGTGACTAGCTGACGAGTCCTCTAACCCATGTGGAATTGGCTAGAGGAGGGAGCCACGAGGACGCGAGGAAATGGAATGAAGATCCCCTCCATTGAACTCAGAAATTGCAAAGACTAACGTCGTTTGATCCATTCTGGTACGAGTAGCCTGGTCGTGAAATGTTGCACCTGCATATACATCGCATCGTGTTCATGATGTTGGAGTGTGGCGCGAGATCAAAACTTTTTGACCGTGACCATGACCGTGACCATGGCCGTGACCATGACCATGGCCGTGACCATGACTATTACCTTGAGACGTCGCGCGCAGGAGGTTAAGAGAGCAGCATGCCAAGGCCTTGAAACACCTGTGATCCAGGGTCAACAGCGCGGAGGAGAAACATCTGCCGCAACATCGTCATTGAGGGGGGCCATGTCCAGTAATATAGAGTGAGCACATCCCGATGGGCTGGTTGCGAAGTGGGATGTGTCTGACATGAGCATTTCGGCGGAAGCGATGCGCTGAAAAACAGTTGCATGCGGACGTAGCGCTAATGAAGAAGCACATCGAGTTTGACACTAGACTGGTCTAGGTTAGACTAGTCGAACTGGCCTGCCCTTGCGGTGGATGACACTATCGAGACTATGTACGTACTGTGTAATCCGTAGAGCTGCCGTTATCTTGTCTTACCCATAATAATATGTACCATCTCGGTGTAATATGTACGTTACGGATGTATGTACCTACTGGGTCGGTCTTGGTCATGGCCTTTGCCAAGCTGCGGGAACTGGAGATGAGATTGAATTGACAGCGAGGCTGACGATTCAATTGCCCCACCAAAACTTGCGTCTCCTCCGTTGGAGCTTTCCGTCATCAAGCTCCGAAAGCCTCGTTCGCGATCAACAACTGAGATATTGGCAGTTGAGAGCAGCTTTTGTCGCCCTACGTCCCGCCTGCCGTCGATTCAACCAATCTACTGACTCAGCACCATGGTATGTCCCTAGCCAAGCCCAGACTGTATGCATATTAACAAGAGTCGTGCACAGCTGCCTCTCGGTCTGCTCAATGCGGCGCAAGGCCACCCGATGCTGGTCGAGCTCAAGAATGGCGAAACACTCAACGGTCACCTAGTTCAATGTGATACATGGATGAACTTGACGCTGAAGGAGGTGGTCCAGACCAGCCCGGAGGGTGACAGATTTGTGCGACTGCCCGAAGTCTACATAAAAGGCAACAACGTACAGCATCCCCCGACCAGAAGCCATTGTGGAACGAGCCCGCTAACCTTGGCGTTAGATCAAATATCTCAGAGTACCAGAAGACATCATTGACATCGCCAAGGAGCAGCAGCAGCAGCAACAAGGACAGCATGGAGGCTTCAGAGGCGGGCGCGGTGGTTCGAGGGGAGATCATGGCGGCCGCGGAGGGGAGAGAGGTGGTCGGGGCGGTCGAGGCCAAGGCAGAGGCAGAGGTCGTGGCCGTGGCGCTTGACCGCATTTCGACTGCACAAGCATAAGTCAACAAGAACAATCAGGGCTCTCTGACAAAAGCGCGCCCAACAGATAGGGGCTGATGCAATTATGACTCATGCCGTCGATCAAGTGCCTGCTGGATATCGGAGCGAGGAAGATGCCTGATCCGCACCAAGAATACCAGCAGATCCAGAGAGAAATGGAGCAAGCTTGAAGACGCCTGTATGCATAAGAGACCATGAGGTCAATGGCTTTGCGCAGGCATTCGGGTTCTGAGCAAGACGAAGAAGAAGAAGAAGAAGAAGAAGAAGAACAACAACAACAACAACACGACAAAACACTCCTAGGTTGTTCAACAAAGCGTAATATTGAGAACAGCGTATTGCGACTTAGGGATGATGGCATGTGATCGTATCTGGTAATGTGACTATTGAACACAAGAAACGACAGTTTTCTCGTATGGGAATCAGCTTGCCCGAAACGGTGAGGACACCTGATAAATGTTTTATTGCAGTGCATGTATCTAAAAGTAGTTGCCTGCCAGCTTTCACAGTGAAAATCCCACGAAGCTTGGTTAACATGCTGTCAGACACTCCTCAGTCAAATTATTGCTTCTACATATCTGTTGCCGTTCTGAGGTCCATCACGTGACCGATATCGCTGAGGCACGAAGCTATCTCCAATCTCCGAAATAGTAGAACGTCAATCCCTTCAATAACGGCGCCGACACTTTTCGCGCCCAATCGCTCATCGAATGCAATGCAGGGGGAGCGCATTGTGCTCGACGGCCTTTGGCGCTGCTTATGCCCCTCTATCGATGCTGCCGCGCTTTCGAAAGTGCTGCAAAGACCCGGCAGCAGTGTACCTCGAAGCCAGCCTGCCACAACCCAGCGAAGGAGCGTGACCACCGGGGCGCATATCACACGTGCACGACCTTCGAATTCAAACAGACCGGTGGCCCAGCGCATATGGAAGCCAGTCTTCAAGGAACCGAGCGAACAAGGTCAAAGGTCGTCACGAAAGGGCGGTTCGCAATGGGCGCCCACGTTCGCAGCCTCATCAGATGCCTCTGAACACGATCGCATGCGCTATGTTGCTCGGAGGTGGAAACGACGTCCAAAGCTCCCCCCCGCATTCTTCGATGGCCCGCGTTTCCCGAACGGACAGAACTTTCCCGACGAAGCATTGGATCAAGTCGAGACCGAGGAAATCATCGAGGGACTTCGCGAGCTCACCACGGAGCAAGAACAATACCACGGCATCTGCAATGCTGTCCGCTACCTTGTAACGCGGCGCAACAGGAAGCCAGATGCATTCCTCTACGAGTGCCTCATAAAAGCAAATGCGGACCCGCACCACGGCTCGGCCAGAGTCGTGGCTAACCTGCTCGAAGAAATGGACGCTCAGGGCATATTGCCGACACTGGCTATCTTCCACAGCGTGCTAGACGTCAGTGCTCATACGCGATCATTCTCCTGGCCAAGGGCTGATATCGTTCACAGGTTCTTGCTGTACATCCAGACTATGTACTACGCAATAAGACTATCGACAAGATGAAAGCAATATGGAATCCGCCCTCGTTCAATGGACATGTTGCAATTGCAGTTGGCCTCCTTCGGGATGGTCAGCTGGAAATGGCCTTCGAGAAACTTGAAGAGCTACACAAAACCGGGGTTCCTATTCCAACCTGGCTCTACGACGTGTTCATCTTTAGTCTCGGAGAAATCGGTGTTCATGAAGAAACACTCATGGTTATGCAGCACAGGCTGCGGCAGCCCACTGCAAGCATGCCGCACAATGTCTGGCAGTTTGTCTTGGAGTCTTTCAGTAGAGATGGCTTCTATGAGGGCATCAGATACCTCTGGAACCGTGTGGTGACACTGGGCAAACTTGCTCCTTCCGATGGTGTCGCCATCAACGTCCTCAATGCTGCTTCGAGAAACGGCGATGCGACCATGACCATGCAGGTCCTTAAATATCTGTCGGACCGGGGCTCCAGGCTTGGCATGCACCACTTTGAGGCCTTGCTAGAGATACAAGCAAGAGATAACGATCTTCGACGCGCATTCTCTACAATGTGCCTTATGGCCAAGGCTGGCCTACAGCCTGATCGTTCCAGCACTCGCACGATTTGGCTGCAGTTGCGGGGTTCACCTGAACAAACAGATGAAGCATTGGCAATCCTACATGACTTGAGAAAGAACAATAATGTTCCGATCGCAGCTTTTAATGTTGTTTTAGAGGCAACTCTGTTTCACCGCAACTTCAAGGCCGCGCTCGATCTTTACCGCACCGTTCACCAGGTATGCTCTGGTGGACCTAGTCTTGAAACCTACAGTATTCTTCTTGAAAAGTGTACTCTGCACAAGTCGATGCGATTTCTTCTGGCCGAGATGGAACAGTTCTCCATTGAACTTGATGAATCGATCTATGATCGTATCATCTTTATCAGTACACTGAACTCAAACTACGAGCCAGCGTTCCGATACCTTGACAAAATGGGAGTGAGCAAGACTGACGGTCTCTCGAACAATTGGTGGATCAGCCGGAGAACAGCACTGGCACTATTGAGGAGGTCTATTTTGGCAGAAGATATCCGCACTGAGGGCATCATCGCCGCTTGTAAAAAGCGAAATTTGATCACAGATGCTGATATTGACGTGCTAATCCGAGCCGTGCAAAAGAAGCGCCAGGCGAAACAAGAAAAGCTGATCGCCGACGAAGCGAGAACAACAACCGTGCAGTCGGTTCTGGAACCTGGCATGACACAATTGACAACGGAGTCGATCACACCGTCGGTCTAGTTAGGGGATATGCATGTTGTTATTATTATGTACCATTGACCAACTGTATAACAAATACAATTAGTCCGCCATGCGGTTAGGGCCCCGACGTGCGAGAGCTCATTGATAATACTTTCGATATTTTGTAACTATACGACCATATGCAGCATCTCTCTGCACAGGTCCTAAGTCATCCTATCCAGATCGATGACTTCGTCGACTCCAAACTTTTTTTCTTTTTCTTTTTTTACTAATGCCAAGCATGATGCAATGGCACGTTTCACAGCCAAGATGAATTCCTTCCACTCATATACAGTCCCGTACTGCTGGAGTTAACGCTGATAAATCCTTAATCGTCCGGGTAGCGTGTCGCAAACTCTAATGAACCTCCACAGTGAATCCGCACTACTACTAGATTTCATTAACCTTTGCAGGCTTACAAATGCAATGACGCATTTCACGACCTTTACGATAGACCTTCCTGCAACAATACCTTTATTTGCACCTGTGCATACTAGATGGGCTTTGTACTTCTGACATAAGGTGATCTTCGATCGAGTTTAACTGCACGGACAGCGTCATTTGGGTTAGTATCTGCAACGATTCTGTCAGTAAGATCGGGTTATGTTGCAGAATCGTATAGGGTTGTAAATGTAAGCAGTACGGACGCCTTTTAAAGGCTTCAGGAGATAAAGTGTGCTAGTCCCGCACTATTTCACTAGACACGATTCTTTCAGGCGTTTTCTTCCTCGAGCTTGGTAATCGACCTGACTAGTTGTACCGAAAACTACTAAATCTATGCCATGAAGTGTTTTGAGAAGTTCTGCTAGGTTCCGATTTGAAAATCTAATATAGGCGATTAGCAATACCAGGTAGGAGACAAGATGCCTAAATCCGTAAGCAGACCGATGTCTCTGTTCTCATGTATCTATAAGTACGCTGCCTACTTACAGTCTTAGAGTTCATTGATAACAGTATACCACCAGCCACAAGTTAAGTGAAGGAGCACCTCATCACTCATATATCTATTGTGCATAAACCAACGAAGCCAACACTACAAACTCCAGGTCTTCTCGGTAGGCTTCTCAGGAGCCTGTTACAAGAAGAAGACAATGTCAAGTTTGATTCGCGATGCCCCAATCGGGCAACTCCTACGCCTGGTAACCAGAAATCGCATGTTAAAATACCCCGAAGAGAAGCCCAACTTCTCCTTGCCCGAGTTATGGACCCAAGCGCTGGAAAATGAGTCAAAGGTCGCAACGTCGCCAGACATGTTCGACTCGAGCAGCGACTCCTCGTCAGTCTCTTCGACGAACAACGACGAAGAGAGCAGGAGCCACGATGTTGATGGTACCACTACAACAGGTCCTACGCCAGCTGCACTAATACGGACGCGGAGTGCATCCGCAATTCAAGACATAGAGCTTGAGAAGACGAAGAGCATACCTATTGCACCCAAGAAGACCAAAGATGGCGCGATCTTGGTCGACTGGTATTTCACCGACGATTCAGAAAATCCTCACAACTGGTCGAACCTCCGCCGAGCCATGGTAACGATTATCATCTGTGTATACACGTTTGTCGTCTACACTTCATCTGCAATCTATACTACGTCAGCGGAGGGCGTGATGCACGAGTTTGGCGTCAATGAAACCCGTGCCGCTCTGGGGCTTGCTCTCTTCGTCCTTGGGTACGGCATTGGCCCATTGCTCTTCTCGCCTCTGAGTGAGCTACCGTCAATTGGCCGCAACCCAGTCTACACATGGACCATGTTCCTTTTCGTGATTGTGTCGATACCAACCCCCTTCGTCACAAACTACGAGGGACTCATGGTACTGCGTTTCTTGCAGGGTCTCTTCGGCTCGCCGTGTCTTGCCAATGGCGCCGCCTCGCTCGCGGATATGTATTCTATGGTCTCGGTGCCCTACGCCCTGATCGCCTGGGTGTCCGCCGCTTATTGCGGGCCTGCACTCGGACCCCTGCTGTCCGGCTTCTCGGTGCCCGTGATGGGCTGGCGGTGGTCGCTCCTCGAGATCCTCTGGGCTTCCGTCCCTGTCTTCTTGGTCATGTTCCTCTTCCTGCCGGAGACCTCGACGCCCACGCTCCTGCTCCAGCGCGCCCGGCGCCTGCGCAACCTCACCGGCGACCCGCGCTTCATGTCCCAGTCCGAGATCGAGCAGCGCAGCCTCGACAAGCGGGCCGTGATCATAGATGCTCTGATCAAGCCGCTCGAAATCACGATCAAGGACCCCGCGATCCTGTTTGTACAGGTCTACAGCGCCATCATCTACGGCATCTACTATTCCTTTTTCGAGGTGTTTCCGCTTGTATACCCCGTCTACTACGGCATGGACTACGGCCAGATCGGGCTCGTCTTTCTGTGCATCCTGGTCGCCTGTCTGATCGGCGTCGCCGTGTACATCTCGTACCTCTACTTCTATCTCAACCCACGCATCGCCGCCAAGGGCTTCCCTGTTCAGGAGTCGCGTCTGACGCCGGCCTTGATCGCCGCATTCGGCCCCACGATTGGACTGTTCATCTTTGCATGGACCGCCAGACCTGATATCCACTGGATCGTGCCGACAATCGGCATCACGATCTACGGTGCGACCGTCTTTGTCATCATGCAATGTATCTTTGTGTACGTTCCGCTCAGCTATCCTCAGTACGCGGCGAGTCTGTTTGCTGGAAACGACTTCTTCAGAAGTGCTCTGGCATTTGCTAGTATCCTGTTCGCGAGACCCATGTTCGCCAACCTGGGTGTGGCTCGGGGCACGACTCTACTCGGCGGACTCAGCACCATCGGTATTGTCGGCATCTGGGTGCTATATTTCACCGGTGCGAGGTTGAGAAGTATGAGTAAATTTGCAGTTAGTACTTGAGGTTAGACATTATACATGGAGGAATTAGAAGATAGAGAAAAGGTATCAAGGAGTGAGTGAAGTATATAAGCAGATTTCTGCTATGCATGGCGATGGAGTATCAGGCGTTACAAACCATTTAGATTAATTTATTTCAGTCAAATGAAAGCTCTGTCTAACGAATTATCGCCATCAAAGCTTGACCTTATTAACCTGTGTTTATGATGGACTCTCACAGAGGCGTTGCCCGTCTTGCTTACCATAATGATAGTCTTTGATAGTTCACTTCAAAGTTATCCTATCCGTAGATTGTAAATTGGTGGGACAAAACCACAAAATGGTAGTACGATCTGAACACTATGTGAATTGGGCATGGTTCAGCCATGGTCAACGTTCCGACTATCCCCGGACAATTGTCACCTTGGTCACGAAGAACCAATTCAGCGCCTTTAGCTGAGCAATCGTCGTCAAAGACAAATGTCATTCGAATACACATGCTAGGAGTAGTCGCTCTGCATCTGTGATATCGACATCTAGATCCGCGACGTATTATCCGTCGCGAGTTGGTCTCAAGTAAAGTCTCCGCCTTGGTGTCATTGTGACTTGCTTCAAAGAGTATTGCGGTAGGACGTGAACAAAGCTATGGGTCTAGTCAAGTCCGACCAAATAGTAGATTGTGAATCAAATCTATCACAAGGCCCAAACAAGTCAGCGCCACGAACAACAGGACAGACAGTGTTGGTGCCAAACAACGGGAAGGAGTAGAAGAAAAAAAGTTCATTGGTTACTCCGGTAATCGCGATATGGTCAATGCTCCACGGTTAAGCACATTGTTGATGCGTACCATTTAGCCATTCAAAGGAGCCCAGAACCCCCCTCCCCCCAAAACTGTGTATCTACGTGTATTATCTGCCGTGGAATCAAAAATCTCAGGTCCGATCAAGTGACTCATCGAAAGCGAACTCTCTATAGTTGCGAGCGAGCTGCTCGACTCCTTTTCGCAACTCCCACCCTTTGAGTTCGCAGACTTTTCGGCAGATTGCCTCTAAGTAGTTGTCCATCCTATCTCCTGCCGTATGTAGATCGCTTTCGACCAGTATCCTGTAGTCGGGACAGGTACGAATTGCCTCCTCAGTCTTCTGGTTCTTGTCCCCACCTTCCGGGTCAAAGTTGATAGCCACAGAGAAGGAAAAGAACACCTTTGCTGGGACAGATTTGTGAAGATACTGGTTCATGATATTTACCGGGCCACTATACGAGTGAAGACATATCCGCGGGGGATATGGCTTTCCTTGCTGATCCTGGCTTGTCTTTTTCGATTTGTCATCCTGAATTTCCTCCTCGTCATCGGAGAAGTTTTCGGCGTTTGCTGCAATCTTCTTTTGTTCGCGTCGTGAGAGGACTTCTTTTTCGTGGCCCTTCCAGCAATCGGATATGGCGTTATACAAGGCACCGTGAACTTGAACACCGTGGACACTGACTGCTCGATTCAGCTCGCCGGCCAATTGGAGCTGCGCCTTTAGAACCATGGTTTGATGTTCGAGATTGACGCGGTACGGACTGAGACGCCTTCCTTCTCGTCCTCCTGGCGTCAAATCTTCGTCTTGCTGGATCCCCTCTGTCGAAGTCCAGCTCTCTGGTATCCGAAAGGCTTTGTCCAAACCGATCTCGCCCACTAGTGCTTGAGGGTACAGTTCCAGTCGAGATCTTGTCTCGTTGATGAATTGGGACAAGGGTTGGGGTTCTTGCAGCCCCACGCTGAAAGATCCGTCTTTGGATGATGGCGCCGGGGACAAAATCTTGTCATAGTGGATAGTCTTGCCCTCTTCAGTTCCATCATACGTCGGGTTAGGCACAGTATCATCAAATATCTGGTACGAAAACCACGGGTGCCACCCGAATGCTGGGATGATGCGTCGATCAATCGGCTCACCCGAAAATAGGACTTCTTGACTCTCGACTCCCTGTTCCGATGTGACCTTGAACACCAGATCCTGGTCTTGGGATCTTGTCGACATGACAGTCAGAGCGCGAGCCTTCATCCGAGAAATGGATGGCACTAATGCCATTGTATCTGTTGGGTGACAGTGAGCATCAAACACCCCTATGTCCCATGGGAAGGGCTCCTCAGAATACGTAGTGCTCCATCTCTGATCAGACTCTGCTTCCCCCAAAGTATTTCCAGCATCATGTTGTTGACACATCGTCGATTTAATCTCTGGCCTAGAAACGGTCACGGGCTTTGCGGGCCCCCTTCTGCCGAGGTAATCGTATGCGTTCCAGACACCACAATAGTTCGACTACGTGGACATGTTTGTATCAGCTCCGAATCATAGTGACTTTTCCCATTACCCATATTCAGCTTGCTGATATATTTACAAATCACTTGAGAGGAAGGAAAACGGACCAAGAAAAGAAATATCACTATACCTATCTGGTGTGATTGCCAAAGCTCAGGAGTAAGGTTCGTAAACAGAGCCCAGCTTCTGCTAGCTGCGGTGTCAATGCGTTGTCCCGGTCAGTGTGCAAGATCGACTATTTGATCGGCGCAGTCTAGGTCCAGCAATGGTCTGTGATGCTACTGAGGCTCTTGGACCCTGAAATCGAGATATGTAGTTAGTGTCTGCCATAATTTGGTAATGCGATAATCGATTTGTCAATGCTACCTTGGATGACCCAGCAGGATTTTGTTTTTGATGGTTTCTTTCTGGCCCTTTAGAGAAGTGGCATATAAACGCTGACCGCTTACTGCGTCTGAGATCTCTACGTCTGACAAAGCTTCTGTTCTGCTATATTGCTGTCGCTATTGAGGGCTCGTTGCGACGAAGGGGCAAGTATGCAAACAGTCGGGCTTCTGTTTCGTCATAATTCCCCGCCAGGATGCCCCACCTTGATCTAGGTTAACAGACTGTATTTGGGCTGCGCCGTAGCGATTGCTGACCAAGTGTTCATCTTCTTATGTTCTTGCCTGATGCATGCTCTCCTACCCCTATCTGTCATGAAAGATAGCTTTTACATTTCTACTTTACTTCACAGAGCACCCATGATGTCTGGGACAGCCGCAACATTCAGGTTCAACGTCCGTTTATTAGGTGACAAGCCTCTTTAAAGCACACATCGCAGGAGCTCCATCAGCTTTGGAATCCGCCTCTGTCTCCCAAGCGCCTGCATCTGCATCCAAGAAAGTTACCTGTTCTTAGCTGCATGCTTTGGCTTACTGTGGTGCAAGCCTGCATATTCGCCAATATGGGCCAGGCACTCAGTACTGCTGTGGTTGCGTGAGCGCAGGCGTGGCGCCGGCTTTTAACATCCGCAAACGTGCGAGAGAACTTTATCGCCCTCCAGGGCTGGCATGTGAAACCCGTGCCCTCCCGACTGGAGAGTTTGTTTATGTGAAGCGTTGGAGGCATTTGCCTTCCGGTTTTGTCTGCAATCACGATCGGGACTTCAATTGCGCTGCCCTCCTGGGGTATGAGCTCCATTGACAGTGAAGGATTGCTACCACATATACTTCTAAACCTTTGGTGATCCGATTCAGGTCTACAAGAGGCTAAAATAGCTGTCCGATTCTCCGAGTGCTTACACCACCCTCACACAACCTCCGCTCTTGTACTACCTCCCAAGTATCGAGTAGACAAACGGTTACTGGATTTGATCATATCCTTTTTTTGATCTGTTGCTCATTCAATACTTCATGACAACGGTCTGTGAGAATTCATTATTTCAGTTGTGGCTATTCATCAACACTTTCAGTCCATTCCATGGAATGGACTGGCGACGGACCAAGTCACGTTGTTGAGAGCTATCAGTTATACATCTCGACATCACGTCAACAACCAACTCCCTGAGTAGTAGAACTGCCTTGCCATCACTACTTACATCACCATCACGCATGTCTCACATCATGTCGTTCTTCATCAATCCTGTGCACATCCTAGTCGGCTCTTTCCTATTCATGGTATCCATCCCTTTGGCGGCCTTCGCATTCTGGACAACATGGTTTGCCTTCTCGGTTTTAGCCGCCAGGCTTGTATATGTCTACTTGCAGATGACCTGGGAGACCACTCGCTACGTACTCTGGGACCGCTGGGTTCCAGGCCAGTACATTGAATCGCCGCCCGTGAGCCGGAGGCCCAGCAGGCCAGTCACGCCCAGCGGCCGATCCCCGGCGAGATCATCTATTTCCCCGTCTTCCAGGGGCGCATCCAGCACCAGGAGGCGTACGGACAGCACCAGCAGCGCCGGCCCGCGCGTCGCGTTCTCCGGGGCCGTCCTGTTGGAGCCGAGCCACAAGAATGCGCTGGAGAGGGACTTCGAGGGGCTCGGCGGCTGGAGGATCCAGGACGACGGCCGGGACACGACGAACGAGAACGCGTGGGACAGTCTCAACGCGAGGCTCGAGTTGCAGGATCACCACCAGCTCCAAAGGCACCACTACCGCTCACATACACATGCCGGGTCATTTGCAAACAGTTATAACTTTGCCTCGCCGCCGGTACGCCTTGGTGCGAGATCAGGGCCCCACAGTCCTGGGCCGCTTACAACAGGAGCGACTTTGAGCCCACACAGTCCCAGAAGCAGAACACCGACGCGGGTTCGAGCCGGGCCATTGAAAACCCTCGAGCGGCAGGACTCTTACTTTCCTCTGGTAGATTCGACGCACATCAGGAATATTGCCGCGTGATTTGGTAATTGCCCTTGTTTACTATGACGCTCTATTCGGCACCACTCGGAGATTGTTGCTTATAGTATTTCAGTACAATCTCTGTAATTATAGCGTATTCCCTGGTTTGGGAAATCATGAATTATGACCCTGCATTTGAGGTCCTCGGGAGTAAGGATTGGGTTCCGGATTGTTGGCGGGTTAAAACTGGAATATATTGCAGATATTGCCATTCATACTATTCGGCAGAACTGGGCCCAAGACTGTACCCTGCCATCACGTTCGCAGGGATATTGTACATAGTTCAATAGTAATTTCCCATAAAGCATCAATTCATCGTATCGAAGCTTGTTTGGCTAGGACAGTTTGTCTATAGAGCTCCCTCACGTGAGCTGTATCCTACCATACATGTAGTCGTGAGGGAAATTACACAGTTTGTATCCCAGCTGGGAAATTCCAGTTGATGCCGGCAGTGCGAGGAACTTACCTAGCTCTGCCTGTCCCCTCTAAAGGTGTTTCGTATCCGGCTAAATATACCCCCACTACCTGTGTCGCTACTCGCGTCACTGCGCGATGAGCGGTGGGCCGACGGCGAAGGATCCCTAACTCTTCTACTCGCCGGCTGCGTATTGGAGTGGGGTGGGGAATCTGATGTCCGCCGAGATGAAGCACTTCTCCAGTTGAGACCCGATGAGCTGGCTTCATCCCGGATGCTCGCGAGCCGCTCGGAGCCGCGCTGGCGCAAATTAGACCTCCGACGCTCGGCCTCTGGTCGTTGCATCGAGGCGGACGATGATTGAGCAGAAGATGAAGACTCTGCTGCGGCAGGAGCTGCTTGCGCACCACCAACTTGACCAGCTGCATCTCCCTCAATAGGGGCCCGACAAATAGGGCAGGTATTATGCTCCTTCAGCCAGAGGACTGCACACTCTTCATGAAACCAGTGCTTACACGGCAGCACGAGGGCTTCATCCCCTAGCTGCATATCGTCGATACAAATGGTACACTCCCCTTTTGATTCACCTCCCAGCATCTGATCGTCCAACTTCTTTCTTGGCAGTTTTGCGATCGTCTCTTCTGACGCTGGGGGCGGGGCATTTGACTGCGGATTTTCCTCCATAAGATGTGTGATAATTTGATCTAGGGCTTGTTGCGTATAAACACCGTCACCGTGAACACCGTTTGGGTTCATGAATTGGCTCATGAGATTCTGCAACAGTAAGCCTAACGGTTGTAAGGGTTCATTGTCATGAGCTGGCGCTCCAGCAATATTGGGAGCATTGGGAGCATTGGGGTCGTTGGGGTCATGCCCGCCTACCCGTGGAGGCCCCAGTGACCCAAGGATGTTACCAAGTACCCTATACGCCTGGTTAGTAATGCGCCAAAGAAGAAAATGCTGTGTTGGAAAGACGTACGATTGGAAAGGGTCATTTGGATTCATGCCGCCAGCCATTGCACCCATGGGAGAGCTACTGCTTCTAACAGTAGTGTGCGTGCCGCCACCGTTCGAGCTTATGGTAAAAGTGGTCACATTTGCACCAAATCCAGGACCAGAGAAGCGGGTATACTGGACGCGCCCAGGACTGCCAGTTTCGTTTTGGGGCGGAAATAGTTGTTCTGGACCTGAGCGACCAACAGAAGCTCTCGGGCCACCTCCAACGCTTTCCAACAAGGTTTGAAAACTGTTGAGGATCTGGCCCACATCACGAGGGTCACTGCGAGTACGGTTGCCATCTCCGGGTCTCTCGGGATCACGGAATATGGCACGCTGACCAAAAAGGAAGGGATGTCCGTCCATGATGTGATCGTCTATGTCTTCCTCATCGGGGTCGTCGTCGCTGTCACGGCCGTGGTGCCTATGAAGGTGGGCAAGAGCCGATATGTCAACACCGACTTCTCGAGGGTCGTTTTCAGGGGTGACCTGTGTAGTTTGTGTTAGAGTGAACATATGTATATCTGAATCCGAATCAGAATCAGAACCAGTATCAGAGCATGGTTCCGGCTCTGATACTGAGTCTAGGCCTGGAAGATGTGCGGAGCTTACAATCTCAGTGGCTTCTCCATCACATTCGGGGCACACCAGGCCGCCGTTATCCCGATACCACTCGTGTTGACATTGGTGGCAGTAGACGACCTCCCGACCGCCAGAGGCGTCGAGGTGATGACTTGTAGATTCGCCTCCGGAGGACATCTGGCGCGGCCTCTCTCCTCGATTACCGAGAAGTGCTGTAAGTCCCAGGCCAAGTGCAAGGCCGCCCAGTGTGATGGCGCGGAAAGCCAGACTTGCCGAAGCGAGCTTTTCCCAAGTCGTAAGAATATGCGGCGTTGTTATCAGCTGACTCTGCGTCGGCTGAGGGTGTGTTCTTTGCCAAGCCGAATCGATCGACGTAGGGAGGCTCTGGCAGTGAGAGTTTTGTATACGCTGTTTGTCTAATGCACAATGAGATACGAGGGTGCCGCGCTGTTAGTAAGCCGGTGAGAGCTGACCGATGCAGACTCTAGATGTGGACGTTGAGCAATCGCCGGCTGGTCGACGAGTGCGAGCAAGTCGTAATGGTGGAATAGAGGGGCAGTGGTATGTGACTGGCTGGTCTGAGCCTGTCGGACAATGGGCCCGACAAGGCTGACTTGACTTGGTGGTGGTGTAGGCGCAAGTAGAGGTGCAGGTGCAGGTTAATGGCAGTTGCAGTTGCAGTTGCAGTTGCAGAGGCCGTGGTTGTACAAGTATGACTCTGTGCTTGTCAGGCTGCGTGTGCTTTTTCGGGTGTCGGGACTCTGAGCTTGCACGATTTCATCAGCTGCTGCGTGGCTTCGATTTGTGGGTGGTTTGTTGGCATAGAAGACAAGCTTCCTAGCAGCAGGAGGATTGTAGGATGGCGGGTTTGTATCGCTACAGTATGTGGAAAAGGGCAAGTCACGTTGGGGTTCGCATACCTGCTTGAGTGCGTGGTGTAAATAGTTTCTATTTCTGCGGAAAGTGAATGCGCCCCCCAAATAGAAAGCTAAGGTTACTAAATACAGAGTTGAAGGTCAGTTTCAAAACTGCAGATGGCGTGGCCATGAGGATCGGGAGAGAAGGCAAAAGACAAGCACTCCGGGCTTCACTGGCAGCTGAGGTCGATGCTGAGCGTCATGGTCATGGTCGCGGTCATGGTCATCCGGGATACGATACCATACGAGTGCGACACAGCACCGGTTGCGCTATCGATAGTCTTGACCCGGGACGCTGACGGGGACGATGAAGCTGACCCTGACGAGACCACTACAGTACCTACCTACAGTAGCTGCCGTTGCGTAGCAAATAGTATGGATCGAACACCATAAGATAGGTGTAGTGTGGTATAGTGTCATGTACATGCAGGGTCCTGGGCTCGAGATGGCTTTACTTACTTACGTCAGTGGTACCGGACCAGAAAACGCATCAGGGCCTTGAGTAGATCTGTGCAAATAGTGTTGGGGGTAAGCGGACCACAGGCAATGGGGTGGACGGAGAACAGGTGACTGGCCACTCCTTTTCTAGAATGATTGTACAGGAAACAAAGAAGTTGAGAATGTTGTGCAGGTTGGCGAGGAGCTGGTCCAACTCAGCATACATACTGTATGTAGCCAACCGCACCTGAAAGCCAGGTCAGCAGCCAGCCAGCTCATCCGAGTCACCTGGTAGTCACGGTACGTTCCAGGGCTACTTACTGTGAGTTGCCTAACCTAGGCTATGTTATGGGGGCCCATGTCATGTCGGTTGGTCATGTACAGCAGTGAATGTTCCGCTGCTTTCGTCATGCTTCTTTGAGCTGGTTATCTAGGGTAGGAGCTGGCTAGGTCAGGGCCTGGAGCGAAGCCAAAATCCGTGGGGCACTCTGGCACTTTCAATCGCGTTAGCCACGGCTGCCACGTTAGCAAGTCCGTGTCCTAACCTTAGAACCTGTTGCACTGTAGGGACTCTGGAGGTGATGTGTGGCGCAACCTGTGTGGAATCTGGACTTGCATTGACGGGGCAGCCAAAGCGATGATAATTGAATGTTCGTGTGTTTTTACTGGACCAAACAAGTTGCTGAACGAGTGTCGAAATTTGCAAGCCGCCAACGCACACCCTATCATTATCACTGCTGCCGTGCAATCGTCGTCTAGAATCATTCCTGCCGCCGAAGCCGTTCATTAGTCTAGGTTAGAACCAAACAACATTGCACACCAGCGGCTGAAGATGCCGTGCGGTTCGGTTCGATGGCTACATGGAGCCATGGCACGTGTTCCAGTCAAGTAAAGTAACAGTCAGGAACGATGCTCAGACTGGGTGTGATCCCAAGAGTTGCGACCGCCCGTATAATATATACCATGCATAAACAGATGTGCTAGAACGTGGAGATGCCCCGTCCCAAAGCCCCGTAAAAACGCCGTTCAAAATCACAGCTGGTTGTTTCCTCTCGCTCTTGCGCTCCCTCAGGTCCTGAACGGCTTCATCTCCTCCGGCCCCTGAACAGAATGCCACCCACCACGCCGGCGGCAATGGCGACGCCAGAAATGATGGCGACACCCATCAAGCCTTCCTTTGCCACCTTGTCGTCAATCAGCCTCCTCAAGTCGGCAGACTGCATGTTCATGGGCTCCTTGTCGAGCAAAAGGTCGTTGTACCTCCTGGCCTCGCCATAGTTGCCGAGCTTGTAGTTGCCCAGTGCCAGGTAGTACAGACATTCGCGACGGCGCTCGGGAGAGACGCGGAAGATTTCGGACAGCAGGCGCACTCCTGTCTGCTGGTCGTTTCGGGAGTCGGACTTTACGAGGCCCTAAAGAAAGAGAGAGAGAGAGAAGGATGTCAGCGGGAGGGCTGTTGGCAGGTGGTGGAAGAGGACAAAGATGGGCCACAGGACAAGACATACCCACGCATAGTTGAATTTTGTCTGCACGCCAACCATGTCACCTTCCTTCTCATACTGCGCCCTCAGAACCTGGAGTTCCGAGGGCTTGAGGGGCGTCTCGGCATCTACGGCGTCTGGTTGCGGCCATGTTAGCTACTTGGGGCTGCGTCACCAGAAGGGGAGGGGCAAAGGAGGATTAACTCACGCGGTAGAGCGGTCATTGTGGGATGCGTTTCGAGGGCAGCTCACGGCGTATCGATGTCGGTATGATAGCAAGAAAGAGGGCAGTCTGGTTGGGAGTTTGCCAAATGACTTGTCGTAACAGCCGCGTAAAAAGGCTTCGGGTAATGTCACTCGCAAATGGATACCTTGGGTGGTAACAGAAGTGTGGCGGAAGCTTGAATCGACGGACCAAAAATGCATGTGCTCTCTCAGCTTTTGGCTGGTGGCTCGGGCGAGCAGTTATGACGCACCCTGTACGCTACCGCCAGTGCCGTCCACTTACCACGTACTGTGCCCGTATGCTGCCTGTGTACTGCAGACCGCTGGTGCTGATGCTGGTGCTGATCTCGATAAGGACGAGGACGAGGACAAGGACAAGGATGAGGATAAGCGATAGTTGGCCCTGGTGACAAGCTCTATGCAGGCACTGTTTTGCTGCTACCTCGATGCGTCTTAGCGTGTCGCATTCCCATCACATCTGAACCTTTGAAGCCAAAGCCTAGTTACTTACTTTATTGTAAGCCCAAGCCGCAAACCAGACATGGGCCAACTCTAGTTTGCGACGGCGGCGACGACGACAACGACGACAAACTACACATCAAGACAATACAACACAACTACACGACGAGTTTGGGACCCGCCCAAAGACAAAAGAACAAACAAACAACTGCCACACCGTTCCCTCCCACTTAATACACGCAAAATGATCCTCGAAGAGGATCCCGCTGCCGTACGCGCCCCCCATGCATCCTGTCAATCCCGTCAGTTCATTGATCTCACAGCCGCTGACCTGAACCGACCCTACAGCTCATCCGGCACACCATCCACAACTTCAACATCCAGCCCGACCGCGTCGCCATCTCGCGCATCCACGACTCCCTGAGCACCCTGGAATCCGCCCGCGACCTGCGCATCACCGACGCGAGCACGCAGCTCAAGCGCCTGACCCGCACCCTGCATACCCTGAACTCCCAGCACGAGGAGCTCCTCTCCCAGCACTCCTCCACCGCGCACGCCTCCGAGATCGCCCGCCTCGACACCCAGAAGTTCCGCACCGCAAAGGCCTGCTCCGACCTGGAGATGGAGGGCGAGCGCCTGGCCTCCGCCGCCGCCGACCTGGCCGCCCGCCTGGCCGAGCTCGAGGCCCAGGGCGTCGAGGGCGACGCCGCCGAGAACGCCAGGCGCAAGGACCCCGTCGACGACGAGGTCCTCCTGCGCCTCAAGGTCTACCGGAGCCTGGGCATCGAGATCGAGAGGGACGGCAGGGACGGCGAGTTCACAAAGGCCGTCATACGGAACGATCGCAAGGGCGACGTCCACGTCGTCAACATGGACAAGAACTTCTCCCGGTTCTTCTACGCAAACTACTTCTGGAACACCCTGTAGCACCGAGCAAAATGGCCCTGGCCGGCAGGCCGTCAGGGGAAACGCGAAACTGTTGGCCGTTGATCTGATCCAGTCGTGGGTCCGAGTCCAATGAGCGACCCCGTTCTGTGGCACCGATGACGCTGCACACCAACGGCACAGCTTGGCCACAACGACGTTGCAGCCCATGCTTTTGTTTGAACCCACGCCAAAACGAAAAACTATGGTCGTCATGGCACGAATGTACGGGAACCAGTAGCTGAAGAAAGCCATCTGTCGCAGACGATCTGGCTCGGTTGGGCGCAGCAGGCTGATGATTGTCCATGAAGACTCGGAGGGGCAGGACAGGCGTTCGGAGTCTGTTCTTATTTTGATCTTATTGATACCAGCCAATGTGATTTATGAAGTTTACGCTCCCGTTAATCAATTCCAGAATCTCAGACCGGGCTTTTGCGCGAAAGAGTACAAATATAAATATATATACACATATATACATATATACACATTACGAACATACTGATCATGTGGTTTGGGACTAGGCAGTTTAATTATTGCTAGTAACCATTTATCACGTCGTATAGTTATGCGCTCATACAGTGGACCTTCTGCTGGGTTGGATGACTGAACCAAACTGTTTAAAAGCACGGTCAACAACTAACGCAGGGTATCACGTATGCAGTAGCGTTTAGCTTTCTACAGATTGTTCTAGAGAAATTCGCTCAAGACAGCCACCCGTGTTCTGGCGACCTCTGACCCCTGCACCCCTTCAGCCATGATTTGCATGATTTGTATCATACGAGCTGCAAACAGACATATCAGTACGCGCACCGCCATCTGTGATAAATTTGCAGGGAGCAGAAAGGCGACGATGGCAACTTACTTAAATCCGACCGCGCCCTCGCAAAGAGCGGATCCCTCTCAAACTTGTCCGCCTCGTCGGGTTCGACTTCCCTGGCCGTCTCGCGCAAGACACTACCGATGCACAATGCTTCAAGGAAAGCCCGATGATTAAATACCCACCAGACCCTGGCCTCGTGGTCGAAAAGGCTGTAAAGCATGAAAAACGCATTGATGGCCTCATGCGCCGCCTCGAGAGTCGCGCGGACGTTGACCGGAACGTCTGCACTCTCGGAGGCATGCACCAACATTAGGTTGTGGTAGTAATTACTCGTTAGGAAGAGCGTCTGCCGCACGATGCGCTTGTTGCTATCGGCAAGATGCGTGAGCGATTCCTGGTCCCACGAACGAAATATGTCCGGAAAAGACCGATACACGGCGCGGAAGTCGGAAATCAGCTTCGACTTTTGACGCTGCGTCGAGCAAATGGGCATGTCAAGTGAGCGAGGGCTGCATATGGTTTCTTGCACTAGGTTGGCCAAAGACCACGAGCCGCGAATATAGGCCGTGTCTCTAGGATCCGTGCTCACGATGTCGTCGGGGTCGTCTATAAGATCATCGACATTGACGTCGGTGTGTGTCGCACTTGGCGGAAGAGACAGTAATATCGTCAGGAAGGTATCCTGGTGGAGCACGGCTTGCCAGAGCTTCCGCCGTTGCTGCTTCTCGAATTTGCTCCCGTCAGGGCAAACTGGGACAGTATTAGACACGACGGCAACGTCCAGACCAATCATACTCACCGATGTTCGGGTCTCGGTGCAAACCCATAGCATATGCTTGCCTCATGAGGATTCCGGCGAACGACCACCCGTCCGACGCATGGTTGTCATTGATAAGGAAATAAACAAGTAGTACCATAGCTTGTATGGACTGTATTGAAGCAGAACTCAGATAACAGCCGACACGAAGAGCTTGGTTTGACGCAGAAGCATAGAATTCGGCGCTCTTTTTTCCGTCTGCCGGACTTATGACATTTTGAAACTGCGTCCCCAACGCCATCATGACAAAGATCAGCCCTACAAACGCAGGATTCGCGCTCTCTTGTTGGCCTTGATGAAGCAGCGTCCAAAAATGTGCATAATCGGCGTAGAAGGTCTGTCTATGCACCATCGGATAGACGGGATCGACGCATTCAAAATACTGAGCAATCAGCAGATCGGCATTCGCCTTCTCTTTGGGCATGACGTCGATGACTTGATCGAGTCTTCCTTCAAAAGTCCAGTAGTTTGCAAAAGGGTGCTCTGCCCCTACTCCGAAAACTTTAGATGCAGTGGGCAACGAATAGGGAATATTAGACAAGAGCCCGGTAGATGAGGCCACAGTTCCACGAGACATCGGCCCAGACGAGAACCCTCTATCGGCAACATTAGGGATCGGTGAGGCCAGGTCTTTTGCTCCTCCAGACAGCTTCCTTCTCGGAGGTTTGGTCATCCTAGTCCCATTTGCAGCGGACCGCGTGGTTTGCCTAAGCAACGTCAACTACAAGAAGAGTCACGAATCTATGAGTGCACTCACTCAAGAAGATCTGCCACATGAGCATATTTGCATTCTGTTTGTCGCTTGATGCATGCGAGACAGTTCGGTCTTCCTCTGTCGCACTAAAGGAAGGGCTGTCAGTAGGAGGAATCCCGCGTGGTATAGTATAATCATATCATATGCACGTGGTAAATGAATGGCGAGACGTGCAATCAAATTCCACTCGCCTCAGTAACTTGCTCGTCTACCCAAAGAGTTTGGTTACGTGCAGAGTACAACTAAGGCATGCGACAACTTGGTCAAGAACAGCTTCTGCTTTTTGCGGCTGAATTATGAACATTTCTCCTTCGGACTTCTGCGCTGGACAGATAGTCCACATCTTTCTTGACAATTTGGAGAAGAAGAAGAAGAAGAAGAAGGAGAAGAAGGAGAAGAAGGAGAAGAAGAAAAGTGACATAAGATGGGATCTTATTCGATTGATCAATAAAACCCACTTGGACTAACCTTGGTCTTTCTTTCTACGCATTCATGACATGACAAAGTTGGCTTGTTGCGCTTCTGCTTCTTCTTTGACGGCCCCTCGTCTGGCGATCCACCAGGGCTCGCACCGCTGTCGCCCCATTCGGACTTGACAGCCAGTGCTGTCGGCGAGCCGTAGGCAGTGTGGGCCGAATCCAATGAAGTGGGTGTTAGAATTGTGTTTGGATGCGGCCTCCCAGAGGCGTACGACATTGTATCGCAATATCCTTCTTATTCCCAGCGGCGCACCGAGTGGGTATGCCGGAGACCTTTCTTATTTTCCCCCTTCGAAAGCCGGCGCGGCAAGTAATACCTCGGTCCGGGGTTTGAAATTGCGGCTGATAGAAGGTGTACAATCCTCGGGAATAAGCAGCAGATGTTACGGGTGCGAAAACGGTTTGTGATCAGCGTCCTACTACAGCGTATGCGTTGGGGAAATGAGCCGTCTTGTTTGTCGCTCGCGTGCGGGTTTTGAGCCGGGAATGAAGATTGGGAAGAAGAAACGCGGGAAATGGCTAGACATAAGGAGGAGCTGAAAAGCGGCCAAGAAAATGGGAAAGGCAAGACCCCATCCCCCCCGGATTTCAAGTCTAGGTTCAAGCAGCTCCACGGCACTTGATCTTCACAGGTTTGGTCGACTTTAGCTGTCGTCGTTCAGACTAGCCAGCGTCAACTAACTAGGGTGCGGTATTTGCAAATATACAGTGGATTCTAACGCAATTGAGGTCCGCCTCCGCTCGCGGGGCTCAAGTCACCAGCGAGTCTCTAACTAGCACGAAAGAAGCCTTTTGCAACAGATAAGCCGGAGCTGAACGCAATGCCTTGGGCACGTCGTTCTCCTCCATCGGACTGCCTATTTTGGGCAACTCTGACCCGTTGTGCAGAAGCGATATATTGGGAGTGAGACAGTAAAGACAGTACTATACTGACGTCACAAGCTGCTTTGTAAGCCGTTAGCTCGATAGTGACCAAAGACAGCTACGGTCGTCCGATGATACCGTGTGTATTTTCCGAGGCTATGTGCATATATCGATTAGTGACTAAGAAGAGGAACATCCGAAGTTAGGCTCATATGAACGCCGAGGGAATGGTCTGGGCTCGGCATCAAACAATGGTGCCAATTACACAAGTATCAAGGCAGAGATATGATGGCGTGCTTAGGCCATTGCATCTCAATATCCTTGAGGGATCGCATTGCAAGTTCTCGGCATATATAAAGAAAAGCACAACAACTCCGACGAAGACACATCTGCAGTCAGGGGATTTACAATAGTCAGGGTCATATAAGGTAAATCTGGTTCAGCCAGTAGTCCATTTAGGAAAGTCGCAGCAAGAGAATCAATACAGATTCTCGAACTCTGCCCCAGGATGCACTGCAAAGAATCTCTCAAAAAAAGGAGAATAAAACTGAACAATTTTGGAGGAAATCTCGCAGGCAAGAAATCTAGACGCGCAAATGCCTGATTCTCCACCACATGTTGCGCAAAGCCAAAGAAGAGTGTGCCAAACCCAGAACTTGTGTGTTTCTTCTCATTGGTTTGTGGATGCTGAACCACTGTCAGATATTTAAGAGCATCTTCTGTCTGCTGGTATGAAGATACTCCAGCTAAGCCGGACGGGCAATCTTCCAAGTAGAAAACGCGGTGAGAGTCAGGGCGGCTTTGCATTGCTTCGTACTCGACTAGATAAGTGTCGAGACTGGGGAGTTTTCCATTGTCCTCATTGTCGTCGTTCCTTCAAATACCCAGACCGTGCTCTTCCTCGAAAATCTGCCGACTGCTCAGATAATAGCCCCAGGTGATAACTCGTAATCTCTTCAACACTAGGGTATACTTGGGCTCGTCATTGCTTTTACTGGTCCAACAAGTCAAAGATCCAGGACAGCTTTTCGCCCATCAAGTCGATATAATCTTTGCATCTTCAGCATGATTCGAGATAATGTTTCCCGAATAGAGCTAATCTACCACCACAATGTAATTGGTTATTCTCCATTATTCACTCGCAAGCCTCTTAATTCTAACTCAATATGGAATACTAGTTTGAAACCGTGATCTTAAATTGGACTTCCCCCGCTTGAATGTGTTATCTTATAGTAGCACGTTCCCCTGATAGTCGATATAAGAGGCCATCAAGTACCCACTCTTGGTGTTCTCTGCAGTGTATGGTCTCAGGGCACTGCAACGAATATCTTTGAGCTTATGTCTCGCAGTGCCATCATTTCAAGCGCCCAAATAAACCGTAGATGCTTTTCAGGGTGCACTAGTAGAGTCTTGGTAGCCTGACACTTTCAAGATGATCACTTTTACATATATAGTTTGCGCATGAGCGCGATGCGCTCGTCGCCTAAATCTTAGACCTAGGCGTTTACATTATGAGACCTTCTCCTATGTCTGAGACTGTAGCCTTCAGTGTGTGGTGCGAGGTGAACCGACGTCATCAACCTGGGGTGATAAAATCGATCGGTACATTTGATGTTTAACCAAATTGCTGTAGTAGATTGCCAGGACTAGTGACGTTGGGGAATTCGGGGAAAACGTGATCATTATATGGGTAGGCCAGAATGATTATACATCAAGGGGTAGTATTCCTTTCGGCACAGTTAGCCGGCTTGAATGTTTCATGTCTCTAATACAACCTATTTCTGGTAGACTGGAGGACTGCGGGGATGTGACTAACTTGGAGGTTATCGAAGCTGCCTGGGAGTACGAAGTTGTCTCCAACTGCCGCGGAGTCGCCTATACCACCATCTAAAGCTGATTGACTATTATTTAGTGGCACTCGCCTAATTGCAATGGGTAGCGGAGCTACTCGTGACGCCGTGGGAACAGCACCTGCCTTGATCGTCTCGGTAAAGCTGGAGGCTTCTGATGGTGCTCGCTCAGGAGCACGTTTATCTTGGTCATCAATATTCTGGCGAGCTAGGCAATAGATCTCCTGTGGGTACAATATACATTCCGACATAGACTGAACTTGCGATTCCGAGGTAGACAACCTGTGGATTTCAGACAGTATTCTCGGGCTTTAATTTGTGACACAACTTACGGTTCATTTTCTGCACTGACTGGAGTTTGGGCTGACTGAGTGGCCGTAAGATCTTCAAGCTCAAGCTTGGCCTTCTTCACCACGTCCGACGCTGCCGTGTACTATACATCTTTGTTAGTGCTGCTGTGCCAAGGTGAAAAGGGGCCAAAAGTTCCATACCAATGGTTTCGCGAGCTGAAACATTGGAACCATTCTTTCAAGAGCCACAATGTTTGCTTGCATGCATGAAACAACATGTGGCCTAATCATGACAAACTTCGTGTATGAAGTTCCCAACCTGCGAGTGATATAGTGCGCAATGACCCTGGTTGAGTCATGAGCTATGACAGGTAGCCAGGTATCTGCAAACGCTTGAGGCCCGTGCTTCAAAGCTTCCTCGAACGTCAATGATATTGCCGTTGCGGTATCCAGACATCGGTCTTGGGTACGTTTTAGAAAACCTGACTGATCAGGAGGAAAGTCAATTGCTTCTCGATTTGGAAACAGTTCCCGCATACCAATACAATTGAGGTCACAGAGAGTTTGATGGTAGGTCCAATGAAGCAAAAGTAGTGCTCCAAGCTGTGCAGACTCTTTCCGCATATAAATAGCTGTTCGAGTGAACTGCAAGCTGCTGGGCAAACTCCGATACCATGACAGGAGGCTCATCTCAAGTTTTGCAAAGTCGGATTCCGGCAGCCAAGGCAGCAAGGCTGTGCCATGGTACTTGACATATCTTAATAGTTAGCCTGATTCATATGTACTAAGGACACACTGACTTCATGACTTTACGCCTGAGACTCGAAAGTCTAATGAACTGGGCTTGTAAATCTAGCGTGTCGGCAGGGCCTGTTGCGTGGTCCTCAGCTGCGACAAAGGGTAGATATTTCCCAATTTCAAGGGTCTCCACAATGCACGGTATCTCGAAGTTGAAGTTACGTTCGTTGCATGGTAGCTGAATCTTTATATCGCATTCTCGTAGTAGAGTTAACTCATCGGCACCACTTCCAACCCACTACACAAACACATCGATTAGTAATGCCGTAGTAGATAAATGGTGTATGACGAAACGAATGGTTTTCACTAGGAAAATGAGTGTTTTCTCACGGAGTCCATGATGTAAATGCTCCACATAAGTCGTCGTCTTGCTTCTCGAGATGACCATTGAAGCTGTCGCTCTGATGAAAGGATATCTTTCGTCTTTTCGAGGTTTATCTGTAATACCTGCGACATACGCACGGCTAGTCCAGTAAATATGAATGCGCTCGCGTAACTGCCGATTCGTAGATCATGCTCGTGTAGAAGAACCAGCGCCTGGCATGCGTGTAAGTCTGCTGTGATTTATGGATCTCAGCACAGAAAGGTGAGGTAGTTACCATAGTACTCTGTACCGACGCTTGATTTACGTCTATCACAAGCAATACCTTTGCTTTTGACGCCCACTGACTGCCGACGCGAATTGCGAAGTCCTCGGGCAATTCTCGTGGTCTAGCACTCTTGAGCGCATAGAACCTATGAATGTAGAATTAGCGACTTATTGGAACACACAGCATAGAAGCGGAGATCTTTACTTAGCACCTAAGGCACATATAATGTTCAATAGTGGATCTTTTTGTTGCGCCTCGAAAGGTTGTTCGTCCAATTGCTGCATGTACGATGACTTCTGGACAAACCCAAAGCAACGCAAGTTGTAAATATTGGCAAAAAACTCCTCGACAAGGACGATTATTCTGTTCTTCTCGGGTAGCTCAAGCGACATAAGCCTGGTTGATGTTAGCGGCTGGGTACCATATTGAGTATAGGAACGGTTTCACCAAGAGAGTTCGTTGGGGCAATAGACATGGCTGGTTTCGTTCCCTGGAAGTCTGTTGACATCCGTGCCAATTGGATCTGATAGATAGTTGTTTGAAGGCCTTCCCTCTGCATGAGCGCTATCTGAACTTGTTGAGTTTCTTGAAATATCCATGGGTTGAGGTTCTACGCCATGGCTATTCACAGCTTTTGAGATTGTATCGACCCATGCAGGCGCTTCGTTGCCATCATAGATACAACTGAAATTCTTCTGTTGACATCTTACACAGGTTGGGCGATCCCCAGAGCACTACACATGGGTGTCAAGAATTACTTCTCCAGAATGGGTCAGGGTGTCTTTGGGAGGATTGTGAAATAGTCATGAAGAATCCAGTGCTTTGAATGGCAGTATACACTGCATAGATACAGGGGAAATGGTAGAATATAATCCCAAAATGTGCTTACTCTCGTTTTCGAGCTGCGACAATTTTTGCAAGACCGATAGGTTCTTATACGCTTGAGACCTGTCTGGGTTTGCGCGAAGCCCTCAACAGGATCTTCATACTGCCGGACAATACTGCTGGCATTGGGGCAAGATAGATTGAGCCTTGTACAGTTCAGACATCCGCCAGGACGTTCATCGCATTTAACCTATAGGGCGCGTTAGCATACTTCAATGACCATAAAGATCGCTAGTGAACCAACCTTCCGGGAGCGACACGTGCGACAACCAGTCCTAGACCTTTGTTTGCCTTTGTTGTCCATTGGCTTTTCGTGATCTGCTTTGCCGCCGAGCTTTCCGTTATGGTTTGGCGGGCGATCGGCTATTCTCAGTTTACGTGAGACACTTGCCGCATATTTTATGATTCGTACAAAACTATGACCTTCTCTCCCCTGCCGCGCAAGTCAATCCGTATGTTGGACTAACCTTGCAAGTTTGTACTTGGACTCAACTGGGAAACCACCAGTACACCTGCAGATACATGTTTTTCGTTTAGGCTCTTGCGACGCAACTGTCCAAAAACCGCATAAGACACGGGAAGCTTTCGGGTTGGCGTGGATGACAGCTGGCTGGGGGCCATCGCAAATGTAAATGCCAGAGTCAGGGCCGCAATTTAAGGTGCCCCTCCACTGATGTCTCTTCGTAACGACTTAATTCCCCACTTAGCACCTAGCTTAGGTTAGAGACATCGCACAAGAGGACGGCATGCCGACTCTTTGACATCCTCGAAGTGTCATTCGTAATTGGATGAATCCTAGTATCGTCTGTTGCAGAGATGAGTAATGTACTCATTGGTTAATACCGAAAAAAAAAATCATTCCGCCACCATAATGCTCTGAATGATCGTGCGGACCGCTCACAGGCGTCTTCGAAGGTTCCAGCTATCAGCCCATACTTGAATGACTGCCTGTCGCCAAGCGTTACATAATAGTCTACGAGTGGACCTATGTGTAGTAGCACATGATAGATGGTCATTAGTAAGTAAAACAATTGTAACTATAGTATCTTGAGTATGATGATTCTTTCAGCAAATGATATACATTTCGAGACGAAAGCCCAAAGCTACCAGTTTTCATGACGTCATTGTCACAAATGGTGGCCGATCTAACACAGCACGTTCGATATTCCTTACATGCCAGTGATCTACATAGCATCAAAACTACGGCTTCCCGTGTTGGGTACGGAGACGAAACTTATTATCGCTGTAAGCTCCTAGTATATATCCTACATAAACAGGCCAAAATCGGTAGTAATAGGCGACGTCACCGCGAGCACGGTAGATGGGTCCTTTTGGTTTCATATTCTGCACTTGTCTCATATTTTTGTTCACGTTTGCCATATATTTGCCCGGCCCAAAAGTAGAACAATGTTAGCAATCAGACAGGGACTATGATCGTCAATGCTTTGTTGTCGGTATGTCAACTAGAGGGGCCGGCCTGTTTGGAATGGTTTTGAGCTCTGGACGGAATTCTGGTTGGCAAACAAACGGACCAATCTACGGGAGAAACCCACTATCTATGAGAGATCGACCGATGGCAAAATAGATGACAAATTAGGGTGAATTCTTGCTCAATCTTGAAACCGTTAATATAACACTGACATTGACATGTCTAGAGCCTAGTCACATGCTCCACATTCCACAGTACATCGCATATATTGAGCAATGACCCTTTCAGTTTACCATAAGATTTACAGATGATACCCGCGAGAGTGTATCCTTGAGTGGTTCTAACCGACTCGAGCTCAAAGCTTCATCTATGGAGGGACGAACTGTTTGTGAGAATGGAGACGAATATACTTGAATTTTGCCATGTGCTGTCACGGCCTCAGAATATGACTCCCTTTCCTTTCAGGCAACTCGAGAGAGCCGTTCCTAAAGCCTAATCTATACACTATCATTTGAGCCCAGCCGTTGCTATAGAGCGAATCCCCAGTAGTAATGGACGATAGACGTGTTGGAAATGTGTTATCATTTGGGCATACCCAGGCAAGAATAAGACTGTTGCGGATAGAATCGATAATCGACACAATTTTCTCAGTGTATGTATTTCATAAAGAATTACGTAGGTGATCTTGAGCAACGGCTTTTTGTTGGCACAATGGGATTTAAAACTCACAAGTAATTAGTCCAATTCACCACTTCTCTTGTCATTTCGGTAGCATTCGATGAAAGCATATATTAATTTGTATGTGCCTAGTGCAATACTAGCGGCTGAGCGTGCGTTCCATCACTGAGTGCCAGAGTGCATGCGGAACAATTGCAACCCCAACATCTTTGGTCCCATATCGTCGCTGCCTTTCTTAAAATGGCCGATCGTGATCAACGATCGGAATGTCCCTCAAATGTTATCCATGGGTATTTGGAGATGCCACCTCTATATGCTGTATATGCCCGACTGTAATATGGGAAACACCAACTCCGGCGCCATGCTCGAATCCAAGGAGCTATGAACAATGATGTGGTTCAGTAAGCAGTATTGTTTCTGCCAAAAATATACTGAGACTCATGAGTATGTAGCAGGTGAAAGACTCAATCCTGCCGATCAACCGATACTGAGTCGCCATACAGGATTCGTCACATATCTTCAATACCTTCGTCGTCAACGTCCACCTTCACTATCTTCTTAGGAGGAATGGACGCACCATGGCCCCGACGCATGGTCGAAGGACGGTAGCTACGGGGGTTTTGTGACACGCTCTGTTTGAGACTGTCCGGATTCTCTTTCCCGAGCCGCTCAACCTCTTTGGCGGCTGTCTCATGAGCATTATTCAACCGCCTTTTCATCTTTTCAATCTCTTCCGAACAATCACCATCGCGCAGGAACTGATGAGCAGCTCGCTCACACATACCCTGCACAAATTCCAAGGCTCTATCAAGTTCGTCATATATATCACTGGACGATTGATCGGGAGCTCCGACACCGCGGTTGAGCACTCCAGGCCCGCTATCTGTTAAGGTGCCTCTCATTTGCACATAGCCTGCGTTTGGCGGTCGGTAATGAGCAGGGCCCATGATGCGGGTACTCATATAACGCAGTTTGAGGTCCTCTGCTTCATAATTCCTCTGGCATTTGGCGGAGATTTTTGGGTCTGCCGCGATAAGCGCATCGCCTGGCTGCAGTGTTTCGTCGTCGTCGTCATCGTCGTCGTCGTCATCGTCCGGCATTTCGAGTTCCGCCAGTCGTTTGATTTCTGCAACCTTGGCTGCCATCTTCGCTTTGCGCATCTGATTTCTCTGGGCCGATACAAATTTGACAAGCTCTTCAAAAAATGACTGCACGAAACTGTCATAATAAACTATGATCATACTCCTGCTCCTGTAGGTAGGTACCGGACCTTCAGCACTGACCATCGAGTCGGTCTTCTGTTTTTTTCGGAGCACCGCACGGGCGCGCCTTTGCGCCGTCGCAGCTACTTCTTCTGTCTGTCGTCGGATCGATGAAGGTGTCTTCGGGTCGCTATCCGGGTTCGAACGATCTGCCGTTGATGGTTCTTGTACTTGTGATTTCTGCCGCTGCTGGCTTAGAGAATTTCGCGCCGGAGTGGCTGACAAGCCGCGAGGCGCTTCGGGTGTTGGGAAAGCCTCGCCGTCGTCTTTGGGCTTAAGTGACTCTGTCGAACCCTTATTCCTAAGGGAACGAGTAGGGGAGCCAGGCTTCTGGCCTTCAGCCTTGGCTAGGTTCGCCAAATCCAGCTGGCGTTGTTCGATTTGCCCATTGAGCTCATCAAGTCGCTTAACCCAGTCGGGTGCGTTGCAAACTAAAGTTCGTAATGTATCCATGGCGGTGCCGCAAATTGCTCCCCAGTCCAGCAATGCAGTTATGAATGTTCGGAGGACGACTCTCTGTTCCAAGGCACAGTCGCGAGTCTATTTAGACTAAGCTCTGCACTTCAACAAGACGCCGTTGCCCAGAAATAGCCGGGAGAAGGTGGCAATGCGGACCAAGCGGCGCCTCAGACGCGATTCATAACGATGAGCAGTATAAGGGCTCCACAGCTGGTAAGATAATGTACAAAATATGAGTGAAGTTACCTAGTAAAGATGAAAAACGAGGACAGAATTAGGAATGATTAAAAAGAATCCAAGCGGGTTTTCGGAGTATTGGACGATAAAAGCTACTAATAATACCCATCAGACCCGTCACACACCCCAGTCCTTAAGCCTGTGGAGAGACCAACGGTGGTATTCTTTGTTAGTTTGCAGTAGCTAGATTTGGGACTCAGGGGGACCCTGTATTTCTGCCAGGTGGTGCGGTGAGGGGGACATTGCCAAGGATTGCATGCTAGTGATTGACTTTGATGGTATGATCAGCGACTAATGAAATTCACAGCCAGAGTCAGAGTGCAAGTGTCTGGTGTGAAGCTGGTCCAGGAGGACAACCTGGCTGCTTGGCTGTCGAATGCCACTCATCTTAGAGCGATTGCCCGCGGCGCCTGTTGCAAATACTTGGCCTGCTTGGGCAGCTCTTCATGGTACTCGATATCGCGACTGAATGATGATGCAGTAGTGTTGAGTTGTAGAATGCGGTCAATGCTACAATATGATGAATAAGATTGCTGCAACCCTAGATTATTGTTGTCGTAAGGAAGCTTTTTTATTGATTTTTTATTTTACTTCAGTTGAGCCATCCCGCAGACGAGACGGGAGCAGTTTACAGTTCGTGACTTTAGGCTCTCGCCCAGGGGAGGATCAGCAGCGTGATTCTAGATCCAATGTTTCACTAAAAGTAATACCTGCCGCTGTTCTGGGGCAAACAGCTAGAGATGATACAGTTTCGTGAGAATCATACACCATGACTCAACGATGATCTCTTATCCCCTTGATGCTTTTCTTGTCTTGTTGTCAATTGAACAATCATCTTCATTTTCATGCCCGAAATTGGTCGCGACCTTGTTAGCACGTTTGTGGGGTAGAATTTTGCTGGGGTTGGTTGGTCTTTGGTCGAAAAGTACCATGTCCAGCATGATTATGCAAGATGAACAAGGGGTTTCTGTGCTTGGGGGAGGGAAGGCAACTTGCAGAGACTTGCTGTATTCGACTATATTAAGCGAATTCTCAAAGTCAATCCAGAATGGGAACGTCTTCATACCGAGCGGACTTCAATATGAGTACCTTCCTATAGAGCATAAATGGTTTAGACCACCAGTTATTGCAATTTAGTGCATGTGGAAACTTCATCCAGGTGGTGATCAGGCTTCTATGGCGCCGACTATCTGAATCTTAATGTGCTTCTGCTAGGAGTGGCTGGAGCTTCTTCCGCTCGGGGCAATCTACACCATGAGTTGCATCTGCAAGCGACTGGCGAGTTCGCAAAGCCACTCATGGGGAGAGCGTTACTTGAACGAATACCTTCCAAAAATGACCATCAACAAAGCCACTCGTGTGAAGAGGTAATTCCTTCGAAGCTCCAAGAACGCTTGCCCAACTGAGGCGGACAGGGGGGTGTATCTAAGACCGACAATCTGAGGGATCGGATCGTCTCAAGCGTTGCTGCAAGTGCGGGAAGAGAAACACACACAACCGCGGCCGAGATGGTCTACAATGGACAAGCATCAAAGTACGAAACATACCAGATCTACACATACATAGGGCTTATGCATAAAGTGCAAGGCGCCCAATTGGGTTAATAACGACTGTGGGCAAACGAAAGTCTCACGGGATGTCATGCAGAATCAGTCAAGAACTGAGCATACGAATACGGAGAGCGGCCTAGCCATCCGCTCAACCGCTCAATCTTGGCCACAACTTACTTGTCCGCCGTTGCAAGGTATAATCTTGGATTACTGATCAAACAGAGGACTATGGACGTAGTTCCTGTCGATGGGATCATGCGCTGATGTGCTCGCCGTTGGAAATCAAGGGATATCTATCAAGAGGAAGCCACGCATTCAATGCCGTAACCAGTGTGTTGAGAACGCCAACATTGTGACGTCTTGGCTTTCGTCTGAGCTAGCGATGCAATTGATGTGTTATGGTACATCTGCTTGTACATACATACACACTACGGAGTATAGCGGTGAAGCTAATATTCTGCCCCCAGTCTTCCGTTCTATAGCGTAACGGTGATCAGCCGCCAACCGTCTCGCAGTTCCGGGCATCCTCAGTGCTGTAGCATTGGATGCATGCATGGTCCTTTGCCAGTTTGCGCTAATGAAATGACATGCTGTAATCCCGAGGTCGATATCATGAACAAAATTTGTCTTGTCATGTCTCTGTTACTTCTAAGATGTTACGTGCGGTGCAGGACTGCAGAGCCAACCGCTGAATCTAATATGGAGAATGGAGAAAGATACTGTAAAGTACCTTTGATGATCTGACATTAGAAGTTGTTGGGCGCCTGCTTAAGGTGTTGTCACCCTGGACGTTTCGATACAGCGATCTTTTGCAGGCACCTAGATGTCAAGCCCGGCCCGCTTCAGAGTCGAAAGTCCCGTGCAGGAACACAATCTCGAGTGCCGCACAACAGCAGCAGATCAACCGTACGTTCAAAAAGACGCGCCTCAGTCTCCATATATGATGTAGCAGCATTGGTAAACTCGCGCGATAACATGTGCCGCTAAGGCCGAGGGTTGGACGTTGAAGTACGGCAAGGTAACACGGCAACACGGCCACATCGAGCACTCATGGTAGTGAAAGCCATCCTGAATGCGACAGGACTAGGGGCTCGGGCCGTGACATGACAGCAAACTCTATGATGCCTACAACCATAGCGCACCGTGACTTTCTGAACAGATGGCCTAAGGCCAGTGAGTGCCAACGGGCCGATAATGGATGGACGACAGGTACCAATCCCAATTGTGACGACCTCGGGCCCGAGGACAACCAAGTCAGTCAGACGCCTGTGTTTAAAGCGACCAAATGCGAAGTGGAATTGCCGGCAGCAGAGGTGTGTTGATGCTTCCCACCCTCGTATGCCACTCAGCTACCACTGAAGTACTTTTTATGCCAGTGCCTGCCTGTCCTCGAAGCGATTGGTTGTGTGGGGACGGGGTTTGCCATTTCGAGAAGCTTGCCTGATCGACATTAGTGGTGAATCGGTGATCCATCTCATCCATCATTGTGAACTCAGCGACGGCTCTCGATAGCGAGAGCCAGAACGATTTCATCCACTGACACCCCACATGCCGGCATTTCGTTCGGCGCTTGTTTTTGGAAGCAAAGTGTCTACCACCTAAGGTTAGGAAAGCTTGTCAGGTGACAGAACCCTAATTTACTATAAAACAATTACAAGTACAACAACTATCTTATGACCCCATTCCGCGATGCAACCTTTGTCAATTTGCTGCTAGAGCCCCATCATAGCAGCGGGTTGAACGCAAATGAGTTTGTGTCACATCCGCCGGGGGTTTGAATGGACGGAGTACGATGCCATGCGCGATTGGTCTTGGGTGCGCATGATCAGGAACGAGTTAAACTTATTTGGATGTCATTCTCATCCGAGCAAGCCGTTATTTGTAATGCATGACAACGCCTTCCCCGCTGTCGACAACACGTAATCTACACGTACCTACGCGCAGAGGAATGACAATGTCAGTAATCTGGTTTATCCATCGACTTGCGGCTGCGGACGTCTCGGGTGCGCTGCCAAAACCGTGAAGATATGGCCGTAATGCAACTCCTCTCAATGTGATTCCTCATATCGTTTCCAGATTCGGTCAAAGATCCGTAGCTACGTACGACAAGATCTTGTCTGCTTATTAGCATGCTCTAGCTTCGCAGGTGTGCTGGAAGCATCGTGACAGAATCGTACAACTCTTCAAGCAAAAGAAAACGAGCCTGCATTGTAGGCGTGTTGAGTTCGCATTCTCGCGGGCAGGGCGCGGGCACGGTGCGCTGGGAGGGGACATGGGAAAGATCCCCGGTCAATGCCGCAACGTGGATGTGATGCATGAGCGGCAAGCCACCCTTGTAGGTCCCCGAGGTACTCCACGTGGGAAATCGCCAGGTCCCCGAAACGCCCTGCAAATCACATCCTGTGCGTGCTCGTGTGCAAATTGTATTGATGTGAATGACTTGCTTTTGCGGCTTGTGGTGTGCTACGGCAGTTAACTGCCGCAGCGGAACGGCCCTCGAGATTGAGTTCATGAATCACCCTGTATGTACTAAGATCTTTAATTCGTTATTATCCCTTGGTCTTTGATACAGCCTTAGCCGGCAAGTGAAGATCATCATCGATTCTGCGGCTTTTTATAGAGATGAGGCTGGCAGTCCTAGGAAGCTCAATAGAACGTACGTACAGGCCTTGACCTCTCACTTGCTGTACCTTTCAATGAATATAACAAAGAGTCTAACTTTGTCATGCAATATTATTGTTAAAAAAACTTACTTATCATCTGGTCTACTACCTGAATGCGGCTCATATATGCTTCTGGTCTACAAAACTGACGCTGCAGTTCTAGGCATAATTAGGCAGACTAGATGAACATGGCATCGTTCAGGTCTCACAACCTGTGTTCCGCTACGACATAGCGAGGTCCGCAGCTCTTGCAAGAAGACAATTCCAAGTCATGGGTTATTATACTTCATCATCAGATAATATCCAAAGTGGGCATTGCACCAGAGCAGCGCGCCTATGAATTTCAAGCAAATGCTACGCGCTCGAGTTTTTAAGACTTGTAAGTATGTCGTTGGTGGGAAACTATTGACCTTCGAGCATGAGAACACCGGGTGTATTCGGTGCCCATATACCACCACTCTTAGCCTAGTAGCTTTGATATATGAATGGAATGCATCGTCGTTCGATTATCTTTAGATCATTTTTGACATATTGACGCCTCGCAAAACTAAGCATGGGGCAGATTCCTTGATCACTGAATTTTCTGTCTGCAAATTTTGTGTTCAAAACCAGTCGCTATTAGACCGGCTGATCAGATTCCACCAGTCCCTTCAGGAGCCATTTAGAGACATGATTTTTGCATGATGTTCGCTCAAGGCCACGTCTCGACCTTCTCCCACCCGTCCTCAACATGACCACCGGGATACTCTGGCTCTCCACCCTTCTCACCAACGAACCTGTAGATCCATCTGCGGGCCCTGGATGGGTCGCTCAGATCACAACGGTCAACCTCCTCGGGGACAATAACCACGACCCTAAAATTCTTCCTCGCGATCTCATCGTTGAGATCCGTGACCTTCTGGCCCAGCGCCAGGCCGTCATCGATCGGCAGACTCACGGGCCTGCCAGGTGGCGGATTCTTAAACGAACCTCTCATGCCAGGGGCGCAGTTGCCGAAATGCGCAGTAACCTCACGACTCCAGCTCCAGCCAGCCTCCTGTTTCGTCGCGTGCTGGGAGTTCCTTGTCCTCATCCTGCCCTGTAGCAGCTCCGTCGTCTCGTTCGCCTCGTCCACGTCCGGCCCCAGCACGTAGGCCCTGCCCCTGACGCGCCACTGCACCGCCGGCTCATGTGCCCAGAAGACGGCCTCAACCGGTCCGCCGCCACCTGTGCCCTGCAGCTTCCCGCTGTCGTCATCGTCGTCACTGAAGGCATTTCCGCCCTTGCTCGGAACTGCTGGCACGTCGCCCCACAGCTCTGGCATCTTGTCCATGCGCACATCCGTAGTAAAAGTCAAGAGCTCGCTGTCGAAAATCTGTGGGTTCAGCGGCGCATCGTTCTTGGGATTCACATCCATGTTGGCCAACATGCCGCGGAAAACGCAGGTGCGGGCACGGGGAATGTGCGTATACCCGTCGCCGACTTTGATGCCGTACGACGCGGATGGCGATGAAGAAGGGACTTTGCGAATGGTGCTCAGGACGAACTCGGGCGACTTCATCGATCCAACGTGTTCTAGAAAGAGGGTGCGCCACGGCGCACCGTTGGTACCGCTGGAGGACGACATGCTGGCGCTTTGGCTGGTGATGTGACTGCTCAGTTGTGAAATGCGGGATGAGATAGTGCTCGGAGGTAGTGATTTCGGCGACGCACGAAACATGGGTGCTTCTCCAATATCAATTGCAAGTATTGAGATGAACGAGTTGATCAGGTGCTCGGGCTCGTTTGATACAGGCGGCACCAGTCGTTAACGTCTAACCATAGGTCGAGGAATGATATGTCGCACGGTGATGACTCAACACTTGACCCACGTTGATGTCTACAACTAGAATCCCAATAGTTGATGCCGTGACGTCATTCGACTGACAAGTAAAACTTGTCAACTCTTGCAACCAGGATGCAAATGAAATTGTAAACCAAAACCGAGCGCGGTTAAGAATTAATCATTCCGAACCAGTCCTCCTGTATCGTTCCCAACTACCTGTTGAGTCCCTCGTCGATCTTCATAAGGTTAGACTAAGGCTAGGTAGTCTGGGCTTAGCGCATACTCTAGACTAGTCTAGGTAGAAGATTGGATCGCAAAGACACAAAACGCACAGAGAACACAGCCGAACGGAACGAATTTAGTACATATATACAACTATATACACATAAACGTATTGTACACATACGTAATACACAGTACAGAAATACCCAGCATACGCCGCCCAAGGCATACGCAAAAACGCCACGTACCCATGATATTTAAGTCATTTCACTCATGAGTGGCTTGTGCCATGCAAATGTCTAATGATGCAGTTTGCCTTTCTACCTTTAGACACGAAAAAAAAAACCCCCCCCGAAATACACCGTAGGCTAGGATAGCTATCTAGATTTTCAAAACACACCGATGATCTATGAAGACATAGAGCATCTTGTGAAACGCCAGTCAAATACGCCACGTTAGTGGGACATGACCAACGCCAACAATGCCATGCGGCAGTAAAGACCGTATCTCATCTAGCAAGAGTTAGCAATAGGTAAAACGACATGGAAAAGAAAAAAACTTAGATGAACTCACCTGTCTGAAGTACGCCGCTCTGTGGTCAAAGTCAACCTCCTCCGCGATCTCCTCATTTCTGGGTAGAGGGTGCAACACTGCCATCGTACTCTTTGCATGCTTCAAAGTCGCGTTATCAATGCGGTAAGAATCCTTGACTGCCTCGTACTCCTCTACGGTGGAGAACCTCTCCTTCTGTACCCTGGTGCAGTACAAGACATCACTTTTGGCGAGAATCTCCTTGGTCAAGGTCTCGGATTCGCACAAGAGCTGGCCAGAGGCAACAAGTTGCTCACGGACCTTGGGTGGCAGTCTGAGTGACTTGGGGGAAACGAGCTGCACTCTAGCTTGGTAGTGTCGCAGTAGGTACACTAGCGAGTGTACCGGACGGCCATACAAAAGATCACCGACGAAAGTGATAGTCAGACCTTGAACGGTACCAAGCTCTTCCCGAATAGTGAACAGGTCAAGGAATGCCTGTGTGGGATGCTCCTTGCTGCCATTACCACCGTTGATGACAGGTACATGCGCAAACTTCCTTGCAACATCAACGGATGACTCTTCAGGATGTCGGAGGACGACGGCATCGCCATAGCACTCAAGCGTTCTTAGAGTGTCCTGAAGTGTCTCTCCCTTCTGGACGGAAGAGTGAGAAGTGGTGATGGCAATTGTCCTACCACCAAGACGCTGCATAGCTGCATCAAATGAAGCTGATGTGCGTGTTGATGGTTCGTAAAACATAGTCGTGAGAACACGACCCTTCAAGACGTCAAGAACACCCTCTCGTTGGACACCCACTCGCATCTCCTGAGCAACGGTGAAAAGAAGATGCAGGTCAGAACGGTTGTACTGCTTCACTGACAGGACATGTTGTCCTTTGAAAGAGTTGGACTGTCGGAGCAACTGTTTGAGAGAATCCGTGGAAGGTTGTTGAACAGTGAGAGGAAGACCAAACTCCTCCCCGGTCGTGGAAACTCTTCGTCCGTCATCAAGAGCACCATCCAATGCCCGAGGCCTGAAGGAAGGTCTTTGTGCGAGAACGGATTGGCGTCTACCATGTGGACTGTCTGAGCCGAATCCAAGTGGATGAGTAGTAGGCTTGACAGCCGGTGACATAGGAGCCGGCATGCTGCCATGAGTTGACATATCTTGTCCAAGGGGTTGAATAGGTAGAACGCCGCCATCGAGGCAGACAGTCTTGCCGTTGAAGGTCACACGTTGTACGGCACCCTTCATGATCTTGCCAGCAAATGGAGTCCATGTGCCTGTGGAGGGAACGGTGTACGAACGGTCGATCTCTACCTCAATGGAAGTAGAAACTTGCTCGTGGAGCTCGAATATCTCCTTTGGATTGTCATACAGACGTGTCTTGACGTCGTCAACGGTCAATCTGCCTTGGGTAATGGATGTCAGAAGCAGTGGGAGGGTATCAGCAATACCAACAAGAGGGTCTGCCTCTACATTTTGGCTGTGGGCCAGCTGGTATGGAAGACTGCCAATAGAGAACACGTCGATAGTGCTGAGATGGTCCCAAAGAGCCTTTTGATCGGCAACAGTGGGTAGAGCCTTGCACTCTGGATAATCTTGCTGGGATAGATATAGGGAGTAGATTGAAACGTCACAAGTTACGTTCAGGCCCTTTTCCTTGCTAAGAGCAATCAAACGGATATCTTGCTTCGTGGTGACACTACTGACATGGATGCGTCTGCTATGGAGGCTCGCGAGCAGCAAGATCGAGGCAAGATCCGTGGTCTTCGCATCTGTCATAATAGGCTTGTGCGTTGGCCAAGAGTCAAAGTGAGCCATGACAGCTGCAACCTTGTTGATGTTATCTGACAGGTGGTTGAAAGGAATAAAGAGCGAGCCAACCTCGCTTGTGACTTGGCTGATCTGATCTGCATTGTCCGATGTAGCCGACACAGAGAAATTGTAGTCACAGTAACCACCGCGCTTGCTGTTCTGCTGAGCTAGCTTCAGGCTCTTAGCATCAATGATGGAGCCTTCTACACCCAACGGCATCACACGGATCATAGTGAGACCCGCAGCAACGGAAGCCTTGGTAACGGCCTGGAGATCATGGCTGCCTTGCGTAACAATTCCAGGAACGAATGCAGCAACATTTATCAAGCCTGGTAGGACAATTGTCCTGTGGCTTGTCTGATAATCGGTGTTCCTGACCTCGAGATCGAAATGTCTGGCAATAGCCTCAACCAGAATCTTGGCGTTCTTGACATTGGTAACCAGAGGAATCTGGTAGTCAACGGCCATACGTCTAGTCTGATATCCCTTGCTCATATAGTTGGCCGGTCGACGGTACTTGTTGTTGGATGGTAAGTTGATGTACAGATCGATCTTGTTGTTGGCAAGATGCTGCGTCAAGGAATACTCGGACCTCTGGTCCTCTTCGTCGGCACCAAGGACTTCGAGATATTGAACAGGGATACCGTTCTCTTGCAAGAAATCAGCGGTTCCCGCAGTGGCAAAGAGTTTATAGCCGAGTTTCTGCATCTTGGCGACAGAAGGCAGTATCTCCTGCTTGTCCTTGTAGGATCCGATTGACAAAAGAATGTTGGCGTTCGGGATTTTGAAGCCAGTAGAGATCAGAGCTTTGAGATAGGCCTCATACTTATTAGCACCGAAGCAAGCAACCTCTCCAGTAGATGCCATTTCCACACCCAACACAGGGTCTGCTCCTGAAAGTCGAGAAAAACTGAATTGGGGAACCTTGACACCGACACAATCTGGTGCAATCGTTGTAGCAGGGTACGCCACAAAGGGGACGTCCATGATCGCCTTAGTGGCCATCTCGATGAGATCTACACCCATGGTTTTGGACACAAAGGGGAACGATCGTGATGCTCTGACGTTACATTCAATGACCTTGATGTCGTTATCCTTGGCGATGAACTGAATGTTGAAAGGGCCAGTGACGTTCAAAGCAGCACCGATCTTCCTAGTGGCATCCTCGATGCGTGCAATTGTGGTGCGCTCAAGATCCTGCGGAGGCAAGATAAGAGTGGCATCACCAGAGTGAACGCCAGCGTTCTCAACGTGCTCAGAGATGAAGTGGCCAATAACCTTACCATCCTTGGCAACGGCGTCCATTTCAATCTCCTTGGCGTTCTCAATGTATTTTGTGATGACAACTGGGTGCAGAGGCGAGACGTCCACGGCCTGGTCTAGGAAGGACTCGAGGTCGGCCTCAGAGTATACAGTGTTCATGGCGGCGCCAGACAAAACGTATGACGGGCGGACAAGTACTGGGTAAGAGACCTTGTTGCAGAATGTCTTGGCCTCTTCAAGACTGGTCAGGACTTTCCAATCGGGTTGATCAACACCAATTCTGTCGAGTGTACGGGAGAACTTAAATCGATTTTCGGCAGTGTCGATCATTTCAGGCGAGGTTCCAAGTACCTTGACACCCGCATGGTGAAGTGGGAGGGCAATGTTGTTGGGTGTCTGGCCACCCATCGCTCCAAGAACACCACTTGCTCCTTCCATTTGGTAGATATCGAGGATAGTCTCGAGAGTGATGTTTTCAAAGTAAAGACGGTCCGCTTCATCATAATCGGTACTGACGGTCTCGGGGTTGTAGTTCACCATAACTGTCTTGAAACCAGTTTCCCTCAGTGTACGAATGGCTCGAACGGAACACCAATCGAACTCAACTGAGGAACCAATACGGTAAACGCCAGAACCCAGAACCATGACACCACGGTCATTGAATTCAAGGTCGTGTTCCGATGCATTGTACGTCAGATAGAGGTAGTTCGTGAATGCAGGGAACTCAGCAGCGACGGTGTCAATCTGCTTGACAAAAGGTGTGATGCCAGCGTCCAATCGCAGTTCTCGGACTTCGAGCTCGGTTGAGGACAAGTGCTTGGCAATTTGCTCATCACTGAAACCGAGGCGCTTGGCCTGGAGCAGAACGTCAGGACGCTGAGCAATATCGTCAACCTTGTATTGGGTCAAGGACTCGGCAAAGTTGTTCAGACCCATCAGTTTGTGCAAGAACCACTTGTCAATCTTGGTCAACTCCCAAATCTTGTCAACGGTGTATCCGGACGCCATAGCATTGGCGATAGCAAAAAGACGTTGATCAGAAGGTGTTTGTAGCTCATCATCGATCGACATAAGAGCCTTGGTCTCGCTGAAGCCCAGGTTGCTGAAGTTCACGGATCGAATAGCCTTCTGAATAGCTTCTTCAAAGTTCCGGCCGATACTCATGACTTCACCCACACTCTTCATGGAAGAACCAAGCTGAGTAGAAACTCGAGTAAACTTCTTCAAATCCCATCTAGGCATCTTGACAACAACGTAATCGAGGGAAGGCTCGAAACATGCGCATGTACTCTTGGTGACCGAGTTCTTGATGTCCTTCAATGGGATGTTAAGACCCAGCTTAGCAGCAATAAACGCTAGAGGGTACCCGGTAGCCTTGGAAGCCAAAGCCGATGAACGGGACAATCTGGCGTTGACCTCAATAATGCAGTATTCCTTTGAATCGGGGTTCAAGGCATATTGGATGTTGCACTCTCCGACGACGCCGAGGTGACGAATAACGTTGACAGCTGTCGTACGGAGCATATTGTAGTCGTCGTCGGACAAGGTCTGGGAAGGGGCCACAACGATAGAATCACCAGTATGAATACCAAGGGGATCGAAATTTTCCATGTTACAGACCGTGATGCAGTTGTCTTGAGCATCTCGGACCACTTCGTACTCAATCTCCTTCCATCCCTTCATGCTGCGCTCGATCAGCACTTGGGGACTGGCAGCAAAAGCCTTGTTGCAAAGGTCAAATAGTTCCTGCTCGTTGTTGGCAAAACCACTACCCAGACCACCAAGAGCGTATGCGGCTCTTACAATGACCGGAAAGCCAATGTCTTTGACCACGTGCATTGCCTCGTCGATGGTATTAGCAGAAGCAGACTTGGCACACTTCTCGCCAATGGACTCCATGCTGCGGGCAAACAATTCACGATCTTCGGTGGTAATGATTGTATCAATTGGTGTACCAAGAACCTTGACACCAAGCTCCTCGAACTCGTCCTTGAGTTGGATACCGACCTGAAGGGCAGTTTGACCACCAAAGGTGACATAGATGGCATCGGGACGCTCGTATTGAATGACCTTACGCACAAAGTCGGCTGTAACAGGGAGAAAGTACACCTTATCAGCAAGACCCTTCGATGTTTGGATCGTAGCGATATTGGGGTTGATGAGAACAGTATAGATGCCCTCCTCCTTCAAAGCCTTGATAGCTTGACTACCGGAGTAATCGAACTCTCCGGCTTGTCCAATGCTAAGACCGCCACTGCCGAGGACCAAGATCTTCTTGACACTGACAATGGGGTGTGCACGATTGTTCTCTTCGACTGTACCGCCGGGGAACTTGACAGGTGCATCCAACAACTTAGGATCATTTGCACAGTCAAGAATGGTGTTGATGAACACATCGAATAGGTACTCAGTGTCTCGCGGACCAGGTGTGCTCTCAGGGTGGAATTGTACACTGAAGTATGGCTTGCTGACATGCATAATTCCCTCATTGCTGCCGTCGTTGGCGTTGACAAACAGCTCCTGGTAACCAGTGGGAAGTGACTTGGGGTCCACAGCGTAGCCATGGTTCTGGGATGTGATATGACACTTTCCAGTGACCATGCTTGTGCAGGGAATATTATGACCACGGTTACCATACTTCAACTTGATAGTCTCAGCTCCAGCTGCTCTCGCAAGAAGCTGGTGTCCAAGACAGATACCGAATACTGGAGTGCGGTTCTTCTCCATGGTAGCAGCGATGTGTTTCACGGTGTCTTTCATGACTGCTGGGTCACCAGGTCCGTTTGAAACGAATAGTCCGTCATAGGATTTGCCAGCCTCACCAGAAAAGTCGTAGTCCCACGGGCATACCATGACCTCGACTCCGCGGTTGAGGAAACATCTAAGCTGGTTATGCTTCATACCCACATCAAGTATTATCACCCGCAGGTTACGACCCGATGGATGCTTTAACGCCTTATCGGGACTAGGCGAGTACAGCTTGGGGGTCTTGATAGAGACTAGCCACAAATAAGCACGATTCAAGGGTCTAGGAAGAGCAGTGACTTACCCTCAGCGACAAGATTCTTCTCGTTTGGGTCCACCCACTCAATTGTCTCGAAGTCTTCCCTGCTCAGCTTCTGTGTATAGCTTGAAACGCCGTTGGCTCCATTGGTCTTGTTCTGCTTCTGCAACATCATGCGCCCGAGCATGCTTCCTTCGACTCTGATCCGCTTCGTGAGGGCCCTGGTATCGACACCATAGACAGCAGGAACGCCCTGCTCCTTAAGCCATGTGCCCAGCGAGGAGGTGGCAAGATAGTGTGAGTAGTCTTCCCCGGAGTAAGAAGAGGTTACAAGACCAGCGATGTGGATCTGGTTGGCTTCGAAGTATTTGGGCAGATCTCCAAGGAGCTTGTCGGTTGCCTCCCTGGAAGGCACACCGTAGTTGCCTACCAGAGGGAAGGTGATGACCAGTATCTGGCCTCGATAGGAAGGATCTGTGATGGACTCAGGGTATCCTACCATGCCGGTCTGGAAGACTACCTCTCCGGCAACACTCTTGTTGGCACCGAAGCTGTAACCCTGGTAGGTCGAGCCATCTGCGAGTTCAAGGCATATGAGACCTTCATTGCTCGCGTCGACGACCCGCGCCGAGGCGGGATGGTGATGAACAACCTCCATCTTTTCGAGTTGTGTCCAAGGTCTGTAAAAGTAGCTCAGTCACAGCACCCCGCGCTTACTCTCGGCAGAGAAGAGACGGCCCCTATGGGGAAGATTGGGGAACAATGCAGCTCAGAAGCCCTGGTGATGAGCGCTCGTCTTGCTGCAGTTCGTCGATGGGCTCAAGTTCTCATTCCGCCTCTAAGTTGACTGGCGATTCTTGTAAGAATAGAGTTCCAAGAGGTCAGAAAAACTCGGTGAGCTTTTGGCACCGCTCTGGTTTCAACTTCAAAACTTTTTTTTTTCTGCTTCCGTCCCCGCAAGGCAATCGGTGGGGCAAGCGCCAGAAATATTTTCGATCTACAGCATCACTGACCAATCAGACTCCTGGTATGTCTCTGACCTGGACGAGTCGGGGAAAGACTTGCAGCTAGCACATGAGTCGGTCGCTCAATTGGCCAATCACATTTGCAGTCTTGGAAGCCCTGCATACCCTGCTAGATCCCTTCCTGTCGTCAAGACTGCATGTGCAAGAGACATTAGTGACCGAATATCGCAGAGCCCAAACATGATTTGTGATTTGTAGAAAAATATAATGCCTCAAACATCCTTACTGGACGGTTCCAGACGAGGTTGGGACTGTCTCAGAAGCTATGTCTGGCTGTTACAACGTAAGGTGCAGCCTGAAGTCAGTTATCTGGGGAATGGTGGGGCAAGGATGACGTCCTCACCATGCCTATCGATAAGAGCTGAGGGCCTCTTAGGAAACCAGTAAGCCTTGAGCTAAGTTGGAATGTGCCGTTCCCTGGTGCAATTGTGAGTATCTTTAATATGGCTTAATTCACCTGATTTCGAACATAAAGAGGCCTGATATAGATTTGATACTTGTACTTTTCAGTCAAGGCAAGGGTAAGGGGCCCTTGTGCGCGGAACTTAATAAATTCTCGGCAGCTTCACGAGGTGCTGTTGTTCGGATCTATCTTTGCACGACATTGATGAGCTGCGAGGATGGTGGTTAGAGGAAGCAACGAAACTAGGGTATGGTAGACGTTGGGGTTTATAAACTAAATACATATCATACCTCTTGGTTGTTCTCGGCTTGTGCAAAATACGTCAGGCATGAATTAGAAGTATACAATGTCTCCCCACATGTCACATAGAAGCGATGGAGTGACGGTATCGAACACTTCATCCATTGAACTGATGCCTGTGAGCATTGTGCCCACCCTAAAAGTGTTCTTCTGTATAACAAACACGAACATTCTTGAACGGAAACCAGTAAGACTAAGATCTGCTAAAGACGGTCAGCCCGCATGTACAGATGTTGTAGATGATGCTATTCAAAGATGTTCTCTATCTGGTCTTGCAATATTTCCTACTGTTTACGAAAACGGAAATCTCTAAGCTAATTCTATGGCGTTATTAAGTTCGTGTCTGTGTTAAGTGCCGGTCCACATGATTCTTCAGCAATAAAAATGTGTCCAATTACTTAGTCAGCCATCAGTGTCAACGCATAGCAAAATCTTGTGGAGAGGGAAATGGTCTAGTTGAGCTGGAACCATTAGATATCAGGCGCTCTAATAAAATCGGCATGGGATAACCTGGTTTTTCTTCGCGAATGTACCAATTCTACTGTTCACTGCTTGGCGGCTCAACTAGAGAAGTACATAGTGAATGAGCCAATTACTACGAGTAAGTAAAATCTAATAACACCCCCGCTACCACCTGTTTCAACTACTCTTGATAGACACGTCACATACCGTGATCAATAGTAGTCTATTAATTGGAAGTGTGATGGAACGGTGTGGAACAGAACTATCCACTGTTCCACTAATGACTACCTAAAGTTGTTGCCCTAGGTGCGTACCTGAGGCATCCATTAACTCTTCACCAAGAATGGTCAAGTACACATTGGCACCGGACAACAGATTATCTTCAGCCCTTAGGATTGCTGATTATAGGATCGTGGTAAATTGGTTGCTTCGACTCCGCCTAATCGCAAGATCATCTCGAGCCATGAACTCATACACAAAATTGGACATTCCCACAGCCGCCATTTGTGCTGTCAACTCTTACTTGGATTTTGCCCATTTCCAATCTCAATAGGACGGTGTTCATGAGTAACCTGTTTCAGCCACTGGCACTCTGGACTTATACCAACCGAGCACGCAGTACATTATTCCCTATGTTCTGAAAGTACATAATAAACTACGAGGTTTCCGACCAGATTCGGCAATGAATAAACGTTATAGTAAAAACGAAAATAAAATATACATCCCTGAGTAACTATTTGTTATATCTGTATTCCACTACGGATATATGAAGCTGGCAAAACCAAATCACAATGAGATGGCACGAATGAGTTGAAAAAGCTTGCCCAAATACGCGAAACCATCATCTGTAACGAGGTCACGGATCTTGAAGTGCAACATTATGGTGAACGTTATTTTTGCAATACCCGACCGTGGCTACCAATATATGAATCTCCCTTTGGTTGGGTTCCTTAGGAGGGAGAGTGAGGAGGAGCCTCTGAGTGTTTGACAACACGGTCCTGGAATAGTATCGAGTTTACGAGCTCAGCATGCTCAACTGGTTTGGAACGCTTGCTGGATACTCTACACAAGTCAAGGTTTCTCACCGTATGTCTTTAGGGCACGTATTGTCGAGTGAGACTCTGCGTACTTGGTCGGGGGCCGCTTATAGACATGGTATAAACCTGTGATTGCCAGTCCTTGCGAAACGCAACAAGTTTTCATTCCAGATGTGGAAACTGCAACTGGATCAAGGATAGTGGTAAAACTGAGTCTTCACATGACCGTTCAGGGAAACGGGAGGATCGAGTTGACAAACACCTCTGAGTGATCCGGGGAAAGCGTGGGGCATGCACGCTTTTGACGCTAGACCAAAGCAGTAGACAACCAGAATGGTATTGAAGCGTCATGGGTTCTCATAATATTCTATCATTAGAGCAAGTGTCATGGATGGGCCAATAGCCACATGAGGTATCCCGAACCTTAAGATAAGGGGTCTTTAGATAAGGACAGGGAATGAGTGGGATGTCTACCCGAAGTGGTCATGGAAACGACCGCTACTGTAGGTATGAATAGCGGCGGTGTGCATGATTGTGAGGCTAGAAGGGCAACATGCCACCTCCCGGCCATTGATTCAGTATCAACGTGAGTAGAGGGATACCTCAAGTGGCAATTGGCTGACACGAAATCATCGATAGGTCGCACACTTACACAAGCACAAGTGTGATGGAGGAAGTAGGGTACAGAGATTCTGCGGAACACGGGATATTACCGATAATGCTGCAGCTCGCAGTAAACGCCACAACGAAGCTCATCTGTTCCCATTACAACTGAACGGCCTTTCAGATGGCCGTTACCCAGTAGAAGTCTAGAGTCTAGACGTCCCGCAGTAGGTGGGTTGACCTGGATCTTGTTTCCAAGATTTGTCGTTTTTGAGAGAAAGCCCCAGGTTTGTCAATCGGAGACAGGGGGCCTCCTGAGCGACCAACAGGGGCTTTAGCGTGGGGCATTCTGCACCCATACAGTAACAAATGATTCGATTGCAGCGCCAAATCATACATATGTATGTACACCCAGCTTCTCTGCCGTGGTGAGCGAGGCAGATGACGCGCACTATAACTCCAACTAAGTGAAAAAGCAATGGAATCAATGAGGGCAGACCGAGCAAGCGGTGTGCCATTTTGTCGAATTGGTGCACACCACTAAGGGTCCGGCTGTGTTGCATGACTTGCGGTTTGATCAAGGTTGGCGTAGTCCATATGTACCCGGGTTGACATTCAAGGAAAGGATGGAGCATGCAAATTTGCTGCGCACCAGACGAGGCGCCTGCTTGCTCATTATGGAGTCTGCAACAAGTTCATGGAATGTTTGACAAGAACCTACTACAACGACTGCATACGAATGAACGCCTGGAACAAATGATTGTATATCGATCGGAACTGTGAAGAATCGTGCTGTGGTTTCGCTAGTGGCCAGGGTTGACTCTGGTAGCTCTCCCACTACTGCACGTGTGCTGCGACTGGGCAGCCGCTAATGGTCCCCATATTGCAATCTGCCTAGGTTAGTCTAGGGGCTTCACGTTTGTCAACGTTAATCTAACTCATAACATGGACCCCAAGAGATATATTGGCAGAGTATGGGCGTCTCGCTTTGGGTTGACCTTTTAGCTGCAACCTCTGACTTCCAATGACCCTCGGGTTTGAAGTGTAACCACCAGTGTTACGATCATCGTGCGGACATATCTGACGTTTACAGGTTTGCAGGCGTTGTATACATTACATCTGCACTCATCGAATGTTGTAGAGGGTTACAGCTTACACACGCACGCGCACCGCTGCTAATGGGCTGCATTAAAGCTCACCAAATTAGGAAGCAATTGGCTCCCTCCAGTGGCCCACCACAGCAGCTTCCTATCCCTGTTTCATGCAGTTTCCTGCAGCATATCGGCGGTCCGAGGCCCTCAAAAGGACCCAAGGCCGTGACTGCTACTGTACTGCAAGTAGCGTATGTCCACTGATTCAAGGATCGTCACTTTCATCCTCTTTTATTAGTGCTGACCCGCCTAGCATTGGACTGGGTTGGATTCTCTAGTTTCCGCATATCGCGGTGCGTGTTCTGTCCGCAACCTTTGTACGCGACAAAGTTGAATGCTGCTGCTCCCGAAACCCTAATGCGATTATAAACGTCTGAATTGTCCTAGGGCCGGGGACAGAGTTCGCCATGACGACTCAAGCGCGTGAGATGTTGTCAACGCTGCTGCGGTCCAACAGTGACAGGCTGCGTGGTCAAGACAAGGACAGAAGACGCCCCGTCGAGTCTTCCATGTTCAACTCGAATCCCAACACACCTTCTCCGGGCCCAGCAAGCCGTCGCGAGTATCTCGAGCCTCGCCATGCCACAGCCGACTTTACGGAAGCCGAGGACGAGGACGAGGACGAGGAATTCAACGAGAGACGGGAAGATGTAGGAGAGCTCCCCAGATTTACACGACATAGGCATGATGGTGGCCCACAAGACGCAGATGGCCGAAGAAGCTCGGCGACAATGATACCATTGTTCTCTGCAAGTCATTTAGGTGAGCTGAGACAAGCCGCTTTGTAAACACGGCACACCCTGAAAATACTGACAGATGTGCCTGCAAGACTCCCTGCCCATCTATAGCCTCGTCCACTCGATACGAATCATAGTTCAGACAAGGACGGAAACAAGCTTAACATGGGAACAGCTAAAGTCGCCTCAAGTATCGCAATTCCTTGTTAAGCCTATGCAACAGCAGATCAGAAACACGCATCTCAATCGAGCAACTTTATATGCCTTGATGGCAAACTGTCTGGGCTTCAAGACAGAGAGCGAACTTTATCCAGCGAATGCAGGCACGAGCAGCACGAGGGCCAAGGTTTGCGAGCTGCTTGCTTTGAAGTTGTTGAAGGAGTACAACACGAGAGAGCTTATCGATGCCCTGTCCTACGACTTCTATCCATTACAAGGCGCTCCAGACAATGGTCCTCGGGGCCCAAAAAGTCAACAAGCAACGGCGAGAACATCTACCCTGGAAGTAGCCATTCGGGCCTCGGCTAAGCATTTCCTCTCCCATCCTCTTGTGGTCCAACAGCTCGAAGCTATCTGGAACGGCTCCATTAGCTTTTACTCGTCCGCGGACCAGCTACATCGCAAGCCCCCAACCCCCAAGACGCCTAGGTCACCCGTAGAGAATGGTGCCAGATCTCCTATGAGCAGAGAGCCGGCTGATGCGAGGACTCCGCTTCTTCGGTTTGAAGCGCCAAGCGTCAAAGAGAACGAGGGACGAGGTCGGGGAGAACAGCTCCCGCTTTTCGAAGTACCTATCAGGCGGACTGTGGCCCTCTACAATCCTCACAACGCCTCTCCTATGAAACTATCTAGGCTGCGAGTTCCTCGTTATCGGCAGTTCTTCTCGACCTGCTCCCTGTTTATACTTATATGCCTCTACCTCGCCGTCCTTGTGGAACGTTCAAATCGTATTACCTCGCTAGAGTTGGTCTTCTGGTTTTGGAGTGCCGGATTTATGCTTGACGAGGTTGTCGGTTTCAACGAGCAGGGGTTCTCCCTCTACATCATGAGTTTTTGGAACATCTTCGATATAGGCATCCTGCTGCTCTTGGTAATATTCTATTGCATGAGGATATACGGCGTCTTTCTCGTTGAAGCTAAGGGCTGGAACGATATGGCGTATGATGTGCTGGCTGCTAATGCAATCCTGCTTTTGCCCCGTATGTTCAGTGTGCTTGATCACTACCAATACTTTTCGCAGTTGTTGATAGCCTTCCGGCTGATGGCTGTGGATCTCGCTGCCGTATTCATTTTGATCATGATCAGCTGCTCTGGATTCTTTGTATTCTTCACCCTGTCAAGAAACAACCATGATGCTGGCGATGTAGCCTATAAGATCTTCCAGATTCTCATGGTAAGCCCCTCGATCCTAGCAGTGCGAATTGCTGTTCAACTCTTGAAATTGAAAATAATGCCCATTGTCAAACCGAGTCTATCAAGACAAACACGCTAATTTTCCGTCTTTTTCCAGGGATTTACGCCAGCTGCCTGGGATGTGTAAGTCTAGTGCTTGTGCTTCACCTTCATTTTCGATTGTCGCTAACATGTCACAGTTGGCCGGAGTATAATTACTTGGGACGATTCCTCCTGGCTTCGTTCCTTGTTATCTGTCACTTTGTGGTGGTGTAAGCACTCCAAATTCTTGTATCCATTGTATCGTTGCTCATAGTTCTTTTTAGCACTATTCTTATCACAGTCTTGACGAATTCTTTCACTGCCATTGCCTCCAATGCCCAACAAGAACATCAGTTCCTGTTCGCAATTAACACAATCTCAATGGTGAAGAACGATGCTCTTTTCAGCTATGTGGCGCCAGGCAACATTATTGCCTGGCTGTTGATGCCACTGAGTTATGTTATGCCTATGCGGGACTTCGTTCGGATGAATCGAACAGCCATCAAACTCACTCACTGGCCGCTATTGTTTGTCATCTTCTGCTACGAAAAATACATATTGGCATCAGATATTTACGAGCCGACGGATCTAGTCGACAACCAAGCGCGTACTCGTACCCGTTCACGACTGATATCCTTTGCCGATCCGGCTTCGAGAACCGCTTTGTTTAGTCCCCATATCGGAGCTCGTGAGGGGTCTGTCGTTGGGCAGCAAAAGGATCAGGCTTTAGCAGAAGTTTTTTGGCGTGTGCCAGATGCGAACACCTTTCGTCAGCAGCGTAGGCAGGAGAGGAGAAAGTCGCAGACCGCAATCCGCAACTGGATGGAACAGAATGACACTGAAGAAGGTGCACCGTTGTCGCACTGGCCAACTATGGATAGTCGCAGAAGTGGTGGTAGTAGATTCGCAAAAAGGTTTAGGACGGTATCAGACGTTAGGTCGGCCGCGAGCGATCCTGCCGATTTGATGTCGAATAGTGGGTTTCCCTCTGCTGGCCGATTTAGAACCTTTGACGGACGCTCCCCTGGGCAGCAGCCGGAAGATAAGGACCAAACTGACGCAGATGGGGATGATGAACTGGTCACGAACGATGAAGACGAGGATGAAGTTGCAACAGAAGATCCGAGAGGTTCGAAATCACGCCGAGTGGAGGAAGATGAAGAGGACTATTTCACCACTCCGATTGCCTCACGCTTTGGTGTCTTGGCTCCAGCCTCACTTACGTCCACTCGCTCGTCCGTACCGGCAGCAATAGCCTCACCTCGAGGGGGCCGCCGGCAAGGCATGCACAGCCGTACAATGTCAACTAACACAATACTCTACGCGCCACAAGAAGTCAGGGATGCTCTAGCAAACGCTGAATCAGAATCCGACCAGCCAGTTACGTCTCGTTCTCGACCCTTAAGCAGTCGCCAAACTACAGTTGCCCCGACCCCTGTGTCCAGCGGAACTCGCTCGCCACGTCGGTCTGTTTACATACAGCCACCCGTGAGACCTCGCCCAATACCTTCAAAGACGGCACCCGACCGTCCACCGGTACTCAGCGCTCCAGCAAACCGTCGCCACGCACCGCTTACGGATGATATGGACATGAATTCGGAGTTGGGCCTGGACACTAGCAATGTGGAGGCATTCAGCGGCGTGCCGGCCTCGTTTCAGACCCAAATGGCTTGGGCTACGGGCCAGCTCAAGGGTCAAAATCGGAAGGCACAAGATCGAGAGGATTCTGACCGCCTAGCCCGCCTCATGCTCGCGAAAATGAAGGCCCTCGAAGAACGATTTGATAACGTGGCTCGCGAGATTCAAGCAGTACGTACCGTGGCCACGGCGCATAACTCCGGTGACGACAGAAGCTCTAGAGCTGGAAGCGGCACAGGCACTGTGGCCATAGAAATTGCGTCTAGAGATAGACGACGTCCTACGACAGCATATAAACGTCCGACGACACAAGGTGACCGAAGCCATCCGGCCAGCGGTGTGGAGGATAGACCGGTCTTGAGTAGGAGGAATACAAAACAGAGACCCAGGATAAAGGAAAGGGCAAAGCGATCGCTCGCTCTACCGGAGACAGCGGCGACGATGAGAAGGATGCACCAACTCTAAGAAGGAGAGGGAGTTCGTTTTGATCTCGACTGATAATCCTTCCCGTATTGCATTGTTTTGTAGACTGCATAGGGCCCTTGATCTCCATGAGTCGGGTCGCAACGAGCGATGCTGTCATTGCACTTCCCGCATCACGATATACACTGCTAGCCGCAGTCAGTGGCACTTGAGCCCGAGCATTTGGCTTTGTTGTTCTGCTCCGTACATGATCTGAGCTATGCTTTGTTCGTGCTTTACTGTCGATTATACAGAATCAGGGGGCTGGAGATACCACCGGTTGATACTGGTGTGTCGGACTGTGCGGCATTCGTTGTAGTATTATACCATATATATCTAGCAAAATAGCAGGCGCTATAGTAAAAAATATATGGACAGAATGAATTAAAAGTAAGTAGCATCATTTGATAAGGAAAATTGAAAATAAAATTCAAGTAACACCTACATATCCCGAATCAAGCCCGCGATCATCGCCGTTCTACGGTATACTCTTCCCTGTCCGACTTCTATCTCAAACCCCATGCCATCGAAAACTCAGCCGCCCCCTGTATGTAGGATCCCAAAATTGGTCACCGAGATGTACCAGCCCTTTTCCCTTTGTGCCACAAAATCTCCGCCGTCGATGGCTTTCACGACCCCCAGGTCCATGTCCGTAACCAATTACACTTCGAGCCGCGACAAACCTTTTTTCAGATTCCGCCGCCACTCCGGTCGACACTGACGTAGTAGGCGCCCTCGGCCTTCTTCTGCGCCTGCTCGTTCCTTCTCATGGAGTTGTTTTTGGCATAGAAGATGAGGCCGATGCCGGTAGCGGCGAGGGCGAAGACGGCCAAACCGGGACGACGACTGTTTGCGGTGGATATCGAGAGTCAGCACGTATTTCTTGTGTGTGTATATATATATTTGGTCTCGGGAGTGACAATTTTGTAATTGCAAGGCCAAGCAGCTCAGGTCACGGGCTGAGGCCAGAACCTTGCCGCGCCCGCTCCCCCCCAAAAACCCCCTCGCATGAATGATGTAAATGCCAAAAGAAGAGAGGCCGAGGCACTTACACGGAAGAGCGTGCCCCTGCACCACCGACGTTGGGTCTCACGGGATCCATGCTGGATTTATTCTCTTTCTTGGTCTGCACGTTGGAATCAAAAGGTTTCTAGCAGCACGTTTGCTTGCTGGAGCTTTCGGCAGGAGGAGGAAACCCGGACGACGAGATCTTTAGAATGAATAGAAAAGAAAAGGGTCGTGGTTCCGGTCCCGACTAGCGGTGTGGTTTCTTTGGATTGTAAATCACGGCGGTATAGAGTTTCAAGGGAGCAAATGCGAGTGGCACAGCTTCCAGCGGGTCAAGTTGCGGATCACGGAACTACTCAGTTGCGTGTTTGGTAGTGAAAGAAGACAAGAGGAACAAAAAGGAGAGAGCAGGAAGGATAAACTGGATGGGAAGCACGACGGATCAGATGAGCGAGAGCTCCCCGGCAGTTCTTGCGCTTTATGTCATACAACTCTATCTGTTAGTCACCACTGCTCATGGCATCACAATCGCACCAGCAGCAGCTTGCACACCTTCAGTTACCGTCCCAAGCTCCCCGATCTCTTTGGGGAGCTTGCACTCCACTATAGCGATCATCTAAACCACTTCAGGCCAGGTGGCACGCGACACCGGCCGGGGTAGCTCGTGGCGGGGAACTCCCCCCCCCTTAGAGACCCCAGTAGTGTATAAGTATTTTTGTGGTTGGGATTGAAACAGACGTGGACGCCAGAACGTGACTTTGGGTAGAGCTCCAAAGAGAGCTTGATGATTGGGCAGATGCAATGGAGGTGGAAAGCTCGCGCCGCCGCTAGCAGAGCTTATTAGGAGGAAGCCGATAGATAGCAAGACCCCTGGGCGGCAGGTTGGTAACGGACCATTGAACAATCCTGCCACTGATCATTCGAGACCCCAATATGATCATCAGAGATAGGCTTTGAGGAATCTGTAAGAGGATGAAATTGCTTTTAGGTGGAGATACTGGCACAATCAGCACGTGTTTTTCTAATTATCTACTCCTAAACCACAAGTGTTATAGCTTCCATCAATACGTGTAGTCTGAGAAACGCATCAGTTCAACCCATTACATACGACACAAGTAAGGCCATACAGTAGACGACTATCTCTCGGATGGTGTTTTCCCTCATTACTGGCGACATAAGCTCTATGTATCTGCTAGGGCTCCATAATAAAGCCGGGCAGCTTCCATTTCTGGAATGTGACCAGGCCCTAGTATACATGTGTTAAACAATAGCAAATAGGTATCATCGCAAATAGCAGACCCGATCACTCTACGCTCCCATGACCGTCCACTCCCATCAAATCAATTCCTCAAACGCCGTATCCGTGTACTGCTTAGTAGCATTTCCTGCTCACGAAAAGGGGTGCTGTGTCCTATATGACACAGCCACAATTGACCCGAGCCCAATGCACAGGGGTAAGGCAAATCCCAGGATACATCATGTCGGTATATGTGCACAGAAACAGCCACAAATGTGCAATACGTGTTCTCTTCCGATATTGCTTTGATCAAAAATCGTCAAAATCTGCGTCCTGTTCCGAACCTGGTTCGGCATCAGGAAGAGGGTTTTTGCGTGGTCGCCCGCGGGGACGGGCTTTTGAATCAGACCGAGCCCGCTTCTTCTTGCCTCCAGGTGTGTTCGAGGCTTTTCTCTTGCGGCCCCTCGTCTCGCCGTTCACTGTATCCCCATCATCATCTTCAGCTTCAGGCGTCCTTGGGTCACCATCCGCGTCCATGTCCTCGTCATCATCACCAACCTTCACCTCACTGTCCACGTTGATGAGATCGACGAAAGTGCGGCAACCCTCGATCATACGCTCTCGTGTAGTCAGACTGCTCATAATATGATCCATGTCCTCCCAAAACTTGTCTCCAGTGACACCTTGAGATTTCACGGGAGCTTTGTTGGGATCTTTAACGCCGGCCTTGACTTTGATATCGCGATTGGCCTTCAGGTTATACAAACGTCGAAGGTGTGTCCGTCCTTCCCAAACCGCGAGCAGAACCATGGCCCCAGAGGTAAGTTGACGAAGCTTCTGGGTGTCAATTTGTGGTTCGACAAGCATACCAGGCTCAGACTCCCCATTGATCGGCTGTTGTGGCGCTAGAAGTGTGTCTACGCGGAGTTGAAACACGTCCGACTCAATGGACTGAGCGATACCTGTTCCGATATTAGTCACTAGTTTCTCCATGCTCGTGACTAATGCTTGTAGCTCGTCTATAGCTGCGAATTCGAAGAAGGCGATATTCTCAACGATGAACCGGGAGAATTCGACATGTTCTGGTATTGGTTGGCTAATATCCAAGGCCGATGGGTCGAATTCGACTTGACTAATAAGCTTGTCAAAGAACCGCTTTCGATTTTTGCCTTTGCTCATCTTGAGCACGTCAAGCAGGAGATGGAGCTTTGATGTGAAAGGGTCGGTAGTGGCACCACGAGGGTCCTTAATAATGTCACGTTGATACAGAAAAACAGATTGAACAGCCTTTGCGTATTCACGCTCTATGACTGTCTCATGCTTCGCATGCAACGAGCGGTGCTCCTGGTATGCGAGTTCGGATACTTTGAGAAGAGGGCAAGTCTCGAGCGTAATAAATGTGATCCCAGTCTCCTTGGGATGAACCAGACCTTGACGGTTGATACTGGCCAAGACTTCCGTTGCCAGAAAAGCGTGTTCATCTTGTGTTGCCAGGGTGATCCGGATAATGTCTTTGAGGAATCTGACGGTGGTGGCACTCGCGACATCGTCAAAACTGGTCGATCCCATAACCTTCAAGTCTTTTTTAACAAGCTCCTTGGCATCCTTGACAGCCGCAGAAGCTAGCTCGGAACGTTGCTCTTCCGTAAACAAGAACTCTTTGAAGGAGCGGAGGACCATAGACTCGAGGGCCGAGTTTTGCTCGTCAAACGCTTGCTGAAATGTAGTGTACACATTCACAGCTACGAAGTTCCTAGGATTCGACTGGCAAACCAAGCCCATGGCGTCAAGAGCAGATTTTCGTACGTCAGCTGGCTGCGATGGACTAGCAAAGGGTGCAAGGACGTCAACCATGAGTTTTGACACTGGGCCTCCGGACCACTTCGAAAATTGTGCCTTGAATAATTGTTCATGGCTGTCGAGGTTGCAATGCTTTCCCGCCATCCCAACAATGAGCGAGTAACGGTCAAACTGTCTGGTCTTCTGCTGATCAAGAGGAGCTTTGACAGACATGGCTCGAATCTTCTGTACGCCAACCAAGCTGGAGCAGACGAGGCGGGCTAAATGCTCAGAAGTTCCGAGAAGACCACTAACGATCCACAGGCAAGCGATCACATCATCCAGAAGCGCTCTTGTGACCTTGGAAACAGCCGGCATCAAATCCTTCCGAATATCTGCGAGGAATTGCGAATGGACGGTAGTCACCTGGGGTAGTACTCTGCGGTAGATGGCGACAACTGCTCGTGAGCTCGTAAGATCCTCATTCGACCCGACATTTGAAATGCGTGGTTGCAGCATTCGGATCTGCTCAAATGTAAACAACTTCGGGTCTGCTTTGGCAAATATCATCAATACCTGAAGCGCATCTTTGCCGGAAGGAATCGATGGGTCGTCTGAATCCGGATTATGGATGAGATCAAACATACTGGCAACCAGCCGGATGCATACTTGTGCGTTGGCGTCTGCAAGTTTGTTCTGCGGCGCCAGTATGGCCTGAAAGACTTTCTCGACAGTGGTGGACGAGTTGTTTTGCTTCACAGTTTGAATCATGAGAGATATGTGATCTGTCAACGACTGCCTGTACGCAGTTGAGTCGTCTGCCTTGTAGAACGGGGAAATCCAAATCTCTTCGATCATCTGACGCGCTAATTCGCGTACGCTCTCATCAGGATCTTGGCAACGATGCAGAAGCCCATTAGAAATGTTGCTTCGAACTTGCTTGTTCTCGTTGCCAAGATAGATGTCCTTCGCCAGTTTCATGGCTCGTTTTCGCACTCCAACACCGGAGTCTAGGAATCGTTGAATGACTGTAGGTATCATTTTCTCCTCCAGAGCAGGTCGCATGCTGATACACTTGCCGATGAGGCTGAGAGCGGAGTCGCGGACTTGCGGTGAAGGATCATGGGAGCATTGTAGAACCATATCAATGACGGAGCTATCGCCATCGAGAATGGATGGATCTGTATCAAGTACCGAATTGACACTTTTGAGACTTCTACTGCGGACTGTTGCAGCATCCGTAGTCATTGATTGCAACAGTATGTTTAGTATGCCCCGGAAAGAGTCGCAGAAGGGGGATCGGAGTAATATGATAGAGTGGGAGAGCTTAGCGTGATTGGCAACAACCGATTTGAAACTGTACTCATTCGTGAGCCATCTACGATCATCCACCATATTGCGTAGTCGGAAAGCTGATCGGCCGTACTCAGAATCCTGCTCTTCTGACTCCTCTCTGCCCTCCTCATTGTAAGCATTGCACAACTCTACAGCCCAGTCTGTAACCAAATAGGATGTGGCACTTCTTAAGTGAGGGTCCTCTTTCACTCGGTCCTCAAGGTATTCTAGAACCACACGGTATGGCCCAAGCCAACTGATCATCTTCTCTGGCGAGAATCTGCGCTCCAGCACCATGGATGTCAAATCGGCAAGCCAACGCCCGAGATCATCAGCATCACTACCTTCGAAATTGCTGGCAACCTTACGAACATGAGACCGTAACTTAGAGATTGCAGCAGCCATATTCCCTAAGAGTTCCAGGGCCATGTTCTTTGCAGGCGCGGCAGTTTTCTCGCCCTTCAGAAGTTCCAGCATCATGATCATTGAGGTTCGCAGAAGTAGCTCTGCAGCGGGCCAGTCCGGTGAATCCAGGCACAGATTGAAATCTTCCATGAAATTGTCCAAGAGGTTGCGATACGGTGTATCGCCAGTCTTGGTGGACTTTTGAGCGCGCTTGACTAAGAAATTGATCACGAACGAAGCGTTGCGACGAGCTGTCTCGAAGAGCGGGGTAGCAACGCCCTTCAGTTCCTGGATTGCTTCGCCATGCTGCATGGCAGCATGGTCATCAGTTTTGACCGGATAAATTTGGTTGGAGAGCTTGCTCCGATCTGCAGATGACTTGTCCTTGTCATCTTCGGCACTTTCCAGAGACTCAATGATCTGACCGCTAGCCGAACTGCGTCCCTCGATCTTTCCAGCGCTGGCTTGAACTAGTCGCATGATCAATGCCGAGACCGGCTGAATGCTGCCTCCATCGGAGAGCTTGAACTGTCGTGAACTTTGCTTAGCCTTGGGGAGCTTCTCCAAGGATGTTAGGATGTCTGTCAGAATGCCTTGTCTTTGAGATGGATTGGCCAAGAAGATCTGGCAAAGCATGTCCATGGCGACCAAGCGAAGTCCGTCAAATTTCTGTACGCCAACTATCGAGTCCCTTTCTGAAAGTGCACTGTCGACGAAGATGAGCTGCGACGATGAAACCTCCAGGCCGTTGATGACATCTTCTGAAAGATCGATGCCAGAGATCAGGTTCGTCATCAAAGCAAAAAGCTTCTGGCAAGCCGTAAAGATCACCCCAATGGCTTTCTTCTGTGCCGACAGATACTTGAACGAACCATCTTGAGCCGAATTGCGCATCTCCGCAATGGGCACAACAATATCGTCCATAACGGATCTGAAAAGGCTGAGTCCTCGTTGGATCAAACCTTCAGAATAAAGCTTCTTCTCTTCGCGGCCTCCGCCCATGATTGTAAGGGCCAGCCGCGCGGCCTTGAGGCCAGCTTCGACATCTGGTAACTGCTTCAGCCATTCATTGACACTTACTTCTCCCCATGATGGATCGATTTTGATCTCCAAGGCGTCAGCGTGTTTTAGTGATGGATCACAGAGTTCTTGGATCTTCTCCAGATCCTCAAAAGGCACCACTCGAAAGCAGTCCAGCTCAAACGTCCTTGAAATCAGCCTTGTGACTCTATTGTAGGCTGCAACGGTCATCGTGGGTTCGTCATCCAGAGTCATGGAGATCCAGGGGTTGGCACTCTTGGAACTGACAGCCAGATGTTCCGCGTTGCAGATCTCTTGAAGACATCTCTGTAGCTCTCGGAGATGAGCATCTGCTCGGTCTCTGTTATTAAGATTACCATCAAGCAGCTCGTCATTACCCTGATGCTGAGCATATCTGCGTTTTGTGGAAAGATTTGCAGGTGCGGTTGCGGAATCATCAACGACCATGTACTCAGATGCGTTGAAGCTTGCAGCTGGCAACTCGATGCGAATTTGAGACTTAGGAACCATAGGAACCGTAGGCGCCTGATAACGATGAGCGTCCTTGGGAGGCACATGTGGGATGTCCTCCAATGGAGTTTGGGATTTGGATTGGGAGTTGTGTCTGGAATATGCCTGATGGCTTGCTTCTGGGCTAGGTTCAATGCTGGGACGCCTCCCAGCTACTGGTCCGGAATGTGCCTGTACTGGTTGTGGGGTTTTCAGAGGACCTGTTAAAGGCATCGTCTGGGGTTGAGCAGTGGCCGATTTCGCCACAGGGCGATCCTGAGGGTCGGGTTTTGGCGAGCTGTAGATGGCGGCGGCAACGTCCAAATCCTTTCGAGCGGGCAAGTGAACTTCGATGCGGGCAATGTTTTTTGCTACGGCCTGGGCGTTGAGCGAAGCTGGGTTGTGCTTGACGACCTTGACCAAATCCTGCTTTCGGGCCTTGGGCGGTGACTTTTTGGGCACCTTCGGGGCCATTGCAGCACCATTGACATTGCGCAACTGCGGCTTTGGCGTATCTGAGGCTGGATGGCTGAATTCGATGCTGGTATTCTCGTAGATCATTCGTGCAAAAGGCGACAACCCGTTAGTGAGACTGTTGTGTGAACCGTTGCTTGATTTGCCAACATTGGGTGCGGTCTTGAAATTACTGCAAGAAACAGTGTGTTAGCATGAGTGGTCAGAAACAATCCCTATTCGCGCCGTCCTGGACAGTGCAAACAACAGCTGTCCAGGAGCAGAGAGAGAACATGGCCAACAGCAAACAGATCCACTCACAACAGTGTAATCTTTTCAGGCTTTAGAAGATTCTGTACATATTCCAAGCTTCCTTCGAGTCGTCTCGAACTGTTCGGGTTCTCTGCCTCCTTGTTCAGAGCGTCATAATCCTCGTGAGAAACCAGACCGAGGACAGGCGGTGCGATATGGCCGGACCCAATGGTGGGGTTATTGATTATTTCTACAGATGACCAAGGTCAGAAGATTGCTGGCCCGGAGGGTTGGGTTTTGAGTAAGTGGAAGGGGAATGAGAAGTTGGAAAGCTCTGGGAGCACGTTTTCGAAACTGCGTGCCTTCAACTTCGCAAGGAAGGCACGCAAGTTGGGTTTGCCGTTGGCAGTCGCACTTACCAGACTCGAAAGGAAAGATGGTGGTAAAGGGTGTATATGGTAGCGCCTCGTCCAAGGTGTACGGTCTTGCATGGTTCTGCTCCTCCCTCTTGGCCTGGGCCTGAGGTGGTTGAGGTTGTTGCAGCGCACTGGGATCGATGAACTGTTGCTGCTCGTAATGCGGCGCAAAGCCATTCTGGTCGCCGGCTCTTGGATTCGCCATTTTCTCCGAGTCCCGGGACACCTCCCGCACTTCCCTCCTCAGTAGATTGACCAAGAGCTTATCCTGCCGCAAGTATGGCGGGCATTGCAGTAGTCCTTCTTCCCCTTGTGGTGATGCAAGATGGTGTTGTGTTTGCCATGCGCGTCGGTGGGATGTCTTGTCTACGGTTGGTAGTCGGACGGGATGGGACGTGTCTAGATGTCACGGCGAAGTTTCGAGCACATTATATGGTTCGCGTGTTTACGCGTACGCCAGGCTTATTATTCCGCTCGTACGGTGTTTGGATGGAGGGGCCAGGGCCGCCAATGCAGGTGAAGCCGTAAGCTGGAGGTTTGGAGTTGGACTGCTCTTTGGCAAACCCAGGACATTCCGAGGAAGACAAGACACCACAAGATTCGACCAAGGGAAGTTGCGACAGCCTTGCGCTAGCGCTAGTACTGTGTAGAAATCATGCCTAAACATACTTACTTGTACGTACGTTCGTACGTACGCCGCACGGGGCACTGTAATGAACACGGGCTCAAGATGGTACTATGTAACCTAAACCTTAGTCTATGTAGGTATCTAATCTAGCCTAGGTTAGGTATCTACATGGCAGTCGCACATGCCTGAGATGCCATACATACTTGTAGGCGTGCTGTATGTAGGTATGTAGCACTCTGGACCACCCCCTGACGTTGCGTACTTGGTACTGTTTGGTAAACTCCTCAGTGGAGGATTTATTAATAAGCTAGGGGTCAGTGCGGGTGCTTGTACAGAGAGAGCTCCTTGTCAGTGGTTTCTTGAAAGTTCCGGCCGATAAGACAAGGATAGGCATAATGATCTCCTAAACAGCCGGAGCCCGAACTTTTGGAGACTGGTTGCCAAAACTTTTTTGAGTACTTATAGTCGCTCCCTCGCATTCACAATTCAAGCACATTCCGTCCAAGCACAAGATACGGCCTCTCAGCACCCGCATCTAGCCTCAAAATGACCTCTATCGGTTCCTTGGTCTTTTGCAAGGACTGCGGCAACCTTCTGCCTGCCTCCAGAGGCAATGCGAAGAACATCTTGAAGTGCGAGTGCTGCGATGCTGAGAACCGAGGTATGCCCAGTTGATCGTCGATCCCATACATGACTGTCGACGATACTGACACACCTTTCCTGTCAGACTCGCATTTTGGAACTATCATCACGAAGAGCAAGCCCACCGACTTTCCTTCCCTACTCCGCGAAAAGCTATCTACCACGCAGACTGTTGAGCGATACAAGGTCCAGACTGAGGCCTTGATCCAAGAGACCTGCGAGAAGTGTGGTCGGAAAGAAGTCAGATTCACCAGCGTGCAACTACGTAGTGCCGATGAGGGCGCAACTAACTTCTACACATGCGAGTGTGGTCACAAATGGAGTCAAAACAACTGAAAGCGCTGCTTTTGGTGGAGGATGCGGCAGCAACTATATTCAGCTACGACCAAACGACCAGATACCCAATTCAAAACCATAAATGCACTGCCAATCTCTATTTTTGATGCCTGATATCATACAACGCTCAAACGCCGACCGACCTTGGTCCAAATCAATCAATCAACCAATCACCTCGTTCATGCCGCCGTTGCGGCCTTGGCCGCCTCGGGGATCAGAGCATATTCGGCTTGGCCACTTTGCTCGTAATCCACCATGTCCAGTGCGACGATGACAGACTCGCGCACGACCTTCTCCTTGTCGTGAAGGAAGCGCCTGAGCACCTCCTCGACGCCCTCCTCCTCGCCCAGACTACCAAGTGCCTCAGCAGCTTCGTGGCGGACCATGCTGGCCTCCTCCGTGTTGCTCAAAGCTTCGGTCAGGGCAGGGATCGATGCGGGGTGTGATAGTTGACCAAAGACGAATGCGATCTCGTGGCGGAAGAGGGCAGACGAGTCTGCGAGACCCTTGGCAAGAGCGTGGACTGCAGGCACGGCTGTAGGTAGATCGGGAGGCGACGCGAGGTCGCGCAGGGCAAACATTGCTCTGTATCGTAGGAAAAGAGGTGCGCTTGTGTCCATGAGAGTCTTCTCGAGCTCTTCCACCGTCTGTGATGACTCGGCCATGGGAGGGGCAGGGTCGACAGACGCAAAATCACTACTTGATGTTATTACGTGTACAAAGCAGGGAAGTAAGTACCACTTTGGAGGCTTTTGTGAATAGACAACAATCAATCATATCGGGCCTGTACAAACCTTTGGCGCAACTTCTCTCTCTTTCTCTCCTCTGAGTTCTCCCACTCAATGCGATCAATGGCAAGCTCGCACGTCTCAGTAATGACTACATCCTCGCCCTCCTTGTCTCTGAATTCCTTTAGAAGTGTCAAGCTGTCCAGATCGCCCAGAGCGCCCAGTGCCTCGGCAGCCTCATGTCGGCACATGGTGTCCTCGTGTAAATCTGAGAGCACGACGCGCAACGGCTTCGCAGCGACCGGATTACCGGATTGACCAAGACAGTAGGCGAGCTCATGCTTCAACAGTGCCGAGGGAGATGCGAAGCCGGCGGCAATGGCATCGATGGCCTCTTGGGACTCGGCAGGCGTAGCGGCGTGCCTTGCGATGTGCTTGAGCGAGAAGAGCGCCCGGAAACGCAGGGGGAGCGGGGTGGCCTCGGAGCACAGGGACTCGCGCAGGCTTGCAGTCGTTGTTGCATGGGCGTCTACGGTCATTTTGGCAAGACTGCTTACTGTATCTCTGCTACAGAAATGTCGTTTGACGAGACTGTTGTGTGTTGAGTTAGAGATTGTGCGATTTAGACCTAGAGCAACGAGATCTAGCTTGTGCCTGAAAGATCGGGGGCGCATTTGTCTCAAGAATCCCCCGCTATGGAGCCTGCAACTTGGGGGGGTTTTTTTTGGTTTTTTTTTTTTAATGGAGGGGCAGAAGTATCTTATCTTATCGTCAAGATCAAAGTAGAACCAGCTAACGAAGCAAGAGTATAACGCCGGTGACCGCTCGAGAAACCCCCAGACACGCTAACAGATCTACATCGAATCACGCATTGGAAGTGCTGTTTGTGCTGCGCAACGATCATGAGCGCAAATTCAAGCACAAATTCCAAGATCTGACGGATCTAACATCCGGTCGATTAGTGTAGCTGGTTATCACATCGGATTCTGAGTAATGCATTCACTCGTGCATTCCGGTAACCGGGGTTCGAATCCCCGATTGACCTGAGATTTCTCAGAACTTTCTTTTTTGGGCGTTGAGTTTAGTATATGTTTTTATTCTTAAGCATGGTCTTGACTGGTTCATGATGTACGTTTAGTACTCATTCACCACTGAGACGGGACTAACCGACCCTTTGTTTACATCCTCCTCGACCTGCATTCGTCATTTGCAATTTATAATATACTATATACCACGACTATATTAGACAGAGAGAAAAAAGAAAACTTGGTTCTTCCAACTAGTTTTGTCGCTAAATTGAAATCACTCGCTACGAGTTGTTGTTGAACGATGCGCTTCGAGCGAAATTTCATTTAGTACTTCGAGCGCAGAATAGTCCAGTGCTCACCAACAAAAAGAGAAAAAGGTTTGTGACACAATTGCAATACTGGAGGGTCGCCGGGTTCCACCAGTCTTTTCTGGTTCCAATACTCTGCATACTGCTCAGCGTATGGTGATTCAAGGCTCCTCTTCATCACAACGACATAATCGAGCTAGTGTGTAGAATTGTCTTGAGCATGCATGCACTTACAGAAAGCAATAATCACCCGTAGAGTAACCAGAGTGGGCTCCACATTCCGCAGGTAATTAGTGAGTGGTATGCGTCATGCACCTGAGTCACCTGTCGTCGTTCGTTTGTGGGCCTATCTATGTATACTCGAGTAACATTACAACCTTTTCCCTGCTACAGCCACATACATAGTCGAGCAATCAACTCAATCACCAACTGAATGCAGCCTACATTGAGTCCATTTCTCAGGTCAACATCCATGATGGCTCTCCACGCCGCAAAAGACACCTCGAAACTCATCTGTAGGTGCCCCGTTGCAGCCCCTCACAAGCAGACAAGAAAGAGACTCACAAGATTACTGTAGTTGCACCAGCTGGCCAAGCTGCTCATGGTCAAGCAGAGCAGTTTACCAAGGGGCATCTGACTCGCCCCGATCTGGATCCATCGTCTCCCATCCGCCAATTTCACACTTGGTTTGCGAATGCACAGCACGCCTCGTCCGGCGTGGCGCATCCCGAGACATGCACACTTTCCACGGCATCCCTCCCGTCCGGCCGCGTGAGCGCGCGTATGGTTTACCTCAAGGAGCTCGACGACAAAGGCTTCGTGGTGTACAGCAATTTTGGGACCAGCAAAAAAGCAGCAGATCTGGCGACAAATCCGTGGGCCAGTCTGACTTTTTGGTGGGAGAGCATGGAGCGACAGGTCAGAATCGAGGGCAAGGCAAGTAGACTGACAAGCGAAGAAAGCCAGAAGTACTACGATACCAGGGCACGCGGGAGTCGTATTGGCGCTTGGTCGAGCCGGCAGAGTCAGGTATTACAGCCGGAGGGCGAGGGTGATGATGGAAGGAAGCAGCTAGAAGGCTGGGTTGCGGAATCCGAGGAGAGGTTTAAGAATGAGGACAAGATTCCAGTCCCAGAGTTTTGGGGCGGTTTAAGAATTGTGCCAGAGTCAGTGGAATTCTGGCAGGGTCGAGAGAGCCGTTTACATGATCGCTTTGTGTATGAGAGCAAGGCAGAAGGCAAGAACGAGTGGAGCTTGGAAAGGTTGAGTCCATGAACTGGGTTTGTCAAGTTTGCCGCAATCGGAAGGACAGGTGTGGCAGTGCACTGGGTCAAAAGTCTTCAAGGAACAAATTATCTTGTCGAGATAAGCAAGCACCAGAAGCAACAGTACTCTCGCTACGATTTCTCAGCTTCACCTTGACTATCACCAACACTCAACAGGTCTGTGCTAATGAATGGCTTTACGTCCACCTGATTACCTTCGTCTCGGTTTTACGGCCTGATTTAGCCTCCAATAGCATATACGAATGGCTGTGTGGTCCCAACCTTGCATGCCATGGGTCCTGTACTCGTCCATCATTGATGCAGTGCGTGCATGGCCTACGGCAGTGTTACCGAGATGGATGCAACACGAAACTTTTCAGCACAGGGAAGGTTGCGTTGATTTGTGAATCATCACTGCACATTGCGACTAGGTTAGTGTGGGAGCGAAAGAATCCGGCCGCCAGGTGGACTTGGCACAAAGCGGAGCGGAAACTACTATGGTTCAGCAGATCCGCTCATCTACTCTGCGGTGATGATCTTTAACGACTGCGTAAATGCATCCAATCCAAGCAAGTCGGTGCATTCCCTTTTTCCTGCAGAAAAGGTCTGCGCAATGCCTTTCCCCCCTAATGGTGCATTTGTGCCCTACTGGGCCACCAGGTCCTTTGCCCGTATCGAGTTGAGATCGGCGATGGAGATCGTGGCTGCCCTTGGCGTCCGCGTCACTACATAGGCACAGCATACCGATGTACACTAGCGGCCCCGAGTTTCCAGGATTGTGCTGCCAGCAACTGGGTGAGGGTTCAACTGCTAACCGAACCATCACCTCGGGGACAGCGAACTAGCGAAGGCGGTGGGCGCAATATTGGTGCAGCAACACCGCCGGCATTAGACACGCTGGACAAGCAACTGCAATGGGTCGTGGACTGTCTGATCTACGGCTATCTACTGTAAGTACTCGTTGGATGTACTGTACTTTCCAGGCATATGAACAACACATGACGGAGATATCAGCCCTACAGATCTCATATAGGGCCCCATGCAAAGACGATTGATCGATCTAGATCGGGCAGATGCGCGAGCTCGCCGATTAAAGCTGCACGGTTGTCCAGCCTTCCGAGACCATGGAAACAATAGCGCGCATGAGCTCATCGATTCTCTGCAAGCAGGTTGTTGCTCGGTTTCTGGAGGGCAATTACACGTAAAGTATCAAGTCCCGAGAATGATTCGTTGGTGGTGCTACGGGCTACGCGGCAACTAATGCGAGCCCTCTCACCAATTACAAGCCATGCCAGGGTGACTTTCAAATCTTTTCAAAGGGTCCTCCCGTCTGTGCCCCGTTGCTTGCCCACCCGCAATGGAAACGCAAATTCAACGACACCAATGCCAAGCAATTCTTCTCTGCACCTTTGCAATCCTCGAAGCTCCAGACGGCCATATTGACGGCCCACGCTTGCATGGCCATACTAGGCTAGCACTTCGCTTGGGTTCCGGTGGAAGTTGTGCTCTCACCCACACATGCTCGAACCGCGGAAATCACTGCAGGTCTTACAAATGGGACAGTCCCAAACTTGCCATGGCCCCTTTGAACGGTAGGCCCGTGGCTCGTACGCACTTCTCCGAGCTTCGGTGCAGTGAAGATCATCTGAGCCGCCTTCCTGGCAAGCCGGACTCAAGCAACATCTAACCTAAGACGATGATCTCGGGTGGTCATGACTATTGATTACTAAATCCCTTCTTCTCAGCATTGTTCGCGCATCGTCTCCAGAGATCGATTGTTCTCATTCGGCCGTTTGCGGGCGTCGTTGGCCACCGCTCTGCGAAGCAATCTTAATTGATCAATCTTTGATGGGGATCGCCATAGTCTGTATACCATTAGCCACTCATGCTCAAATACTCAGAGACAGTATACTTTAATTCGTATATTCCTGGCCAACTAGGAACGGCATATTTGCAAACTCGAGCTGAACGTATGGTCTGCATCTGTCAGCTATCGACTCCAACTCAACAATAGTCCGGCCACCTGACTCGTTCTACATGGCAAGACTTTGTGACTTCAATCTCAACCCAAGCAAATCGGTGCCACATTGCATTCATTGCAAAGCCACTCGTTGCTTTTACGGTCCGTGGTACTGCGGCTCTGTACAGGCACCCCGTAGGTAGGTTGCGCTGTTATGTCCAGCGCATTCAGATACCCAACATGTACTATTCAGGGTTTCGCTTAAAGTCTGAAACTTTTCCCACATTGACGTTCATACAACCCACCATCGTAATCCATACACTCATAGTCATTCCAAGCTTCTAGGGAGACTCACAGCTACTTTTCTTGCTCATGTCGACAAAGACTATTTTACATTTCACTGCTCATCGGTCCTTAGATCAATGACATCTGTGTTCTGTGCGATCAAGACTGAGTCCCGAACATGTCTGAGCCAACGGTGAGTAACCACAGCTCTCGAAAGCGTTCCTTGACGCTCGTGTACACCACGAATAGCAGGCTTACACGTGTGTGTGCAGGATAGAGAGGCGCAAGACAAGGCCAACCTAACGAGAATTCGTGACAATCAAAGACGTTCTCGTGCTCGACGAAAAGAATATCTCCAGGACCTGGAACAAAGGCTCAGAATTTATGAGCTTCAAGGCGTTGAGGCATCCGCAGAGATACAGCAAGCCGCACGAAGGGTTCTTGACGAGAACAAGAAACTTCGAGTTCTACTTAACGAACAAGGTGTTACTGACAGCCAAATCGAGTCATTCCTCCAGGCATCCAACACCGCTGTTAGTTACACACCCCAGGGACCCACCGCTGCCGAGGAATCTGTGATACAAGCCCTCAGTCGACTTTTAGCACCTCGCCATCCTAGCTTTGACTCTGTGGGCACCCCATTGATTTCACCAGGATACGATGACGACTCGCGCCACAGTAGTATCCTATTTCATACAACGAATGCGGACCCTTCAAATAGTAGGCCGCTTCTTATTCCGACCGGAGAGTTGCGGCATTCCGCTCCATCCCGGACTTATGGGTCGAATAGGCTGGACGAAGATGCGCAAACCTACCATAGTGCCTTGAGCAGCAGAAACAGTCTCGATCTGGACGGTATGACTTTGAACACACCAGTTCAAAGACCGAGCTTGCATCTTGCACGGCAATCGATATCCGACCCAACGGGAATGTGGAGCGACACACCGTCTCAGATCTCACCGGTCTCCACACTTCCATTGCAGACGAGCCTGATCTCGCATAGCCATACATACTTGGACAATGTACAATACGCCCAGCACCAGGCTCCTGCTTTCTCATCTCATTGGCATTCGGGTTTGGGATCAGGGTCAACCTCCGGCAGTAGGGGGATGCTCAACCATGATGTACTACCGACGGTGTCTCACGAGTCATCACAAATAGACAATTTTGACGAAAGTATGGAAGAAAGCGAGTACCATGGGAGGGGCTTCTGATATTTTCAGCACGCTGCATAACTTAGCGATGAGGCCGGCATCGACCCGACTGCCTGTTATACCGATCCCTCTGATGTATATTGATAATGTCCATAACTCATTAAGAGCCAAACGGCGCAGATTATTCAATAGAAAGCGCTGGCGCTTTACTTGTAAAGTCTGTCTAGTGCATACTCAAAGCTAATATTTCATCTATGCAATCCGAATTTGCAAAGGGACAACATCATTTTTCTAGGCTCGCTGAAGACGACCATGAAACATTCTACTTTAGTTGATGATGGTCTTCATAGGTGTAAGAGTTTCTTTGATCTCGACGCTATTGTATCTTTTGTGCGAATTTTAGCGAAAAGAATTCTCAAGATCTTAGGTAAGATGGTGTCGTCCAGGGGTAGAACTGGCGAATCCCAAGCGACTAGTGACATTCCATGCTCCCCGGACTTCCTCCGAGAATTCCTGAACTTTGAAATAATTTCGTGTGTATCCAAGCCCATCCTCTCTATGCTCAAATCCATTAAACGTTTCACTTCAAGCTTTGTGCGATCCTCTGCGAACTGAGGCCGATTGCGATTGACAGTCCAATATACAAGAAACTCCAGCTTCCGAGTAACCTTGGCATGCTCGCATACATTCCAGGCCAGAAAAGACTTTCGTAGGGGGAAAACGAAAATGCCAACCGGCCAAAGATGGCCCTAGGCTACATATACCACGTTGGAGTACCCGTTCTGTGGGCCTCACGGTCAGAAGCTTGTGAACACCGAAACGATAGGAAAGCTCGATAACTGCCTTCGTCATGGCCGCTAACCCGAGGCCATATTGTGGCACTGGGAACGCATGAGAAATCCGAATGTACTGGCTTCATCATATCAATGGGGGATCCTCGCGAATGACATCTGCGGAACGACAAATCGTGCACGATCTCTAGAAACAAAGGCTCTAGGGGGGCTTTCTCCACGAATGGGGTCTGACGATTCAGTACTCTATCATTTTCGAGAACATCGTTTTGCCAAGTCTACACTCGAATTCCGCGACGACCACGACAGGTGATGGGCACAATTTCCAAAGGCTCGTCTGTTCTAGACTCAAACTTGGGCGGTACACAGCGAACGATGAATCCCCGCCGTGGAGCCGCGATGCTGTTGAGCTTGGTAATACTACTAGTGGTCTGTTGCGATGGGTAGCCGCGGTACAGGCCCGTATCCAGTTGACGGAGCTGCTGAACTGGAGCGTTCCCATCTACGAGTTGTATAAGAGCCAGCTGAAACGGGGCACTTGGTGACTCGATGTCTATCAGATAGATGCGTTCACATGCTGTGAAGAACCTCAAGAGCTTCGGGTCTACTCGATCCTGGACGGAGTAAACCTCTTGATTCTATATCACCGAGGTTTGAGGGTTTACTTTGGCCGGGAAATAAGAGGCTCTCAATAGTTACTCAGCTATAGAGAATTGGGCAGCCTATTACGCTGATGAATTTTGGTACTACGATCACAAGTAGATCCCGACCTATGTGAGGATCTCCAAAAGCTCTGTGGTAATCGACATAATGGAACTGCTAGGGTACGTTATCCGCGTATCCGTAACGAGCGCAGCAATTACTCCAAGTTCACTAAAGGGTAATTTGAAAGGCGCGAAGACGAAGAAGTGGTTCAAAGTCCACTGGATACCTGATCTTCTTCAGTTATATAATGCATTGGCTCAGGGCTTCTTGCCACGGTTTCATTCCAATCAGCCCATTACCTTTCTATTATTGCAACGAGTGGGGTTTGAGTATATTGTTTTTGTGCGCAATTTTTCTCGTTAAGGATATTTGGGCACGAGATAGTAATATGTATCAAATTGGACGCAGTGCTAATGGATGTGTATCTCCAAGCCATTCTGCATGAGCTGACAGCGGGCAAAGTCAGTTGTGGTCTTTTGATATAGTTGCAGCCAAAGCACTCATGCCTAGTGAAGTTGCATCTATTCTTCATGGAAGAGGTCCATCAATGAAGATAGTTCATCGCCTGAAGGAAGGAAAAGCAGAAAATGAGAAAAATATCAACTGCAACGTTGGTGATGGTGTCAGCAGTGCCTCGAAGCCAGTACGGCCAAACGTAAGGATATTTTAATCTTTGTTCAATCGATACTCGTCAGGAATGAAAACAAGCTGTCTTCTGAAAATTAATTCGATCGAAACAACCTAAACATGCAGATCCTTCCTCTGAGATGATACATATTCTAACTCCTAACGGTACGCTTGCAACTGTTTGCCTCGGAACAAACCGAGTTATATTTGTTTTCCAATGAAGAATTTCGCGCGCAGCTGTAGTTTTCCAGAGCCAGAGGCTATCTGTTCTCGAAGGACAATGTTTCGCAACATTCAATGGGCTTAGCTTGTCTCCAATATAGAAGCATCAGAAATACTGTCATAATACTCGATACATAAACCTCAGCTTAGATGGTGTTTGGACACGCACACTTCCCGGACCAATGTATTTGTTTTGCGGCGAACAATAAATCAGAATTGATCAGTACTACCAACTATACCTCATGAACCAAGTGATCTGCTAACACGACTCTGCAGCTTGTGTGACCATAATCAACTACACTGGCACCTTTCGAACATGGGTGCGGTTTCGCCAGTCACCACTGGCCAGTGTTCATGTTGTATATTGAAGCATGTCCTCGGATCTCCAGCGCTGCCGGCAGGAGGTTCTGGAATATTATCCAGGGAAAATAATACTGATCTTGGAGGTAGAAAGAAGTAACTGGTTACCCGTCATGATGGCATTGCTGGCGTACAGGACTTTAATTACAATCACAGTCATACATATAAGATGGGTACTGTCTACACGAGCATAGCATATTCTCAATAGCCGTGCCAAAAGCAAAAACAAAAACCATTTGGAGCCTTGGCAAGCCACTGGGGAATAATCGTTGATTGATAAGACGACACGTGAGCTGGTAACAAGACCTCCGTTCAGAGCCGCTGGGCGGTGTGGCAGGATTCCATAAACAAAAGCCAAAATACAGACCCGGCGGCGCAGTCGAAAATGAGTTCGTTGGTTCCCTTCCCTCAAGAGCCGCTACTCCGGACCGTGATTGCACGTCCCTCGATTCCCCTGTTCATTTGTCATCTGACATGATGCAAGGGGGAAATCGGACGTACATTAGCAAAGACGAAAGCCAATGTACCGTGATTTGATTCGATGAGCGTGGCGGCGACCAAATAACAAACGATGGTCCTAGTGATCGGAGTGGCAGGATTCTTCCACAGGGAATGAGGAGAAATCGCAATGCTCATCTCGCAACTAGCACCACGTGCTATGTGCAGTTGGGATCGAGATCACGAACGCCTGGCATGGGCAATCAAAGCGAGGATGGAAGCTATTTGTCGAATTGAGCAAGTTGGCTTTCCACTCAAGTAACTATTTACATATCTCGATGAAGTAATGATACCCCCTGCGCCCCAGCCCCCTTGTCTTTGGTTCGTTGGTAAGTCGAGATCCGCCATGGCCGTGTCAAACCCGACCGTCCGCTACAGTAATTATGTACTGTTGATTCCTCCTTGGTGCATCGTCGCTGAAGCAAGCATGCTGCAAATAACTGCACAGGTGTGTGGATACTAGACTGGGTTAGTGCCTTTATTGGTGGGATGAGCTTTTTGATGCACTGCTCGTCTTGTTTAAGCCTTTCGAGCGTCATTGGGTAACACCATACGGACTGCGAGACCGCCAAGCCGCCTTCCGATTGGGCTAGCCCAAAAGAATGCTGCCAAATAGGAAGAGAACCTTAGCTCATAGAGGTGGAAGGTCTCGTTCATGTCTTAGCTATCTGCCGGCTTGGCTATTGATATGCTGTATAAGCGCTTCGGGCGTTTGTGATAGAGTTACACCGGTCAACAAATTCACCACGGTCGGATTGCGACGCTAGCCCAACCGGTCAGAAACCGAAGCGCACCATGAGCCGTGTATTGTGGGTATTAGTTTCTTTGTTTGCCCCAAAAAAAAACCCCCCCCTATACGTATAGTAGGTGTCTCGAAAGGTGATGGTCCGTCTCAAACGTGACCGGTAGTGTGGCTGACATCGATGCTGTCACATCAACCGCTGCTGATCGACGTGCTGTACAACGTGGGACGAACACAGTACCCATTATCTGCAGCTAAAGGGGCGGCAAATCCAAGCCTGATCGCTGACACGGCAGAAGACCTAGGGTCTCGTGGGGGCCGCAGATCACGCCGACGAGACTAGAAAGCGGACGCAGCTGGGGGATCGTGCCACTCTATGCTTACTATAGCTACCCTGATATCCGCTCAAAGCTGGATTCATGGGATGCGCATCAGAAACGGCTCGTCCCCGAGGTACCCGGTAACCGCCATCTTACATGGAGCGATCTCGTAGGGCTGATGGGGTACCGGGCAGTTTGGTGTAACAAATCTCCACAGATATAGCTAGAAGCTTCTCGCAAGATAGTAACTACCATAAGCCCGCTCAATGCTTGATGAGATCGTAGCGGAGCTGAATGTGTGCTTCACTCCGAGGTCTACCTACGGGGGGTCATCGCCAAACAGTGGACACCGCAAATTCTTCTGGGCCATTACCACGTCTCATGCACCCTGCAGGCTGCAGCCATATTGCCCCGCTACAAGTGTGCCGCAGCTTTTCAAAGGGACCATACAGCTTGGAGTTGTCAGCACTTGGAGGTTTACTTCGATACAGTGATGTGGCATGAATCAACAAGCATATATCCTGGATACACACTGATGCTTTTCATTCCATGAGGCGCCTGGGTAGATGTCGGGTCCTTCTAGATGCGAGCTGGGTCAGGCTGTCCGAGAAAGAAATATGCAGCCAGTCTGGTGTGCATGGCAATGACGCACCAGATGCATCCAGAGCCGAAGAAAAGCATACGATGGACTGGATTCCTGGTCAGAAGCAAAAACGCCGACAGACTCCCTTGATGCAATCCAAGATGGGTTGACGTCTTCGGCGACTAACAGATACCCCACCATCTGTCACCCGAAATTTAGTTAACCGACTCGCCGAATATAGTGAATGAGTAGCTCAGGTCTGCCGACGAAGCTGGAATAACCTAACAATTGACACGTCAACAACAGGGCCTACGCAGCAGGGACTCTTTGGTTCTGTTGCAAGACCGAGTATAAATCGGAGAGGTATACGTAGTACCTTCATAGTGCGGGTACCGTACCCACATCGACTCCCCCCACCTTGCTGATCTTACTGTAGCTTCTACAATCTATTGCTCCAGAGAGGGCTGTCGGCCAGAAGCTGCTACTGTATGGATCCCAAAGTTACCGCACTGAAGGAATCGGCTTATCTGTGTAACCTAGTGCCAGAGGGCCCTGTACATATACGATAGCCGCACTGAGAAAAGGCAGGGAGTAAATGAACCCTTAACACTGTGACGCGCTTCCCACGCATAGTTACTTGCAGATCGCAAAAACGGTAGCATACGCTTCCACCATGCGCTCAGTTCTCAGCACACTTCGTTGATTGATTTTTTCTATGATCAACAGAGCTTGGCAACGCACGAAAACCCGTTGTAACCGAAACAGAAGACATAGACATGATTCACTCTTGTCCAGCTCCACATAACCTTATTTAGACCACGGTCAAGCCGAGTTGCAAGATGTCGTTCCCGGTAGGCACAAGAGGTCCTCTGTAATAACATGGTTTGAAAATTTTGCGCAGTCAATCTCTCGTAAGCGGAATGCCGGCCTGAACGATGCTGGCGGACTTGTTAGATTGATCACGGGTAGTTCAAAAGATCCTTCAATGACCAGCGCGTGCAGCACAACTCGGCGGAACCGGTCAATGTAAGGCAGAGGCTGAGCAAATAGTAATCCGGGCCCGAAAATTCCCAGCTATGTTGGTATCGATGATGCAGGCTCCAAAAGTCTTTGACAGTATTTCTTTCTTTCTTTAGGGGTACGTCGAATGCATTTTTAGATGTCTGCGTCGCCAGCCTTGCTTGCCAAGCCTTGCGTTGCTTTTGCATGGAGCTACTGCCCCCGAAGAGCTTAAGATGTTGATGTCGCGATGATGTATGTATACGAGAGGTTGTAGCGCCATAGGGTCGGGTTTGAAGTCCTGATTGTGACGTATTCAATAGCAATTTCTTGGGGCTCCATTGTTGAGTTTTAATGTCCATCTACGAAGGTATGTATGTAAGCGTAAGCTTGCGACTGCTCTGTCTTGACCTTGAGTGAATGAATAAAGCTAGGGAACAGCAATCAAAGAACCAAACACTCTGAAGCCGAAAAAGCTTGGTTCAATGTACTTGGTACCAACCTGCACTACACGTGTCGAGACAACGGACACCCATTACCCTAAGTACCTCCATAGCTCTTTCGTGTCTGCAGGTGTGGGCGAATTCGCAAAGAATGGCAAAACCTGGCCCCTGGTGAGATGTGAGAACCGGCTTTAGCACATCAGCTCATTCCGGGGGCCTTTAGTTGAACAGGGTAGGGAGGGTTGCTCTAGTGCCCGCAGTGGGTCAAGGCTCTGTGGATTGAAACGCAGCTCGGATAAGCTAGTCATTCCTCCGCACGTTTCCAGACACTCCGTTATGCTCCATGCCACCGTAAGTAATTGGGTCCATTTAAATGAACGCTGCTGGGATGGCTGCTGGGATTGCTGATGGCTGACACAACAACAACAACATCTAGAGCCAGTGTACTCTGCTAAGTTAATCTGCGAAAGACACACATAGTTGGCAAAGCTACCGTCCTAGTAATGTATTGGAAGTCTCTCCGTGTCGCCACGTGAGGCCTTGCGCGTTGTCGTACTTGTCGGCGTTGTACAGAACATGGCTAATTTTCACCAACCGAGAGAATTCTTCTGTGGTAACAGACGACAAGAGAAACTCAACTTCCTAGCGCTTTATTCCGGCTACATAATTCCTGGTAGCTTGGATGTTGCAAGGTTCTATGTTCGGTTGTGGAAAGTCGATGGTCAGGACACAACACACAATGCTCCACCCACAACTCCAAGGTTCTGCCAAGAGAACGCATATGCAACAAGGATCTCGCCAGGAGCGTCTGCAATAGGAACAAAAACCAACACAGGTGATAAATCATACCCCCTCTGTCAACGCCGCATGTACCCTTTCGTTTTGGACCCTAGTGATTATCGGTACCGCGACCGTATCATTACTTTGTCTTCCACCAAGTCAGGAACGATAGTCTTGGGTATATCGTCCTCAACATAGAGCCGTCAACCAGTTTCAAGTCGAACCTGTACAAGTACTCGCCGAGTCCACCATCGTCCAAATGAACGCCTCAAACCGGCCTTCTGTTAAGTCGTCGGGATATACCTATCAGACCTCCTTATGTATGTCCATATCCCATTTTGCCTATGCGCATGCGCCCGAGATCTGTTCCCTTGCGCCGAAAATCAAGCCATCCATGCATGCAATGTGTTTTCCGTAAATCCCGTTTCATTCCTTATAAAATCCATATGCTTCGTAAAGGTAGACGAGTTCAAAGATCAGGGAGCCAGTGGTGGATGTTGAGACATACCCAGGTCTTTCAGGTTGGCTGAGGAACAGGATAGTACCCAGCCGAGGTCGGTTTGCCGTCAAATCGATTGCAACTGGATCCAAAGAAACTAGGCCCTGGGTAACAAATACTTGGCAAACTCCCCTCGCTCTCGTTCTTGAGTCTTGACCCTGGAAGTTCAACCCTGGCAATCGAGGGTATCATGTTGTCCTGGTCGCTGCGCGGGAAGATCGCAATCTCTCCCCTGCTTTCTGCGCCTTCGTAGATCGGAGCAGGGTAATACTGGTATCCTTTGGTGTTCTCTATGGCCTTGCACTGCTCCGCCGACATGACCTGGTCCATTTGCATATCATGATGACGAGTCGTTCCGTAATGGTGCGCCGATCGAGGGTCGTAGCCACCAGCGCCATACCCTGAACCCATGATTGACGGCCCAGGACCATATTCAGGAACCGGTCCGCCAGAATAACTTCCAAGAGTACCGCTGGATCCGCCTGGGCCGCTACTAGCGCTTCCTCTCCTCTCCGATTGGTAATGGCCTGGAGACCGTCCGCGTACAATCATCTTCGCCGACTTCCGTTGCGCAATCTTCAACCACTCTCTTGCCTGTCCTGCGGGATCCCCTATAGGCGCAACATGTGCATGAAGCTCAACAACAAGGTGATAGTATTGTTGGGCTGCTCGGCGTTTCCCGTTATTGGCTGTTGCTTGCTTGAACTGAATTCTTTCAAAAGTGTGTTCCGTTGGATGGGAGCCTTGGGGTTGAGAGTAGTCCCCATAAATACTGCCAGAAGTGCCGCTAGTAAGACGGTGTGGGTTTGTGTAGATGCTTCCCACACTTCCAAGATGGTGTGGCGTTGGTGCTGGCTGTTTAGGGCTGAGCTTGACTCTGTCAGGTCGTGAAATAGGTCCCTTGTCACGCTTCGGTGTATGTTGTACTAGGTCGATAGTGTGGGCGTCACTCTCAGCTACCACCGCGGAAATGGTCATGGCAAAATCGAAGACATCATAGAAAGTCCCAGAACCATTCGGCCTGTATTGGATTCCAAGGTTGTGAATGTTAGGAGGCTCGAGAGTAAACGCGCATATGCAAGAGAAGTAATTTCGTCTATAGCAGGTCCATTCTCCTTCGGACAAGAAGAAGCCTTTGTCGATGGTTCCTTGGATGTCAATTTTGTCGATTGTTGTTGTTGAAGAACCGTGACCATTCACGTAGAAAAGCTGACCGTGCGAGATAACCTGTTGAAGGGGCGGGATGTTCATCACGCCTTTACCCGTAGTGTATGGATTGGCATCCATCCTGATGGAAGCTAGCGGGTTTGGGTAGCCAATACTTGGACTTGGTGTGGGTGACAGCGGGTGTCGCCGCACAGGTCCAGAGAACGCTGGTGATCTTTGATTTTGACCTAGCCTAGATAAAGGTGGACTATGTTCGTAGATGCTTCTTGCGGTGTATGCTGGCGTTGGTAGCGAGATAGGGCGTTGGCCATGTGCCATCAGCGTGGAAGATGTTCCGCTGCTACTCATGTGAGCATCGTAACTACCACACCGGGCTGTCGTAACACATGGATTGAGGGTTGGAGAGAAATGTACGACATACCTAGAGCCTAGGCGTTGTAGGCTAGGAAATCCGGATGAGTAGATTGAGTTCGTGTCGGGAACATAAAGGGGTGCTGTGAAGAGAACTTGTGACGAAGACTGGCTCTCTAACGTTAATGGGGCTGGATTCGAGTCCTGGCTATAGCTGGCCGAGCATCAGCAGGGGTTCTGCCAGGTGGAGGATCGCAAACGGTATGTCAGACAAGACGACGCAACAGCGTCGCTATTGTTCACCGTGCCAGACATCGCCTAAGTACCACAGGCGGTGGTACTGCCAACGCTTGAGTGTGACAGGGCCAAAAGGGATTGGACGAGGGCAATGATCACCCACCATGCGGCGAGCAACTGGAGAAGCCACAGGTTTGAAGTGTAGCACCTTCAGGCTATTGAAGGCCGCACACCCTTGCACAACGCGCCCCCCGCACCTATAGACCTGTAGGGCGGCGCATTGGGCGGCGACCTGACGAATATGATGCAGAAATTCCAAAGCTAGCATGCTTCGTAGTGGGAAATAACACAGTTTCGGAGGAGCCTCCAAGACTTTATACTACATATGAGGGTGGGCCATGGTGCAGGTTGAGGTCTCATGTGGGTTGGATACGAGGAAAAGACTTCTTGCTCCTTACTCACCTCATATCAGAACCATCTGGTATATTCATGTAGTCCAGCCCGTTGCAGGAGGGCGCCGAAGGCTCGAAAGTCTGCTATAATTCCAAACAATATCAGCAAAGCCTCAAATAAGAAACCCTGTGAGTTATAAGGTGTGATCTGTCGAATCCCGTGGGCCGCTTCATTACCAGACTGTTATCATATCTCGCGAATGTTGCAAAGATCAACTGAGGCAAAGTCTAGAAACTGGTGACCACAGTTAGCAGGGTCTCTGTCGTTGTTGTGACTTACAAAGTAGAGTGCTTGTTAAAAGGAGAATGGTTGATGTTGACATTCAGAGGGTACATCCAAGGGGACAGTACACTGTCGCATGCACTGTGATACAAATACTAGGGTGCAAAAGAGGGATAAGAAGCTTACTGAAATGCAGGATGGTAGAGTTGGGGGAATGCAAAGTGATCAGTAATGTGGGCAGTGGCACTTCACCACCAGGGGATTGTTTCGAGTAGCACAAACAAGCGGGAGGTTGCTGTGCTTATTCGCACCTTGTCTTCTCTAACCAACAATGATCGAACAAAAGCGCGAGACAGCAATTCATCAAAACAGATTGGATACAGTCTCACTAGGGAAGAAAGATCCGGTACTTCATTCCAGATTGATCGCAGAATTGTTGTACGGATAAAAATGTACTGACCTTGTTGACGTTCCAGTGTTCAGGTTGTCGAGACTGGATCAATGTCCCTAAGGACTGCCCTGATCCGCAATACCGGGATGCATTGAATCCCGATTGGTATCGGCACTGATTGAAAGGTCTTGCTGCATTCGGCGCAGAGCGAATATTGGCTGATCGGCTTCGCGACACACGCGAACAGACGATTCAAAAGCTGAGGAGAGGTGGTGTGTGAATCATGGAGAGAATTAGAATTACCTTGGGGAGTGAAGAATTCATATGAATATGCAATTTGCCAGGCCCTCACTCGGAGGCGTTCACTGGCTACTAGAAAATGCTTTTGTTCGGTTATAACGGCGTTAAACCGTTCTAAACGGTCAGCATGGCCAGGGTCTTCATCGAGCTGTGCAGGGGTGTTGCGAATCAATCAGACTTGGGTAAGCGATGCCGGTAAGGAACGTACATGAAGGTCCTGCGAAGGGTAGTATTCCAGGATCAACCTGACCAAGCCTGGCTAACAAGACTGTCGACCTCCCTTGTTGCACGTCCGCCTGTCAAGGATCCAAGTGTGCTTGCTTGAAAAATATAGCCCGAAGGTTTGCTTCCCCTAGTAAAGCCCAACATCAGCTTATTAACCACTGACTGTAGGCTGTCAATCTGACCAGACTAAACAGTATGCGAAGGAGCAGTCAATATAAGCTCTTGCATACTCATGAATGAAGCTCACCCCTCCTCAATCGGTACTCGAGAGACGCGTGCAGCGCGCAGCCTCCCTGGAAAGCTGGGCGCCGTTTGTGTAGGAGTTATCGTTGATGCAGATTTCGACAGTCTATGAGGCAAACTGCCAATCCCTCTAGAGCTGTTCGATTTGCGGCTGGTGCATGCGCCCCGGAAGCTATAGTTTCTGAGCGAGGTACACTAACCTATACGAGAGTCCTGCGGTCAGTCCTTCCAAGCTATTAGCATAAGGTTGAAGAAGTGACTCGTGCGATCTGATTGATGATACGACTGCATGAGATGCCGCGCCACCGATTGGGTGGAGCGAATAGGAAGACGTAGGAAGATACAACCTTGTCCGTGGATGAGAAGTTGGCAGTTGCCGCAGAAGACAAGTCCTGAACGTACCTTGCGAGTATAAAGTGAGAATCTAGGTGCAGGACCTAAGAGATATTGAAATTTATAGTGGTCAAGTCCTTCTCTTTCCTGGACCGGGAGCGAAGTGACCCGTATCGAGAGTCTGTTCAGTGACGTAGCTCCGGAGTCGTGTAGTCAGAGTTGTCCTTGGGTAGAAAGCAACATATAATACTCAATTAGTTGTTGAACCGACTGACACGAATTAGGATGCGTTGAGAGATGTAGGATAAGAGGTAATCTATATATTCGTAGTTTGTGATGCGGGTCTCTAAATGGCGGCGCTGAAAGGCTTAAAAGATGTAGTGGTATAGGTTTTGGAGGCTTGAGAATTGTGTGGTTGTTACACAACTTGAAAATAACTTGGACTAAGAGCGTTGATGGCTGTGTCGAGATGGCAGAGGTGGATCCTCCGACGATGAAGTGAAGTAGATGGAGGATTTGGAGAGAAGCCGGACGAGACTTAAAGACAGCGCAATGCAGCCGGGTCTATCCTCGTTAGGTCTGGATAGAAGTAGACGGTTGTGCAAGCTGAATCCTCTAAGACACAGGCGGTTATCTGACAGTTGAATAGATGTGGAGAGACGGCTTCGGTTCCTTTATTGTGTTTAGGGTTTCATATCAAGCAGGCTGGAGTCGCCAACGAACATATGCGATGAAAGCAGATACACGACTGACGGGGGTTTGATCGTGTGGGCGTGTGTGTAAATCACCATTAGAGGCAACGAAACAAGTAGCTCTGTACTAGGACATGCAGAACTGCTGAAAGGGCTTAGTTCCAATTTTCCTAGTTTCAAAAGAAGGTCGAGTAAATGACCGAATGAGATTGAAGTGATGAGGCGAGGTAAAATGAGGTGAGGTGAAGCTTTGGTCAAAGGCAAAGTTGCAGCCTTGGACCCTGAGTACTGGGCAATTTCCAGATCCAGTTTTCGACAATCAAAGCAAGAAGCCGCCGAGTTACAGGGTCGCTGCTTCAGCTTGTTTTAGTTTACCCAACCTCAAAAGGGACCGGACAGTATTTTAGTATTTCTGCAGCATCATACAGACCTTCAGACTGACTGTCTTGACAGATACACTAGATAGTATAGTTCAGAAGTGAAGCCGCGTTTCTCATTCTCATATCGCAACGAAACACTCGAGAGGCGAACTATAATCTATAGCGCACATAATCAGGCCGAGCCTTTAAGATTACAGTTGGTTCTACAATCAAGCACTGGCCTAGTTTCTTGGGCATTACCGGATGAGAGTATCATTGGGCGGGGGAAAGTCAACATCCATGACTAAGTTTGGCACGACTTGGCCTGTCCAGTACGTGTAGGCTGGCAAGATCGGTGTGCTGTGCTTTGCTGTACTTCTAAAGAACTCCGCAGATTCCCATGCATCAGAGCTGCAGCTACCCTACCATCAATTGCTCTACGAGACGCCACAAACATTGCTGGTAACGGAGAAAGGATCTGCCTGGCTGAAGGGGTGGTCCAATCTTCGGCAACCTGCAGCACATTCTAACACGCTTCTCAGTCGATGTAATTCAAGGTCAGTGCCCGCCATTGAGATCGGAATTGCATGCATGATTAGTTATGACCAGGCCTAAATGGAGGATTGAAGAAATAACGCAAAAACACGCAAGTCAGCTGGCACTTATGCTATCTCTCTAGAAAAAGTACTTTATCGTCGGTGCACAACGTGCCGTACATCGCGATAGAGCATGTAAATCAGCCAAGGAACGCTCTATAAACGGCCGTGGCGGTAGGCTTCCAAGGGAACCAGAGATCTCGCCTCGAGCTAGTATCCATCAAAGTGAAGTCAAGATCCAACGTCGCTCTCGGCGTTAATACGTTACTAATGGAATGGGTCCGCTAACCAAGGTTTGCTTGCATGCGTAGTCGAGGGGGAAACATGGGGGTGACTCCGCCAGTTCTCGTTAGTTACGAGAATGAGAACGCTTATTTTAGCTTTCGGCCCTACCCTAAAGGCACCAAGCAACGCCCGACGTCTTGAAGGAGTTTAAAACACTTCGATGTTGGGATTTCTCGGCAGCGACCGACCGACAGTGGCCAGACCTCGCTTATTTTTGTCTGGTACACTATAGTAAACGCACCCCAGGGCGACTAGCTAGGTGGGCCATTATATCAAGTGCGCATGTCGTGACAGATTTCCTACGAGCCATCGATTTCATACTCCACTGGGTCTCGAGAAGAAGGGGAACTTACTTAATCAAAGACTCTAGGCCAACCGCTTGACACGTGAGATAGAGTTCATGTCAAAATACAATCGGCCGAGCGCCACCACACCAACCGGTGCACTGTCTACGGGACTTGAAGAAGCTAAGCACTACAGGCACGGATCTGCCGATTAGCTCATCATCTATTCTATTAGTCTCGTCCATAATCGAACCATGGCCACTCGCAAGCGAGAGAACAACTCAAAGCCTCAGCATGCTAGCGCCAATGTCAAAGCTCGCGACGAACTTATGTGATGTTATAGGATATGGAGCAAAGGAGGCAATAGGAGGCTAAATGAGGCTAGCCGTTAACTCTGCTGCGTGCTTCGACCTTGGTCAACCAATAGTATTCATTCATACCCGAGACCTGGGATTTAGAGCCGAAGGTTCGCTTCAGGGTCCTCGTCAGAAGCAGTCACTTCAAATCATGTCGCCGCGTCTACGATAACAGTCGACAGTGATTCACCTTGTCTCTCCCCATCCATACCTGATATAGCAAAATAACCCATAGTAGCGGAACCCGTGACCCTGCGACGATCTCAAGGGAAAGTAATACGTGCAGGTTGCCGTAAGAAGGTGGAGTAGTTGGCAGCATTCAGCCATCCAGCCCTTGGAAAATGCAGTGACCCTGGCATATGACCGCATACCCCAAGTGTTTCAGATCACGACTCTCTTCAGCCGTTTCATGCTGCACTGCAGTGGCAAATGCCGCATTCCAAGCTTCAGTGCCGACTTGATTACTCGAGGTTGTGCTCATCAACTGCAGGAACTGTCATTCCCAGGGCAACCCATATGATCATCACAACGTGAGTGTCGTCATTTCGCTTAGTCTACGTTCAACCAGCAGTGGCCAAATTGTATCATAGTCAGTCTGTGTCATCCGATATTCGCCCAAGGGATCCCCCGCCGTATGATATGTTTTTTTCCTGGGCGCAGTGGTATCGCGTTTGCACAGTGAAGCTGTATCGGAACGGGCCGCTACGTTTGGCTTTCTTGTCAACCTGGCTGAAGCTGTCGTGCCTGTCTCCCTTGACGCGCCTCATAATTAATAGTCATCGGAGCAGTATCACGTTGGGCACATCGTTGAGCCGCAAGTCTGTACAGGCCATCCTATCAAGGAAATTTGAGTTTCTGGAAATCATTTTCTGGGACTTCCTGTACAAAGCTTTCAAATCTTGTACGCTGTGATATGTCATGGAGATCCTCAAATATGTGTACCGTCTGGGTGGTTGAAGCCTTCTGTCCCATATACATGTGGTCACAACATGGCGTGGAAATCTTGACGTGATTGTCCTTTGACGCGGTTCGACTTTTTCCGTAGGTATCCATCATGCAGTAAGCAGGTGCCGTGACAGGGGTAGCACATGGCAATGGTCGGGATAGAGTAACTTCGAAGACAGTGATGAGGTCTCCACTCGGTGCTGTTAATGGACTTGTCGAGTTGTTACGCAAGATGGAGCAACAGGACGCGCACGAAGCCCGTCAATGACTTTTAAAACGCTGGCTATTACTGGCGGCAACAGGCTAATCGGACCGCTAGAACGGGGTAGACAATATTTGTAATGTCTTCCAATAACGAAAAACGGAGAGGGCGGATAGAGTCATGGCTAGATATCATGTCGCTGGAATTCCATTCCGCACTGTGACAGGCCTTCGAGATTCCAGCGCAATCCCGCTTCCAAACACAGCACAGCGGTTTGCATTAAATTTTGATTTTCGAGCGCTCACCGGCTGCTGCATTAACGTCTTGGGCCAATCGGCGCGCCACTAGCAAGGATCAAGATGAGGGCTCCTTTCTTATTTATCGGGAGCTCATACATAATTGAATTGATCAACTTGCGAAAGAGGTTAGTGTGAACAGAGAAACTTTACCCTGGTTAGAACTTAGCAAAGTGGCGATCAGCCGCTGCATCGACGGACGGCAACAAACGCTTAATTTAATCTCACAGCGTGTTATCTAACATGAATCAAATTTCATCCACTCTTGGTCATGAAGAAACATGCATATATTCCCGAACGTTTTAAAACACCGAGAAAAGAAATTAACATAACCCAGCCTCCGGGAGGGAAGCAATCCACGTGCTTGATCTCGACGAGAGAATATATTATTTTCCCGACTTTCGTTAGCATGAAACGTCACAATCAAACAGCTTTCGGGTCTGCTCTGCTCTGCTCTGCTTGCAGCCCATCGGATAGCAGGCAGGTGCGGAACCAAGGCCCTGGCCCGGGTGATTCACATTGCTCCGTCTCAGTGCATCTAGAAAGGTTCTCCAGCATTGGACCGCCCATTGGCCGTAAGCAATCTCCTGCCAATGCACTGGATTCCTCACTTTAGCAAATCATCATGACCCAATGGCCGTCGCCAAGATATTGTGGTTGGCTGCCGTGCGTATTGCAGTCGCAAACCCAGGGGTTTAATAGGACTAGTGAGCAATATGTAAACGGAGATTTTGCTTACATGTGCCTGTGAGCTCGGTGAGCTCTTTCCTCTTTGCGAGGACTTTTGACCACAAAGTAACTTGGTAGAGTCTCCTGCAACGTGGACATGCCACCCTACCCAGCTCATTGGAACACCTCCCACGGGTGTTATGCGAGGCCGAACGGGACGAAAGTCCTTTACAGCGGTCAATACTCAACGAGTGTGTGTGTGTGCGTGGGTTTAGCGCTGATGTACAAACCCAAATATCTTCTGAGCCATCTGAGAACGCTTATACTTTGATATGTTTATCGGGAATGGAATCGTGTACGATTGGTGTACCATAGAATTCCTCACGCCAATATTCACCGCATGGTGGTCTGGCCTTATTCGTCCTGGTCACGATTTAGTAAAAGTAGACTGGTCGTTTGATGTTCTGCTCGACCCCGTGAAGCCGGCGCCTTTGGATAATTAACCAACCACACACGCAAATCCTTAGTTACCGGCGCTCTATCGGACATGATCAGGCTATTGTCTTTATCACAATGCTCTTCTTCTCCATCTGTTCCAATCTTTTTGGCGCTCGACCACGTGAATACCGAAGAACCGTTCGATATGCATGCATCCATGACGAGCTTTTTCGACTCGCACACCCTATTAAGCAGGGCTGTGACTTTTTAGCCTGTGTGCACAATCTGTACATCTGTACCATAAAAAGGTCTCAAAATTGATAATGCCATAAGAGTATAGGCAGATATTTTTCATATGTTCCAAAGGTCGGTCTGTATCTTGACGTATTGCAAATTATTTTTTTACAGGTATGCCAAGGCATAATACACACATCTGGGGATTTGTTCTTTCACGATACGATTCTGGACCTCACAAGTAACAAGCGGTGAGCAGTGGCGGCTACTTCCGATGTGCTTCGAATTGCCACCCTCTCGACCAGGCACTTCCATCGAGAAGAAGTTTGCCTTTTACTGGTTTTTATTGCATCTGACTTGATTGTAATCCAGAAATTGAGCTTGCATGGTGGGTTGTACTTTTTGACAAGAGCTCCAATTTTGAAGAGCGCTACGCCATGTCTTCGCGGTCTAAGATTTTCATGCTCATGGAAGCCAAGACGAGAGTTATATGGTGATACAGGCAGATTGAGTTGCTAGATCCCCCCCCCCCCCCAAAAAGACCTCGTAAGTGCTTTACCCGAAATTGTATCGCTAGAAAGGTAGCACATTCAACCACCATGTTTCTTGCGTATGATATTAATGATTGACCATTATTTGACCAGTATTTCGTTGTTTTAATTTTCTACAGAATCTCGCGCTCTGCACTGCTGGGTTACTTAATACTTCTGCCTGTGTCATTCACTGGCAATTGCGCGGGTCATCATTCCCAGACGCGGATCATCTATCTACGTCGGAACAAGCAGTATTCCTTCAGCTTTACGCATTTTCTTAATTGTTTTATGTCAGTGATTTCATATAGACGCACTTCTGCAATGTGTCAGACTGCTGGAATTGCTATTCCAGGAATGACGTGTTCTGCACAACCTGTAATTACACGAAAACTCCCTACAGTCATCTACACCTTTCAAAGGAGACGATGCTGTGAGCCAAAGCGGTCGAATGCCCCGCGTTCCTCGAGACCGTCTATCAACGTCAAACTTCGCGCTTTTCAAATGTTGACCTACCGAACATTTTCGCTTCGTGCTTCCGATTTGGGTCTATCTCACTTGCGTTTGCCCAAATTGTTGCCCTCCCCCTGGAAACCTTGCTCTCGTGGCCATCTATCGACCCTTAGGCCGTATTTAGTTCATGTTGTGACCGTGGTCACCAAACCGGTCGGATTGTGCGAGCACACGGTCATTGCTCTCTCGGAGAGAGCAGTGAGGCAGAGTCTCAAATTTGTCCAACATCAAGTACCCACTCTAATACATGACGTGCGTGGTAGATAGATGATGGACGACAATCGCAGCCATGACTTGCGATGAAACCTCGTCTTCGTTGGCAAGGATTTCCTGGTCAGCCTCCAACTTGGTCCTGCGAACTCGCTCTTGAGATGTCAAGTGCGGAAGGTCGATGGAGGTGCTGAAGAAGGCGCTTGTGTTGGCTTGTAGCTCGCAGACTACTCCAACGTAGGACAAAATTAGCCATGCGACTCATACGCCATCTTTCGATGACCTTCTTCAACGGGAACCCACTAAGGCAGTGCCCTAATGACAATGCTTCAAATCGTCAGATCGTCGAGCATCATGATGTTTAGATGGAAGATCGAGTGAGATAAAGGGATGTGACAAACTCCTGATTCATCACTAGATGATCGACATGCGTTCGTTTATTCTATTCGGCCCGCCGTGTTTTATCAGCGTTTGGCTGTTACATTCAACTTTGGACGCGTGTTGCCGAAGTACTCAGATTCTGCTATTACCAAAATATGCGGCTTTGGGAGGCAGATTCTTGCGAGCCTATGCTGGATGGCTTACTTCCGATGCTGAGGCATAGCTTTTTGATCATATGTTACATTATAATAAGAAAAACCATTACGTCGCCCATATTGGCTTTTGTACTCTGAAAGTTGTTGGTCCACGCGATTCACTTGATGGTACGATCAGCGTGGTACCAATTCTAGATCAGCAGGATGAAATCCATATTCGTACCAGACCACACATTCGGTGCCGACTTGTGCATAATATGGCGTGAGCTAGTGCTACAATTGAGCATCCCAATTTATCTTGAAACTATTTATCAGCACCGTACGACAACTGGTGGCATATTCAACAATGACTTGACTTCCTAATGATAACGTCTCTCAAGCCTAATGTACGCTCTGAAGCGCACAAAGGCAGACAGACAAGCGTGAATCTCATAAATTGGACATAATCGCTCTATCAGCCCGCAAGAAGTTTTCTAGGTTGAAACATTCAACTGCTGTTTTGGAAGTGACGACAGGCGTATTGGCCTTTCTGAAGTTTTATCCCATAACTAGACTCCATCAAATTGGTGGATTTATGATGTCTTGGTGTACAACGTCAACCGCCACTTTGATACTCCTATGATAATACGGATAAGACTGGTTTGCAAATAGTAATTCTCGGGAAGCTTGTATTAGCAGGAACCATATCTACACTAATCAATCTAGATATTACCATCACCAGTAAATTCACAGCAACAAGAACAATACTCCATCTACACTAAATACAACCTTGCCAGATAATTTGTTCACGTAGAAATGATTAATTCATCCCTAGCACTCTGTCATTGTTGGTTCGCCGTCGAAATATTTGCTACAGAAGACCAGGATCGCATCAAGGCCCGCGCCCTGCCAAGGGGAAACCCCCAGAAACAGAATGCTCAAACAACTGGGCACAATGATTCCTTCCCAAAGATGTGTTGTGGTCCTAAAACCTGTCTCATAGGTTCTGCGCCCAACCTCGGTAGGTTAAAATTAAGACGACGATGCGTCTTGGCCGAAAGAGGTAATAAATATCATCCTTTCGACGATAAGAGACTGTACCCCCAGCAAGAGGGGCAAGAAGGAGGCGGGCGCCCGGCTCTTGCAGCCATGTTATGAACGTGGGATCATCTTTAAGAATCGACTTGCTTCGCGACCCGATGACCAAACAGTCTATGCATGAGGCCTCTGATGGCATGCGTTCTAACATGGCCCACGAACCGGATACCACTGGCCCACAAAACTTGCGATCCGTGCTACCTCTTGGATGAAGACGGACAATTTCGGGGAACTAAGATGGACTACATTCTGTCCTGCACCCTCTTACATTGCATAGAGACACACCAGTTGGGCTTGCTACGCGCCGAATGATGCCCGGCCTCGTGTCCAAATCCCAACCAAGGCCGGGTACTGACTCCTTGCTTCAGGAACACCTGCTAGCAGCCAATCTACCTCCGATCTACAACAGAGAATAGGCACAAGGCTCATGGCCAATTCTTGGCCCCCCAGAAGGAATGCTGTCTACAGAGTGACAAGCCAGTGGTTCCGAACCTTGAGCTTGGCCAACACACAGTTTTTCTTTCTCCTGACAGGCCCCTCCTTCACGGGCCAGTTGATAGGCCCGATATGATTTGCGCCAAACGAACGCTGCCACTAGATAACGGCCCATCGATATAGCCTCACAGTTCTGTACGGACGTCGCTACCAACACAAAAGCTCTATCTTTCATGGTCCGTTGAAACATGAAAAGGAGAGATGCGGAAGATACATATCCCTGACAACTAAGGACAACGTGAGCTGGTGGACTCCAGTTCGCCCTTACAGTCTTTGGGGTAAAATCACATTGGTCAATATACGAAAGAATCAGATAGAAATATATTGGTGATACTAGAATTCAATGCTTCAAATATACGGCCGATGTATTTTACGAGACTGACCGTGCAATAACCAACAACTGCGTTGACACTCCTAGCAGCGAGTTCCATCGCGCTCAAATAATAGATTTAAAAACAAAAGGTTTGTACCTGAGCCCTCGTAATGACCACTGAAATGTGCCCTCCCGAGTGACTATCCAGGCTATCCTGAGGAGCCATCGTGAGTCTTGCTGCAGTGACTATCAGGTGGCCGTATGCTACACGACAATTAGAGTGCACTTGACTTGAGCACTTTAACTGATGATGCCATCTACTATTTTCCATGTTTACTGAACCAAGTAGCAGCAGTCGTTCTGTAAAATGACCTGTTAGAGTCACATATGACAACGAAGTCGTCTCAGATCCACAGCCTGCTTTTGGACATTGTCATCGAGGCCTGCACAAGACGGTGGAACGATCAACAGGTGTGCTAAGACCAATGCGCCGGCATTCTGACCGGCACCGGGCCTTTCTCCATCTCGACCACAGAACAAAGGCATTTCTCGGCGATGTTGAATAGCACACAAATATCACAGGCTTTTGTGTAGCTTATACTCTCCCTCCCCTTTTCTTCTGAGTAACTCTGTACCCACTGCGCACCTTACGAGCGAGTTTTCATATCAAAATGTTGTGCCCGCCCAGGGAAAGCCCCATTACATTGCAGATACTCCAGAGAACGGAGGCCGCAGAAAGCACCATATCTGAGGAGATCCTTCCTCCAGACGCCGGCACCTGAGCTCACGAGCTATCCCAACAGACCCCGTCCTACTCTGTACAGGAGCCGGGTCCCGATAGCCCCAGGTCTTCCCTCCAAGTACCACATGCGTAGCTTGTTCTACTGACCATCGTCACCAGGTGACGGACAGGGTCCATGTCGACATCAGCAGACCTCCCGTCCACCGAACGATCATGGCTGTCCTTTGCTATACACGCCCGTGACCCGAGCCGCAGACGAACGGGCAAAGCCGACCATTCCACCGCATCAATGCCTCCTACGAGTGCAGTCCCAATGCCGACCATCACTCGATTACGACCCCTTCCTCCGCTATCGCTGCCGTGCCTCGAAATTCGCATGGTCATCGTAGCTCCGTGCCTCCTACTTCCAAGGGCAGCCGCTTCTTCGTCGCTAATTATATCCTGGGCCGATGCTAGCACATCGAGAAGATCGTCGCCCAGCCAGCGAGTGAGGGAAGCAAACCAGGCATGATGACAGTGGCTGTTCCAGGATCGTCAGAATTTGTTACTTGTGATTGGGCCAATATAAAAGACGAGCTGCTAGCTGCGTCATGACCGCTTGGGCGATGCTAGGTGTACGCGACACTATAAGCCTCTTGCGCTATGTTTATCCCGACGGAATCCACATGCAGTTGATTGGAATAGAGTATAAAATGTATTAAACAACGCCGATTGTCTGTCTATAAGCCATGACCAATCTCATAAGACGACGAGCCAGTATCTCCGATTGCCATCAATATCACTTTTGCCTGCTTCCTCGTGCTCGCGTTGATATCATTCGTCTGGTGCGTCCTCAAGACACAAGCTGACCGTAGCCCCAGTCAACTATAACGTGGAATTGACCTTTAGTGGGACGATCTCTGATTGTGATCTGGCGGACCACACAAACGTTTTCGTTTCTGTATCCGTATCCCCACTATCCCCAAGTCCTTAATTGCCAAGGTAGTTACGGATAGCACCTTGTAAACGAGTCGCACCCTCGCCCAAAGCACTGGTCAGGTTTTCGAGATCGTCTCCCGCAGTGATACCAAACTTGCGCACAAAGTCCTTGGCGGCATTTTCCAGATCGCCGTAATCCTCGCCGCCGTTGTCTTCGTCTTCTGGGCGACCGAAGTAAGCATTTGATGAGATGGCGCTGGCGCCCTCGAATCCTTGCAGACGTGTCTTGGCTTCAGACTGAGCGTTCGGGTCGAACGTGCCTCTCCCAAAGAACTCATCTGATGAGATACCCTTTTGTGCACCAAACTTGCTGCGGGCGTACTTCTCACCATCGTCTACAGTGTTGTTAGTAGAAGCCTGTTTATAAAGATGGAGACTGGACTTACCCTCTGCAGCTGCCTTGACCGGTCCTACCGAGCCGAAACCGCCAGCATTCTTCTTGGGGGCAGGAGCAGCAGCAGGCTTGGCACCTCCAACCTGGCCGAAGCCTAACCGACCAAAGCCCATGCCCAAACGCTCGACCTCTGCTGCTGACTTCTGCCTTGAATGGCCGGAGCCATAAGCAGGGCTGGCGGGAGCAGGAGAGGCTACATTGCTGGCCTCAGTCTTGGTGGCGGTCTTCTTGGCCTCAACCTCCTCGGCTTCGGGGTCATATCCTAACTTGGCAACCCTGTCGGCCTCCTCCTTGGCCTTCTTTTCAGCCTCGTCGAAATCGATAACGTCGGCAGTGACCTTCTTGGCGCCCAACTTGGTGTTCTTCTTGGCGCCAAGGACGTTGGTCTTACGGGGACCAGCGGCGCCACTGGTGGTTTTCCGCAGAGCAGCAGACGAAGTGATTCGGCTTGGAGCTGGCTTGGCTTCTCCGGACTCGGTCTTGGAGAGTGGCGAGGCGGACCGTGAAATGTCCTTGCCATTAGCGCCGGCGTTCAAGAAAGGTGAAGGCGTCCTGCCGAGGACAGGAGGTGTGGCGGTTCGCGAGATGGGTGGTGTGGGCTTCTTGATGGCGGGCTTATCCCAGGACGAGAAAAAGTCGTCGTCGGGTTCGCCTGCCGGGGTGGCAGAGGCATCGGCGTCGGTAGCGTCCGTGATGACGACCTCGTCGGGAAATTCGAGGGCGTCTCTGGCAGCTCGCTTCTTGAGCTCATCCTTGTACTTCGTAGCAGCAGCTGATTGGTACTTTGTCTTTGGATCTTTGCTGGCCAGTGCAGCGCTGCCACCATTTGCGCGGAAGTACTTGGTTGCCGACTCGTTTCCGCCCACCTTCATGACACGAAGCTGATCCCATTGCCATTCTAGTCCGCGCGGTTAGCATCTATTCATGGGTTTGTGGTAGGTTTGTTGCGCGGGACGGAGACGTAGACGTAGACGTACGATCAAGATTGGTGGACCGGACAAAGGAGATGTGAACACCGAGGTTTCGGTGGTTGGAGGAGCAATCCAGACACAGATAGATGCCAAAGGGCACGGATGTCCAGGTCGGGGCTTTGGCACCGCAGTCGAAGCAGATCTACAAGCACAGTAGCAGGTCAGCCGCTGGGAGGGCTCTCTGTCGGGCGGGAGCGGCTTCTCCTCACCTTGTTTGCTTGCTTGGCCTTGAGCTTCTCAAACAGCTTTTGCGACTGCTGCTTAGTCGCGAGGCCGCTCATGATGGCGATGCGAGTTGTGGTTGATGGCGGAGCAGTTGTTTTCTACACGGCTCGATACGTCGAGGCGCAAGGTGGACTGAACTGGGACAGTGGAGAGTGCGCTGGCAGGTGAAGTCAAAAGGAGACGGTGACCTGGCGGTTGATTGCTTGCTTGATTCAGGAGTTCGGCCAGATATTCATTCTCACTGGAGAAGGCCACCCACCTCAAAGAAATTGGCCCACATTCGAGTGTCGCTACGTACCGTGTACCTTGTACTCTGCACGGCTAGGCCCAAATGGGGCAGGGCTAGCCCAGATACAGCTAGCAGAAATAACCCCACATCAAATGACGATCCATTGCGGTCCATTCACTCCAATCTTCACTTTGCAGCTTGCGAGTTCAGTGCAGAAGCCCGACCGGAATACGCATCTCGTACAGCACCGATCTACACAGTACGGAGGAGTAAAAGGAGCATCCAAACGAAATAAGACACAATAAAACAAAACAAAACGCTGGAGCCTTTACTGATCTGATCTGGTTCCATCTAATCTGATTCGATCTGATCCGATCTGATCGGTTTCCACCTCACACGCCTCGGATTAGCTGCGGAACCAGCGCAGACGGATCAAATTACTCAGGCGTCCTCGACTCTATCGGCCCACGGTGCGGCCCAGATGGACGTTCAACCTCCAACATGAAGCTCATACTCCGCCCATCGGCATTCCACACAGCCCTCCCCCGACTGAGACCTCTGCTTATCCAGAGAGGCTACGCGGCCCAGAACGACCCTTCCACCGCTGCAAAGAGAAGGGCCGTTACGCCTTTCAACGATGACGGCCACGTTCCCTGGCGCGACCTTTCAGGCGCCGAGAAAACCGCAAGAGCCACACAGCAGACATTCAACTTTGGTCTAGTTGTTGTAGGAGCCGTCTTGACCGTAAGATATCATCCTGAAACCGTCCTCTCACCGTTCTTGGACGATACTCTACGCTACAGTCACTGAAGCGCAAACCACAGGGAGGAGTAGCCTACTTCCTATACACCGACGTCTTCTCCCCCGACAGCAAGACTGCATACTACAACCGCGCCGTCGATCGAATCAAGAAGGATCAAGACTGTCTCGCTGTGCTGGGAGATGCCAAGAAGATCGCTTTCCATGGCGAGGAAACATACAACAAATGGCGTCGCGCAAGGCCTATTGCGTACGACCAACCCATGCCCGTTTATTGGAACACGCCGCTGAAGCTATCCACAGATCTACACACACAACCGACAAGCAGGGCACTGAACATATCATGCTACACTTCTATGTAAGTTGTCGTCCAGCATCATTTCGTCCCGGAAACTGCTTACCCAATTCAGGCTGAGGGGCCGCGTGACAGAGGCACCGTCAATATACACCTGACCAAACGCCCTGGTGCATCCGAGTTCGAGTATAAATACTTCTACCTCGACGTACCAGGACATCAGCGCATCTATCTGGAGAACGCAGACGCCAAGTCCTCCGCCGAGTCCAAGAAGTATAAATTCCTCGGTGTAAACTGGAATTAATATGCCCACTCGTCAACTGTATGAATATGTATAACACAACCGAGCTCGAACAGGGCTTTCTATCAAGCAGCATTGAGATATCATGACTCCGAACAGAATGACTACTCATATATCGTAAAGTTCTGCTGCATATTTCGAGGAACGGATGGTCATCATCCTGGGCGTAGGTGATCGCGCGATGCCCTGGTTTATGGACTCAATGTAAATGTATCACGCGACTCAAATCCCTACCTTGGCCAAGAAACCCTAGAGGCCTCGGCAAATATGCCCAGTGATTGGGAAATTGGAATATACCAACAAAACAAGTTTTGTCGTGTTAGAGATGAACGTGGACCACCAATTATAGGCCACGCTCAGCGCCAAGCGTCTAGGTTGTGCGTTCGAACACAAAACCCGATCCTCAATGGAAAGGCAACGAGGCTAAAATTTATACATCGTCAAGCGGTCACCTAGTCCTCACAATCAAAGCCACAAACAATGCACACTCATTTGGGGGATATTGTTCCTTGTTTGAGTTCTAGCCAAGTGGTTCCTGACAGGATGCAAGTAGTCAAGATCCATTCAACCACGCCATGACGTAGTGTGTATGTATGTATGTACAGTCGCAGGCCTTACGTAGCCTATAATTATATGGCACAGCCCGACTTTTTTTTTTCCTACTGGGTTTTCTGAAGTTCAAAGGTAGTCACCAGCCCAATTGCCCGATTGAGCTGAACCCGCATCCTATCATGGCCTCAAACGGCCTCTCCGAGTCTTTCCTCGCTGCCATTCAGGCTAGCTTATCGGTACTGCTGGTTATCTTCTACGGCGTCGTGGCAGCCAAACTCAACATTCTGGACGCCAAGTCGACCAAAGCAATCTCAAAGATATGTGTGCGCGTATTTCTCCCGGCCCTGCTGATAACCAAGCTTGGCTCCGAGGTCGATCTGGATTCCATAGGCAACTATGGCCGCATTCTGATCTGGGCTCTGGTATGCCATGGCGTCTCGTTCCTGTTTGGCCTCTTCGCACACCTCGTCCTTCACATGCCCGACTGGACCACAGTCGCGCTGATGTTTAACAACACCACGAGCTATCCGCTGCTGCTCATTGGCGCGTTGGGAGAAACGGGGGTCTTGAACAAACTGCTGCAGGGCGATGAGAGTTCTGATGACGCTACCGAGCGGGCCAAAGCCTACTTCCTCATCTTTTCTACCGTCTCGAGCTGTCTAACCTTCGCCGTGGGCCCAAGACTGATCGACTCTGAGAACGGGCCCGAGGACGACGAAGATGATGGCGAAGACGGCGCAGCCCAGCTCAATGGAAGCGGCAATGGCCATTCGAATCAGCAGATCGACGGTGCCGGCGATTCAGACGAGCAGACGGCCCTGCTTGGCGAAACGGCCCAGGCGCGGCGGGCCGTGGCGTTCAATGGTCGCAGCTCGTTCTTCCCTTCGAACCGCAAGCAGCGCTCAGCGCCGTCCAAGCTCGAGTCCAAGCAGCGCCGGGCCAGATGGGTCGCGAAGAAGTACTGGAGCAAGCTCGGCCCTCGCGCGCAGTGGTGGCTGGTCTTGGTCTCCGACTTCTTCAACGCGCCTCTGCTGGGCGCCATCATCGGCGCCTTCATCGGACTGGTGCCGGCTCTGAAGAGAGCCTTCTTCGCCGACGCCACGGGGGGCGGTGGTATCTTCACCGCCTGGCTGACGGCGTCCCTGAAGAACATCGGGGGTCTGTTCGTGCCGCTGCCCGTGGTCGTGGCCGGCGTGACGCTCTACGCCGCGCACCGAGACGCGCAGGAGAAGAAGAAGAACAAGTCGAGCGGCGAGGAGCCGGCGAAGCTGCCGAAGCTCACCGTGGCCTATATCCTGTCGGTCCGGTTCGTCTTTTGGTCCGCCCTCTCCATCAGTATCATCTACGGGCTCGCGTCGGCCGGGGTTCTCGGTTCGGACCCCATACTCTGGTTTACCATGATGCTGATGCCCGTGGGGAGCCCCGCCATGAAACTCATCGCCATGGTGCAGGTCAGCCAGTCCGGAGATGAGGACGAGGCCATGATTGCCAAGGTGCTCACTATCGCCTATGTGATCTCTCCCATTTTAAGCTTCACGGTGGTGGGAAGCTTGATGGCTAGTCAGGCTTGCATGTGACGGGCGATATAGGGTCAACCAATACCAGAGAACATATAGACAGCGAGTGTAGAAATTTTGTATACATATTTATAAATACACTTCCCGACAAATGTCTGGTCTTCGAGTACCATAGTCCCGTTGAGCAACTCCTCGGTGAGTTGAAAGTATATCAACGAACGGCAATTCTAAAGGTGAGTAGTATGCTTGGGTGATTTGTGGCAAAAACGCTACTGGAGTCCACGAATCTTCTTGTTCTATGTTACATTATTAAAGCAATGTAACCACTAGTGTCTTGAGAGGCTCGCAACAAGTACCAAATGCCCATTCGGTTCATAAACATGACCGCAGGATTACCACGCCTTGAATCGTGGCTCCCCAGTATTAGCTCGAATATGGCCAGGAAATGCTGTTTGGCCAAGATTGATCGGCTACAAATTATCTGGACGATGCGAACGCCGAACGCCGATGCAAGTCCTTGGAAACGTCAAAAAGAAAAAAAAAAGGAAGGAAAAAAGGAAAGGAAAAAAGGAAAGGAAAAAAAGTGATTAAGCAGGCTCCTCGCCATCGAGCTTAGCGATCCACTTATTCATGCCTGAATACTTCTCCTCGAATGTCTTCTGGAACTTCTCGCCCGCAGCCCACATGGGGTCCTTGTCAGTCCAGTAGTCAAAGCAGTTGTCGATGATCTGGCGGACATCTGCAACGAACTCTTCCGCTTCGTTGTATTGCTCCGCGTCGAACTTCGTTTTGATCGTCTCCAGATCCATAGGCTTCTTAATCTTGTCGGGATAGTCGGGGACACCCTCCTCAACGGGGTCAACAGGATATCGGAATGGCTTGACAAGACGGGTCCAGAAGCCTGTCAGGCTGCATTAGCACTGATTCGGGGCCACCAACTGGACGATTTAACTTACCGGGACCAGAGAGCATCCTAGTCAACAGATCGCTGCAGAAACTGAGCTTCTGCTCCTTGGTGGGTTGAAAATCGCCATTAACCTGCACACCGGCCTTGCGACTCTTGGCAGACTTCGTGGCTGGTAACGAGGCTCTGGCGTTAGACTTGCGCTCGGTCTTGGTTTTCGGAGCTGAAGGAGGAAGCGTGCTGGAAATGGAATGACGGTGTTTGGGGGCTTTCTCCTTGTGCTCGCGAGCATTATCGTCCTCAACGTCAAGATAATGCACGTTCTTCCGTCGTGTGGTTCCGTCAGCTGAAGTGTCATTACTGACCTGAATGACGGGTGCTGAGTTGAGGTGGCTCATTGTTACCACCAACTCGCTCAAAACCTCTTGAGGGAGTGACTTGCTGAATTCGCTGCGTGCCTCCGAAGAGCGGATATATTCGGCAGCCCAGGTCAGAAGAAGGTTACGAATTTCTGAGCCCTCCGGAGTGTCCCTCCACACTTGAACAAGAAGAGGCGTAGCTGGGATCGTGTGAGTGACACGACGGCACTCCGACATTGCCTCTAATGCTGTGTCGCAAAGACCCTCAATTCCTAGCCTGCTGCCCAGCTGCCAAACTGCTATGTATACGTCATAGCCCTGTATCTCACTGATATCTGACAGTCTGCCGGTGAACATAAAGTTTTGCGCCAGACCAAAGACCTCCGATGTAAACTCGGAGAGATGGACAATATTCTCTAACTTGTCTTCTTGCTGTTCGGAAAAGTATCGACGAAAGTGAGTTGATTTCGCGCAAAGAAAGTCCTTTTGTATGCCGAAAGGCGTCTCGTCGGGGCCGACGAGGAAAACGACAAATAATGGGTGTGGATCCCTACTATCAGTCAACATAGCACAGTCTTGGTCGAATCGTTTAGACCTACATCCAGCTAAAGCCTGCGGCTTGTTCGTTATCTTGAACAGACATGTTGAGAGCTGATGATGCAGTTAGGTGTTCGCTCTTGTACGGGTTGTAAAAGCTTTTGCATAGCCGTTAGCGGCAGGTCATGGGAAGTAAGACAAGAATTTGCCTAAGCCGTCTCCCTTATTGATGCTGCGAGACTGATCTCAACGTGGCGGTTACATCAACTCAGGAGCAATTGCACAACTTGTACCAAAGAATTATCCGAGTTGCTCTCTATAAGCTCCTATAACCTTGTCGAAGTAGTTACGGAGGTTTCCACCAAACAATCGTCTGGGTACTTTTCTGAGCTCAAGAGGCAGTGCTGGAGCAGCAACAGTGTTTTCGACCGAAGAATTGCTCAACTCCCTGCTCATGAGCTCATACGACCCGCGGTCCACCACTTGGCTGGCGGATGTTGTGACGAAGGGTTGTGACGAGTGGTTATTATCGCCTCAAACCCTAGTATAGCACTGAAAAGCTCGAGGTTATCTGATCGTGACGCAAGCACAGCGAATGGTATAAACCCCAAATATCAAACAATAAACCGTCAAAATATTCCTGTGCCTTCACTGAGAGCATTGAGGGAGTCAATCGTTGTTAGTCCTGGATTTGGCCCTTTCTCGATTAAGTGGGTGGTGGATGGCTGTGTACACAGTAAGTTGTGCTTAGCTATTCGCCTCGCCTGCACCAGCTGTCACGACTCAGTGTGCTTGGTACAATCGGATGGTTCATTCGATCGTAGTCTCATATAAGACAGAATGTTACTGATTCCTTGTATTGCGCAAGTAAATCTCTCGGTCTCAAGGCCCCAAGGAAAGATTGACTGGTGGATTAATTGACTGGGAAGTGATGTTAGCATCTCAATGAAAGCCACTGAAGCTGTGACTCCAGTAGAAGTGGTCAGAAACCGTTAGTACTAACCAAGTCAAAACATTCATTTGAGTTTGTACTCTTATAGATGGTTGCAAAATGATTGAATTGCGTGCCGCACGGTCGATAGTTTCTTTCTTGGTCATAAATGGCGATGAAATTGCGCCTCGACGATGAATTGGTGAAGTTTACTTTGGCGCAGCTTGAGTACTGATGAAGTTGAAGCCGCCGCTGTCCAGGCACTCAAAATTATTAACCTACTGGACCGTGCACAGTCAGCTCAGTCCACCCCACTATGTACATTCCCTTGAAGGTGGGAAGGAGTGAACGGAAACTCGATTATGTATTTGAATATGCCTTCAAGAAATAGTTATCTTATTGGCAAATGCTTCATGTTAGAGATACTTAGTGTTAATTGGGCGCTTCGATTTTTATAACTGGAATTTTATATCAACTTTAATTTTAATATTCGTGATGACTATCACCCTCGTATATGTTCGAGAAAGCGTTGTTCCCAAAACTGCTGCAGCTCATCAAGCCACCCGGACCTGAAATTTCACTTTTAACTTGAAGTTTAGATGGGAGGATTTTTGTTCCTTTCCTCTTCTTCCGGAAATTGTATTCTAGCCTTTCGAATATGTTAAAAAAAATTAAAAAAAAATCAAAAAAATCTGTTGTTGTGTATATTGTTCTAGAATGAACACATAGGTGTTCTGTAGTATGTTAACCTTAGCACCATCTTCTTCCAAAGTAGCCATTAAGATTTCGATACACATAGGATCTGTGAAATTGACCAAGGTTGGTAATACACAAAGCCCGAATCTCACCCTAGTCACAGTTCCCTTGTGATATGATTTCGTCGTACTAGAAAAGGCCATATATGTCTTTTAAGATAGCAGGTCGAACACATGCTCGCATCTAATGATTTAATCAGATGTGTCTACTAGGACTAACAAACAAGCAAGGGTTTCTCTGAAAATAGTATCTTTGTCTTCCGGATATGCTCATAGTATATTGCTAGCTCCATACTACAATAGTGGCTACATGGGCTGCATGGGAGAGCGACCTCTGCTGTACCCTACATCTAAAGACCATATAATTTCCCGATTGTTTGGTGAACGCCCAGGCTGGGATGTTGGAATCAACATTATATCAATTTGGTAGCGGATTGAGAAGCCTTTGTCAAGGATGTGATATGATTGCTGATTGCTAATGTATCTCATAAGACTTACGAAAGTGTCTGTCTTGAATGCAGATCAAACTGTCTTTTTAAAGCATGTCATGACTGTCTGCGAATGGATAGCTTGGATCAAATCGCTACTGGTCATTATAAGTGGCCGTGCAGCTCTAACACGATACAACTGATGGTCCCCCCCCCCCCCCCCCCACAAAGCTTACCTGCAATATCCAATGGCAATCCTCTGGCCAATTGGTAGGAGGTTTGCTACCAAGATAAGAGCTGTATACTACAGAGGTAGGTTGATTCTATTGGTTCTGGACTGCCCCAAGTGCTATACCCACGAGGCTCAGACTAAGCTGTGCAACAGCCAACTGCAACACTTGAGACTGGCGGGTCTCATTTCAGCGTTTACCAATCATAGAAAGTGATAATAATAATTTTGGATCAATTAAATGCGCTTGTGGACAAGTTCCTCCAAAACAGTTGTTTCATTTTCCAAAGTGATCCTCTAGACTGCGTGCAAATAAAGCACCAATAACAGTGCCTAGCTCTCTCTGACTAGGGAGGTCTCCACACGCAGGGTTTCTTCCTTGGATTTTGATAAACCATCACCAAAACAACATGGTCAAATCATCACGTACTACATACATACGTCATTCCCAATATGGCAAAAGCGACAAACAAGCATTTTTGCCAAGAAAATACTTGGTTATGCAACTGAAGGTCATTTCGCTCTCTCTGTATACTATGCATTGGCATGTCGCGTGCCCTTGCCATGGGCTATTCGCTTAATTTCTTGGTCTCATGGCCCTCAATATCCATAGTTTCAAAAAGTTTCGCCGGGCCTGGATCCCGATGACTTCCAGGTGTTAGACATATATATACAAACTCACCGTCGTCTTTTCAAAAATGTTTGGCCCATTGTAATTGTGCCATAATACTAATAATACTGTAATTCATGCACCACAAGCATTCCAGTACGATGTTCAACAAGTCACAGAAGCCCAAATCAAGCAAAAACCCAGACCCACACAATGGGTCGAAGGGTCCAATGGCTTGGAATGTGCCGTAGGTTCTATATTCATTCTAACTACACCAAAGTCATTTTTACGCAAGCGACAAGAACTAATACTCTTTACAGTATATTCTTCGGAATAATGTTTGCACTCTCAATTGCGGAGATGATCTTCACAATAGATAGTTTCCAGTATCTACAGAAGAAGCACAAGTGGTAAGCGCATCCCCATGGTCATGGAGGTTGTTTTGAAGGCTAATTAGGTGTTGATAATGAAGGTGGTCTGGAACAGAGCGAGCTCGTTTAGCTTTCTTGATTTTCAGCGCTGCGAGGACTATTCTTCTGTCTGCTGTGTATGTGGGCTTCCATTGCGCAGTGAAGCATCTACACAACATGTTACATACGGTATGTGAGCTTCGTATACTACTGAGCACACTATTTTCCCCGCTCTTCTCTTTGGGCAAAGTCAACTAACCTACAGCAGATCTTCCTGGTTATATCAACAATCCTCTGGATTGTCAGCGGCATTCTCATCCACCAGATGTGGGGATACGTTGAGTGCGAGAATGAGGGCATTGCGAACAGCTTCGAAGAGTTCAAGAGCCAGGTCTCAGGCGGGTTGTCCGAATGCCATGAGATCAAAATCATTGAGATTATTGCATGGGCTATCGCAGGAGTTAGCGTCCTGGCGACTATACCAGTCGTTATCACGGCGCTAAAGAAGAGAAAGGCGAATAAGACCAGAGGACATAACGAGAAGACCGCCGCGCATAGCACAAATGTTTGACAGGAGTAGTAAGATAAACATTAATTTATTGACATATGATAACGTGTTATTCCCCCCCCCCACTTTTTTTTTTTTACTCTCGGTTTTTATTTTTTATTGACATGTGCATCAACCAATGTAAGTGAACTTCAGACATTGTACAATGTCATCATGTCAGCTTTGACAGGTGTAAGAATCCAACTGCACTTCTCACCACGATGTTGGAACCGAGCCATCAGCGGTGACTTCTGCCATAACTGTCTGAAGCGATATTTATCAGGCCAATACCCAGGGTATTCAACAAGCTCAAAATCCAGAGAGTACACAAGCTCAGCCAAAACAGTTCTCATTTCCAGCCAAGCCAAGTTGATCCACCGGCAAGCTCGTGGTCCCATACTACGGGGAACTGTATAGGGTTTACCATGCTTGCCGTCTTCTCCAGTCCACGCTTCAGGTCTCCAAGTAAGAAAAGAAGGTGCATCCTCCGGATTATAATGCAGACTCATGATATCTGTAGAAACGTACGAACCGTCAGGGACGAATACTCCATCAACGAAAATGCCTGGTGGTTTGCAGGGTGGGCCGACCGGCGGAGGCAAATTTGTCCCAGACAGCCGGTGCTGAAACCAGTGCAACCACATTGACAGCCACCTTGTATACCCTGACCGTTCATACAAAATGCCTCCTTAAGCTAAGACATAAGCGTACCGGCGCCTTTGGATCACCCAAAATCGTCAACGGAGATACCACAGCCGGACTACCTTACCTCAATGCCGTCCTGGAAGAAATCATGCGCACCTTTACGCCGTCTCCGTTAACTGCTTCTTATCAAGTCTTCCATTACGGGTGACATCTGTGAAGAAGTTTTGATAGTCGTTGGTATCACCTATCTTGAAGCGATTTCGCACTTTCTCCTAAGCTAGGACGTGGTGTTGCGCATACCTTTTCATGACGTCCTTGGGAATAAGGTCTGATTGAACGTATTTGAGAACCGGTAACCGATTCTAGAGTCCTGCAATACTGCTACCGTAAATCGCAGCCAAGAGAATCGAGAGTCGATAGTTGGGTTTCGCCTTGTGGACTGCACCAAAGCTCTCGCCAAAAGTGAGCTCGCCTGAGTCATTGTTAGTACTACACTTTAAGTCACACCAGGCTTGTATGGGATATTTTTACCCATACTGCCAAAGGTTAACCTATCCGATAGAAATTGTTAGCATCCCTACATTGAAGCGATAGAGAGGCCAGGGTCGCCACCGGCAAAGAGAACGTCGGAGGGTGACACTGGACTATTGAGAGTTACTCACCATTCCAGTGCTTTTAGTCATTTTCATACCTGTAGGTTCCAAACCAAGCCACTCAACCTGCTGTAGGAAAAAGTCGATATGCTGTTGAATGATGTGATCTTGATCTCTCGAGGCTCTTGCGCTGAAGCTATTCGCAAATATCCGATGTTTGACAGCATATTTCTCTGGGTCTCATTCGTAGGAAATGTTTGCTATTTCAACATAGTCATAAAACAATTCTGACTTTGAAGACAGCTTTTCATTTTTAGATGGTGCCCCATATATGTCCCTAAATGATTGTGCAGAGGCGAACGAAAGCTCGTTGGGGCAACTCGAACGATCTTGCCATAGCGGCGATCGAGTTTCTCAATCACGAAAGGCCAGTCTCCGCCTATCCATGTCATCGCATACCAGAGCTACTTGGTCATCAACGACCTACTCAGAATAGAGTATATGAGGAAGAACAAAGGATATGATAACCTGGAAGATAGCAGCCAGTTTGGGTTCAGGAGATTCGAAAGAGTGTGGAAGTAAAGGCTATAATGGACCAACATAACCAGTATATCAGTGGCTAAGGACAAGATCAGTATCTTCATCAAGTATAGCGACCATTAACAAAGATCGTAACATAACAACAACAATGCCACAGCAAAGGTTATCTTAGCTAATAAGATCTCCGCAGCCATTATTGATGCTCTTTGTTGGGTGATGATACGTAAGGACACAATCGCAGATGAAGTTCAATCAAGGAATTATGGCAGAAAGAACTTGTATGAGAAAGAAGGCTGGAAACGATGACGATAGCTAATTACACCCAAGACATGCCGTTCCCTCAAACTACGCAATCTAACCTCGACGAACATGCGAGATTATGCAGGTGGGGTGAAATACCGTATCACGAAGACCGAAAACGTTGGATCCTGTAGCAGTAATGAGCTACTATTGATGTATGAGAAACACAACCATGGTTCGTTGTCAGGTGACCATATTTGCACGACCCGAACATCCACGCAAATACTCATTACGGACATGTATCACGGAGAACAGCCGGTAGAGCACATCTTGTAATTGGTAGACATAAAAAACAGCGAAATGAAGTAATTACAAATAGGTTCATGTACTGTAGTCTGGCATTGCTCAGATTACATGTGGATCGTGCTATTTTGAACCGCGTTTTCAAAGCTTGCAAAACGAGTATCAATGCAATCAGATACCTATAAACAACTCTTAGCATCGGCAGTAGTGCAACGAAAAACAGCTACAAGCATTAATACTCGTGAAACCTAAACACGGCTAATGGAATATGTAATATACGCAGAACCCAGCCCATTAAAGCTTGCCTCGCAGCACGGTGAACAATAGACAGTATAAATGCTCGGCCCCGGCTCGGCTGGTTTCCCATTTGTTAAAGGGTTTGTTCAGTTCGATTCATTAGGGATGTTAATCTTAATTATAAATCGGACCACTCTAAAATAAAATAAAGTATAGTAGTTTGGTATAGTATCGTGCCGAGCAGCTAGTGACCGCCAGTTCGGATATACAACCCGGGAACACATAAGACAACGATGTGTATTAGCTAATAGAGAATTGCCATCTCTACCGATCTCCGCGGCATGGTTCCACGGCCATTAATTGCTATCAATGGATCTAAAGCCCATGAAATTTTGCTCTCGTAACTTGGGGCACAATCCTATACGAAGACTATCAATCGATGTTCCAAAGAATAAAACCAGGCTTCTTAGGTGGTTGATTTTCAGGTATCACAGGTTAGTCAAATGAAGATCAACAGCACCTTAGTTTTCAACATAAACTCGCTCTGCATTATATGATCATTTCATCATGTTAAAGAGGCATTTGTACACCTAATCCAGTAACGTTGCGTGGAGGAGAGTTGTTCCGTAGACATCCTTGTTGGTCCCAACGACAATCAATAAACCTTGGATGCAGCTTGAGAGTTTTATGTCTCCAGGCATAACCCAATAGCATAACTTTGAGCTCAAATCACTTTACTTTGAGGTGTGTGACACAAGCCTTAGGTGGCATCTCAATTGAAATAGCGGCTACTCCGTAGGCCACCAACAATCATGTAAAGACTGATTCCGCTTTGAATAAACTCTTTACAGTGATGTTCAGTGTCCGATGGACCTGTATAAATACAGAATTTCTTGGTTCAATGCTGCCATAGACTAGAATTCAAGTTGATGCTGTAGGGGGGATATTTTCCTCGTACTTCAATCAAACTCCCTAACTTAAGACCCCAACGTCTTAAAATTATGATGTCAATGCTTTACTCGTTCCTGTCAACTTTTTGAAATCCAGGTTTTCTTCTCTCAGGTTGGGTAACTCATCTCGTCATATAGCCGCACTACGCATGGTTAAATCCAATCATGTCTACAGGCATTGATACTTCGGGCTCGCTTGGTAAAATCTACATGACCAAACTCTTCAACGGGTTAAGTACGTTTTCAGGCTTTCCTCTTATTCTTAGTGGTACTGTTTGGCATCCAGGATTGACACGACTATCATTGCAATGATTAGTGTAGCTGTAACAATTTGCAACTGGAGGTTTTGTAGTTAGCCGCCAAATGGATCTTGATGACTGTTAGTGCTACTTGTCAACCTCAGCGACACAACACTCATTATTTAAATACTAAGCCGTAATATCCTTGGTATTTCCATCACGCTCTTGAAAACATCAATCTACAGTTAATCTCTACAAGTTTTCTTGTGGTGTAGCTCACCTCACAACGACTAGTGGTGCAATTAGAAATTGAAGTTTACTTTTGAGAGATAGTATGATCGGATTATATGCCTGAGTCTCTGATTGTGAGTACGATTGCAACTGTTGATACAATGTTCTATTCTATCTCAGTCATCTCTCCAAGCTTTATGTTCACTCCTATTAATTTAGTAATTCACCTAAGAAGACCTCTCAAATAACAGTAACAGGCGGTCTTTACTGTTGTTGTGGTGTACCATATCGCGTACCATGTTCTCAGCCTCTTTGGCTGTCGACCGATCACAGCAGCATGGAATCTTACCATGCCCAACGCGAGGTTGTGTCTGTATTCCTCAGTGTGGCAAATGTCTTGATGGCCATTATAGTCTTTATGCTGTCGATTTGAGTCATCGCTCAGCTCCAAAATCCTGAAACTGCATAAGTTTTCTCTGCTTTCACTCTTTTTTTCTTTTCTCGATACGTATCCTTTGAATACACATCATCGCAACTAATAGATAACACTAAGCACCCGAAGTGTTTGTGTGCGGCTGCCGCCAAGCGAACCTTTGTGTTGCTGTCCCTGTTGGCAAACAGGGACTACACGTAGCATGCCGTTGAACAGTCATAGGGTGCTTTCTAGCAATGAACACCGGCGCTCTATGTGCACACCCGTCCTAAGTGCTGTATCTATTCTTCTCGCCTTGTGATTTCGGTTTTGAAGCTATAGAAGCAAAGATGGCGAATTGAATAGCAACTCGATACACCTATCAGCGGCAATACACAGCCACAGAAAGAAGCATTATATGTTGTTTTGTGCATGTATCTGCATATAGCGAACTGTCGGGTTTGCTCTGCGTGCCATTGGTCACGTCATCACAGCACCATCTGTCGTCGATCATACTTCAGCGACGAGAATGCTGCTACGATAGATAGGTTGGTACCATAAGAACCGGACAGCCTCGCTCGAAACCAGCCCACAGTCCCTCCTCTCCTTTGAAGGCAAGACCCTGCAGCATTCTCAGACAACATTTTGATCTCAACCCTCCGAAAAACATGGACGGCAGCCGCTTATATTGCTAGTGGCCGATGGGAATAGCAGGCCTTCCAATGCAGTTTGTCTTTCAAACCGGTGCGACTCGTCTCCTCCCATCGGAAGAAGACGAACGATACAACAATTGGTACACATGTCCTACCATCAGCGGAGTCAAAATGCTTCTTTTGTACATTGCTGGCCTCTCGTCTGGCCAACTTGAGGTGGGACGACAGGTTCTGAGGACGAGAACGAGTGGCAGCACGGAAAGTGTTTAGCGGGGGTAGGGTAGGGGTGATGGTGGGGTTGCGGATGCTTATGAGCTTAGCGATGCTTGCGACCTGCGACAGCGAACCACTGAACAGAGCTTAGCGTTGTGGTAGTATAGCGGCCTTAAGAAAAAGGCGGCATGGGACATCACGCTGTCAAGGGCGTCTCCATTTGCCCCTCCTCGTCGCTCCCTCCGCAGTCAGCTCGGCCAACAGCATCGGTCGCATCCCCGTCGACCTGGTGAGTTCGTTCGAGACCTTCGTTTGGTTGACCAATTGAGGTTACAGGTCAAGGTGAGCCACAGTAAGAAGTAGAGAGCGGTGCTCTTGCTGTCAACTATCTCTCGTTTATCTCTATCGCGACCTCAATTGCGCTTCGCAGCCTCGGGCGGCATCGCAACTGAACCGATTCTCTGTGTCTGATCCCACGTTCCATCTGCAACAGCCTGCTGCGCTGCTCTGCAGCTCCTCTGCCGGAAACACTTTCCATCCAGCAAAGGTGTTCTGCTCCCACATGCACAATCAGCTCAGCTCCAATCAGAACTGAGAGGGGTTGCAGCTTGTCCTGCATATAGCCATTCACAGGCAACCAGCTGTTCACCCTCCGCACAGCGCCATCTCCGTCGTCCTATCTAGTACCGTGTTACTGCTTCAGGCCGACAGGAAACCCGGCAGCTCTACATTGCCCACTGCGAATTCGACACCCGTCAGGGCTGACCAAAGTGGGCCCAAGGAAAGGAACAAATGACAAACTCGCAGCATGTAGGAGGCAAGCAACGGCATAGGCGTCAACGCCAGACACGTTCCCCATCGCCTTCCGACCCCCATCGTTGGGAGCGAACACAGCAACCTGCTCTCGATTCGCTGCCCTACCGAACCCCATCCCGCGCTGCTGATGTCGATATACAGATGCCCGATAGTGCTAGCAGGAGGACAAGGCACCTCGCTTCCTCGTCCCATCGAGGCCGTCGGGCATCTGAGGACCGCGAGACCATGCCTCTACCGACGCGTTCACACAGGCCACCACCCGTCACACACCGCAGAGGCAAGGAACCGCAGGTTTACCACGATGACGACGAGTCGGACGCTTCTCCTGAGCGCCGGCCCAGGCCGAGAGTGAGACGCAGAGCGAGATCGACATCGCGGTCGACATCGGGTTCGGAGAGAGCCAGCAGCAGAAGTGAAACCGTGGTAACACCGTCCAGGTGTGCTCGCGCAAAGAACCATTCCACTCCGAATTCTAGGCGATCTTCCCGGAGCGCATCAAGCAGGCGGGCATCTAGCGTTGACTCCGCGTCTACGCTCTCCGCAGAGACACAGAGTGAAGTCAAGGAGATATTACGCCGGCCGGCCGCCGATATTCAAGTGATACCAGATGCTGAGAAGCCTGGTCGTCGGCACCATCACGGCAGAAGACACAGTGAGAGAGAGCCAGATTCATATGAAGTGGTGGCCAAGCACAGATCTAGACGTGTTGCGGCAGATGTCAGAGAGAGCAGAGATGCTCCTAGACAGCGTCACAGGCACCAGTCAGAATCCCGGAGTAGTTCTCGCAGACGTCCTCACCAATATCACGATCGTCGGGAAGAAACGATCAAGCCCTCGAGTTCGAAGCGGTGCGTCAATCCACAGGCATCAGACTCACTTGATATACTGATTTTGGAGACAGTGGCCCCAAAAAGTACTACAGATCGGACGCCTCCTACGTGGACGGGCCAAAACTGCTGAGATCCTCCAGCTCACAAGTTACCTCTTCTCACAGTGTGAGCACTTCGTCCAGGCGGTCCTCCACTGCTATCAGCAAGTTTGTCTTTGGATCGCCTAAAACTGTCAGACTGTAAGAAACGTTTCGCCTCTAACTGGAACTGCTAACTAATGCATTCGAAGTGTCGAATGTGTCGCATGCTTAGACGAAGAAGTCCAGTCTACAAAGGCAGCCAAACTGAAATGCAAGCATTACATGTGCCATTCTTGTATGAAGCGTGTTTTCAAAGTCTCCATCAAAGACCCTCAACATATGCCGCCTACATGCTGCACGGAAGATCCCATTCCAGTGAAGCATGTGGATCGGCTCTTCGACACAAGTTTCAAGAAGATGTGGAATAAGAAATTTGCTGAGTACTCGACACGCAATCGCATCTATTGCCCATCGAGGAGATGCGGCGAATGGATTAAGCCTAATCGCATCAAAAAGCTGAGGGATGGTCGGAAGATTGCTGAGTGCGGCCGCTGCCAGCAAGAAGTGTGCTGTGCCTGCAACGGAAAGTGGCATCGAGCAAAAGACTGCCCCGGAGATACGGCAACGAATGAGATCTTGGAGCAGGCCAAGGAATTCGGGTGGCAGCGCTGCTATGGTTGCAAGGAAATGGTTGAACTAAAGGAAGGATGCAACCACATGACATGGTAAGTTCAATGTATATGTTCTTGACGCCTTTGCTGATAGTCCTAGCCGCTGCGGCACAGAGTTTTGTATGATATGTGGGGCGAAATGGAAGAGCTGTGAATGTCCTTGGTTCAATTACGAAACTGTCGACAGCGATCAGCTCGGGCACATGAACAGTCCAACCCACAGCCGTACAGAACGTGATCGGCAGCCGACTCGCGAGAGCCGCGGTCACAGCAGGCGAGAACGAACCCCCAGGGCGTATGACGATGAACTTAGCTTGCGGCGGGTCCAGGAACGACGTGACGAAGAATATGCTAGACAGCTACAGTACGAAGATGACGACGACGATAATGATGACGACGACGACGACGACGATGACGATTTTACTGAGAGGTATGGTGACATCGTTGGCGTCGGGAATTCGGCGGGCCATTTCATGAATGATGACTACAGAAGAGCACCACGAGTTATACCAGCGGCGCCTTCACCACCGATGCAGGCGGTGGACAGAGCCAATGCTGGTGATTATGTGACGGGCGTCAATAAAGCACGAGGTGTACGTGCAAGTTCCATGGAGAGACGACTGGCCGATAGGTTTTCAGATACCCGACATGGAACGAGTCCTACGCACCGATCGTTCACGACGCCCATTTCTCCTCCACCACCACTTGGCATGGGCATGGCCATGGGTATGGGTATGGGTATGGGTATGAGTGGCATGAGTTCTCCGCCGCCTCCTCCGCCAATGAGCGCTCCATTCATGATGCCGCCGCGTGCACATACGATGGACGAAGACATGATGTATGGCAGCCCGGATATGTATAGTAGTCCACCAAGGTCAAGACTATCCGAACGGATCGCTCCTGGACGTGGTCGGGCTGATTACGAAGCTGAGCCCACCTCGTACACATACACAGTCCCTAGACAGCGCAGAGAGCGAGAACGAGAGCGAGAACGGGACCCTCCCAAAGACTCTGCTCTTGCCGGGCTCACAGGGCCAGGAAGTGGGATGAACCGTGTTCATGAGTGGATGAATTATGTATCGGGGGACTCAGAGAGTCGTATTTCCGCCAAGTGAGAGTGATTCGTCACACCTCCAAACGAAGGGTCTGAGTCATGGTTTTGGCTCTGGGTTACGTCTAACGAGTTATTATGATTTATGGTTCTCTTCTGGTTCTGGGTTGATTTTGCGAAATATGATGACTGACCTCAGGGTTGAATGTAAAATCAAACTAGTTTTTTTCCATGATGGTTAGCATGTCTGGGAATGTGGTGTTTCTCGATCTCGTGAGAACAGATTTGTATGTTCTGGCCCTGTTTGTACCTTAATTCTGCTCGTCCTTCGCTTCCAAGAGTAGTCTTGATCTATACTTTGAGCCCCTGAGTAAAGTGCCTTGGATTGCATGCTTAATCGTGCCTTAAAATTAGCATGTTTGCTAGTCAAAGTGCTTGTCAAATGTACCGCAAGTTTTGTTACACGTTTTTCACAACGGATTACTTGTTCGGCATTTTTGCATCAGTTTGAGCACGTTGTACAGCATGCGGTAAATCAATCCGTCTGATCATGTCCCTCGAGGCATTGAACCCCGAGGACATCTAAGTATCCCACGGGCTGCTCCAATCTACTTGAGCATTAACGTCACTTAGATATATATCTGACATGTACGCTACCGGTGGGCAAGTCCTCGAGGACTGACAGGGTCACCGTCGCCTGACGAGATGCGCTGTGGATCACTTGACATCAGCGGTGCACTAGCGCAGTGTATGACACCCGAAATCCCTAAATTCCTACAGTAGTCCTACAGATCCGTTCAGAGATGTTGATTATCAGATCAGATGCATCTGTGCTGTGCCTGCACCATAGACTCGTAATCAATTCCCGGACGCCACGGACGCCATGAGCTGGCCATTTATTCTCCTTCCCACATTGCCCAATATCCCTTCCCTAGTATAGATCTCTACTTTATTTGATATTTCATTCAGGCCATCTTTGATTCGGCTTTGTCACATTGCTCTCCATGACGATGAGGTACTAGGACCGACGTCATCTTAATCGAGTACAATCATCCCGCCGCGCAATCCAGAGATCCCTGTCAAGGCCTCTCAGTCCCCCAGAGGAAGTGTCAGGCGAAGCAGACATGCTGCTCTTACACCAGGTCGGCTCCGTCAAGATCGGCGAAGTCGTGCGCTACACAGTCACCTACACACCGTCACACGACCGCATCTTGCCCTCGCCTTCGGCCCTACACCTGCGCATTCGCAACACCTCAGCCATCGCCCTTCGTGCCGCCTTCGTTCACGGTCCTTACAGTCTCGACGTCGCCGCTTACCCTGCTAATTACGACCCGAACGAGAAGTTTGCCGACCCCCGCAAGTATGGCGTGCCCGAGTTCGAGCCCATGCTGAAAGCTGGCGGCTCTTGGACCTGCCAGTTGGTAGTACCCGAGGATATAAGAGAAAGCGCAGGGTTAGGGGCCTCAACAGGCCACTTTGGAAGTGGGCAGGAATGGGAGGAGCACAACAGCGTGACCTGGGTTGTCGAGGTGGCGAGCCAGGTCATCTTCTCCAATTCTGCCGCAGTAGGGTACGAGGTTCTGCTTGCGCGCGATGAGAAGAGTCTACAACTGGGCAACAGCAGTACTCCTGTCCTGGGCGGCAACCAGGCGCAAGTCCCACAGCCCGGAAGAGTCAGCGATCATCAACAATCTAGGGGAGCCAAAGACGGGCATCATCCGGCGCAAATGAAGGGCATCTTCTCGCGCGCTGTCACGCTCAAAGTCGAAGACACGGCGAGTTTATGGAACACACCAAAATTGCCCGGCTGGGATGAGTGGGAGCATAAGAATTATGGCAAGGGAGGACCAACGTCAACGGAAGCCGCGGGGCCACCGAAAAATGCGGATGAGGATCGGTTGAAGAAGGCAAAAGAGGCCGATCAGGTCAAAAGCGGCAAGAAGAAACCTGCGAAAGTCCATCTTGTCGTCCTTACGCATGGGCTGCATAGTAATTTGGGTGCTGATATGTTGTATATGAAGGAAATGATTGATGCAACAGCGAGACAGGCTCAAGTCGACTCAAAAGAGAGGAGGAGGAAAGAGAAGGCAGGGCGGACAGCGAAAACCAGCGACAGTCCGGCTCATGGACCTGAGGACCAGCATGCGGATAGAGGTCTAGGGCCGGAAATATCGCACGAAGAGGAAGAAGAATATGACGATGAAGAGGTTATCGTCAGGGGCTTTTCAGGAAATGCTACACGTACAGAAAGGGGTATCAAATTTCTGGGCAAGCGATTGGCACGATTCGTCCTCTCGATGACATATCCCGACCAACCATTCTTACCTACCGTCAAGACGGCGGCAGAAAGTTTAGCCAGTGCTTTCAAGACCGAGTCGGACAGGGACAAAGGGGACAAGCCAGCGCATAAGCACAGTACAATACATCTGCCGAAGCATCACGAACCAGATCGAGCATTTCAGATTACTAGTATAAGCTTTATTGGGCACTCCTTGGGCGGTCTTGTACAAACCTATGCGATAGCATACATACAGAAACACTCGCCTCAGTTTTTCGACCTCATCCGGCCAATTAACTTCATCACGCTTGCTTCCCCACTGCTTGGTCTCAGCAATGAAAACCCGCTCTACGTCAAGTTCGCTCTGGACTTTGGACTGGTGGGCAGGACGGGTCAGGATCTCGGTCTCACGTGGAGAGCTCCCACAATGGTCAGAAGCGGATGGGGCGCCCTCGTCAGTACTTTGGGTGAAAGCGCACATAAAAAGGTAATGGGAGAGGTTCAGCCTGAGTCTAAACCTCTCCTAAGAATTCTACCCACAGGGCCAGCACATGTGGCGCTAAAGAGGTTCAGGAACCGGACCTTGTACTCGAACGTAGTAAACGATGGCATTGTACCCCTGCGTACCAGTTGTCTGCTTTTTTTGGATTGGCAAGGACTTGGGCGAGTTGAGAAGGCCCGGCGTGAGGCAGGCCTGATGGAGTCTATAATTGGAGCCGGATGGGCTGAGCTGACAGGCGCGAATGTCACCTCTCCTCGCAAAGGTCAGTGGATGCCCGACGAAGTCGACCATGCGCCAGCTCTGCAGGTCCCGCCATCGCAGACAGCGAACACGTCTGGGGCAAATACTCCTCCCGAGCATGCTACAGAGGTACCTCAGCCTGCTGAGAACGCGACCATTGAGGACGATAGACAAAGCCTCAACCTTGCGAGTCCTTATCAGGAGATTTCTCAGCCACCTCCGTCGACTGCTGAAACACAGGGTTATGCAGGGACGTTGTCGGGCTTCTTCAATTACTTTAAACCAAAAGAGGCGTCACCATCCCCTGCAACGAAGTCTCCACGTCCCAGCTCATCCAAAGACTCAAAAGTCTTCAAGCGCAGCCAGACTCTCAAACTAGAGACCGAATCAGTCAATTCTAGCAAGTCAAAAGCCTCAACAGGAAATGACTTGGAGGCTGGTCAGCAGATTGGCATGACTGCCCCTCCTCGTACTACCTTCTTCGAGTCGGCTGGTGACATATTAAATCCCAAGCTGCCGCCTATGGAGTACCTTCTTGATCCGTCGAAACGCCCCCGTACAATCTTTCATGATCGGGTTTACCACCCTTCGGACATCCCTTCTCCGCCTCTCAAGAAACGGCCCACAGGAACGCTGGCAATGCGTAAGAAGTCTTCTTCGCGGATTGTATCGTCGTCAAAAACCAAATCGTCCAATCAAATCGAGCGAAATGACAGCTCATCCTCCTCACCATATCCGACGCCGAATCCCGGTGTTGCCCATCAGGATTCTACTCTCTCAACTCGGGACTACGACGACCTCCTGCATACAAGTCCTGATCATGATCCCAACCAAATCATCGATAGTTCGAACATGAGTGTAGAAGAAAAGATAGCTCGAGCTTACCACAAAGGTTTAAGCTGGCGAAAGGTGCTTGTTAAACTTGAACCGGATGCACACAATAATATCATAGTCCGCCGCAAGTTCGCCAATGCTCATGGCTGGCCCGTGGTGAAGCATCTGGTCGATGCCCACTTTAGTGATGCCGCTGCCGCGCGGATACCAGACGACAAGGAGCACAGCGAAGAGCGTGCAAAGCCAATGCATAAGGATGCTGACAAGACAGGCGCTGAGACCAATACACAAACGCAACCACAGGATCGTACCAAGATCGATGATGATGCTTCTCGAACAACAGGAGATGATAAGGTGCCCAATATCCTGCACCAGCCGCGCGATCCTGTATACACACCTTCGGAAGCTCGTGAAGCTGAAGACGCCGTATCTGAACTGCCGAACCCCAGTGCGCCATCCTTGCACAGCGCTATATCGTATGAGCCCCAAGGCTCCCCGGGGTCTCCTCCCCGTCCGAGCTATGATAGGCTTGATTCCATGACGTGGAGCGATCGAGACTGGGCCGACAGTGGGGACGAGAGTGAAGATATGGATCAACAATCCTCCTTCGGTAGTAAAGAGATGTCAAACGAAGATAAGGGCAAGGAGATCCAAAGATCTAGGAGTCCGGCATGGAATTGGACCGAAAAGATTGTGGGCAAAGGGCCTATCAAAGCAAAACAGAACCCGGACCAAGTTGATACCAACAATCTGGTCGCAGAAGGGGACACTACGCCACGGCCATAACTCGAAGGACACACCACACAGTGAGATGCAGTACATATTCTATACATAAATACATGCATAGTTCACATTCGAAAGGACCTGTTGATAATATTGTGGTACTGTATGCATTGGGTCAAAACTATGCTATTATTGTGTTTCGCTAAGTCAATATGGTTTCGTTCCCAGCAACGAGCTAGTCATCTTTGTTCGTCATGAATTTCGTTTGGAGGATAGAGAGAAAGATAAGCTCGGCATGATACCGGCTCAAAGTTGAACCATTCGGGGCTCGAAAATTCTACTGTGGTATAACTGGACGAATCAGTGCAGATTGTACAGATGTGCTAACTTATAAATAATCAAGACGATTGGCATCACATGTCGAAAAAGAGCAACCCCCCTTGAAGAAAAGAAGAAGAAAAAGGCGACGAGTTTGTCTTTTTACATGTGACAATGTTCGTGGAATTAAGATTTTAGCTCGCAGCCGATAGCGCCAACTTCTGTTCTAGTATGTATGTTATACTTCTTATTGTGGCTACTATTCGGAGATTGGAGCAGACCCGTAAATACTTCTTCCCAGGCAAGCACCAACAGTAGAAAAAATAATTGGGCTTGAAATGCAGCGCCGCTCTACATGCGGTTTGTGTTTAGATACGACTAATCAATGTAAATATTTTAGATCATCGTAGCTCGGGGTTCTACGGTTTCGGGCGCGGTAACAGTTTCCCAAGTTCTTTATGTTGCAACCACAACGTCTTCTGGTGAGACTCTTTGGCGGTTAAGGGGCTGCATTATAGCTTTGAGTAGTGTCCAAGACTTCCGCTGCATACTTCACTATCTCACGCCTCTCAGACTTTTATCGATCGTCTGCAGTACGGAATGATACTTTGGGTATCCTAAGTGTACTAACAACAAACCCAATCCCCGCAAATTGATGAAGGACTGAAGCTTGTCGCGGCAATTGAGGCCAGGGGCGTCTTTCTATCATCTCAGGGGAAATCAATTGTAAAAATGTTTACATTTTATCTTCGGATATTGTGCTCCATACTTTTGCAACTTGTAAGTACATGAAATCGTCAAGACCACGACAGCGGACCGGTAGGAGAGCTGTGAGTTGGTGGATCGAGATCTGTGAACTGTGACGCAAGAACGCATTCCTCCGGAGGAGCAACTCCTGGCTCGGCTACTGGGACGGAGCATATGAATACACCGCCAGTGGCTAGCAATGATGGGGCGAAGATCTCCAAATTGATACGCGAAGAAAACCAATGACTTTTTGACTTTGTTGAGGCAGAGCTGCTTTCAGGACTCCTCCCTGTCCACACATGAATCAACCTTGACGTGACCATAAATTGCTTGCTGCTCTTTCGGCACCTGTGCAGATTGGAATCGACATGGTTGTAAAGTAGAGTTACATCTGCTGCCCCTACATCTAAAAGGTCTCACCAAGAGACTTGACACGAGCTCTTTCGTGACGAATGAGGTCTCATCTACCAGAGACCGTTGAGTGAGTGGGAATTCCTCGACGGGGAATCTCAGGGGATGAACTCTAAGCACGATTCGATCACTTCTACGGTATGCTCTGCCACGGGCTCTCGCGCGGAGCCCGGTCGGCTCTTCTGCGATGATATCGGCCCCTCTTTATGATCCTCGCCGTCAATCTGATGCATAGGTTCACGGACTATAGCACGGGCAGTCTGTTGAGTAACCCACGCCGGCGGGCACCTAAGTTCCATTGCATAAACTCGGCAGTATCAACGGGCCGAAGTGCCAGCACGAAACAGTACGCTTGTCAAGATCACGAAGCTATCCATCCGCTATGATGAGAACAGCTAGGCAAAAGTGTAATGCAAATCATCCAGTCGTTCCGGCCAGATAAGAAAGATTACACAGCCCCGACATGGCCTTGAGCATGACACCATGGTGGTGCGATGTCGCGTTCATTGCCGCCAACATAAGTGTAAGTGTGGGTGTGGGAGAAATGAAAAATGTTGGAGTACATATGTAGGATTCAGTTGCCTACGTAGATCCAGCAGTTATACAGCGGTGAGGTCGGAGATCGGGTCGCGTAGCGTGGCAGGGCCAGGATACTCAGGCCTGGTAGACCTTGACCGAGTCCAACTCGTGCGACGCGGATGTTAGGACCTCGCATTCCGCCGGGCGATGGGTGTGGTAGAAACCATTTACGGTCAAAGTCTGGGGTAAGGGTGATGTAACGGTAGGCGGGTTCAGCGGGAAGTTGACCATTTTGAGCTGCAGCAAGACGATGTAACGGACCTTGTGCCTACCAACAACTCTGTCAATTATCATGCAAATCGATCTGGCCTTTGAGGAATGCACAGAGGACTCAACCCGTAAACCTGTCCAGGCACAACCAAGTTGGCTTTGTTACACAACAGCTCCCGAAACCTAGGAGACTTAATGGGTGTACACGATGCAGCTCATTTAAATAAGGTGTGAGGAGATGATGCGACTTTAACAGGCTTCCCCTCATGCTGCATTTGTTCAATTGCAGCAACTTAATATTCAGCAGCCGTTATGATTTAGGTGCGCCATGTGAGACACATTGCGGCTCTTGAACGACAATGCTTATGCTACGCTCGATGGTATCATGTAGACCAGGAAGCAACGAGAAAATACACTTGATGCGTTCATTGGCATTGATTTGTGCATTGCAGCATACGGCCATGAAGCACTTCTGCTTCGGAACAACATAATCAAAGAGAAACGGGGCGATTGTCGGAATGAAATCTGGCCTCCATATGCTGCACTCTGCCCAATTGAGAAAGCTTACCAGGTCGTCCTGTATGTTTATGTGAACTGGCATGATCAAGGGCTCAAGCTGGTGAAAACATGGTCGGGCATGCCCATTCGGTATTGCAATAGGCGGAGAGTTCTATTGTCAGACCGAGAGTTATGACATAGAGTGCCCTGAGCCTAAACTCATATGCCTCTACTGTATGATTAGATCAGGAAGTATATTCAGCATGCAGCGAAGCGGGTGGGATATCTCCGAAAGTCAGTAACAACCGTTGGACGTTATCTGCTGAAACCAAGTATAGCGATTGCCTACTTGGCTGCAGTCGGTACCACCATCCAAAGGGTCTATTTCCACGACCCACGAGAATTGGAAGATCTCATGAACGGCCCAGCCCTGTCGGATAGCTGCTGGATATCCCAGAGATGTGATTTGTGGGAAATTTCGAGCACATTCGGGCGCTGCCGTATCAGACCCTTATTTGGCAGGGGTAACTCGGGGGAAAGGCTACTAAGTATCTAGAAGCAGAAGGCTTGATGTCATTCCGAATCCCTTCATTCCTGTTTAGAGCTAAAATAATTGGAGATGCTTGGTCTAGGCTTGTAAGGTTTTGGAGTATCCTAGCACTAGTCAAAACCATGATAGGAGAAGTCTAGGATCATGGGGTTTTACCATGTACTTTCTGGTAAGCTTATCAAGCGACCATTTTATCCGCGCGCCTGTCGACCAGGGCCGCAATGTTCAGTCCAGACATGTGAGATCGCAATTCGCTGCCAATTGGCCGCTTGCAACAGCAATTTTTATTTTACTGTGGTATTTTATTATTGTTAGTTAGAGGCACGCCCAAGAGACTGCAGATCCCAACAGACCAGATCGCTTGCCAGCATACGTGAATCCAGGATACAGTCCACGTTCGCAGGGGAACGTATATCCTGAATACACTAGGGGGTTGTTGATCAAGGCCCCCGTATTATGTTTTAGCAGAGCCAATGTGGCCATTCAATTCAGGGGTGACTTCCGGCGTATAACATTACAGGTCACAACTGAACTGATAACAACATCTTAGTGCTCTGGGATGCCGGATGGCGTGGCATTATCAACTAGGTTGACTGCAGCCCTTTCTATGCTCTATCATTCCCATCCGATGCAAGTACAGAATGAGATAGACATGCTGAATAACTCCGGCCTCCTGCAGCAAGCTTGGTAATGCGACTTGTTATGGCATATAGCCCTTGAGCAGGATAGGCTATTTGTAACTTTCCGATCCGGTAGGCTCGGGTGGTCCCAGACAACCATTGGTATCAAAACCCAACATCGTCCTAGCGCGGGAAGTAGTTTGATAGGCATGGTAGCTTCTCTAATTGGTCTCCTCAGACTTGAAGACGAGACGACTGCCCCATGACCTCTGAGCACTTGCGCCACGAGATTATTTAATAAGACACCGTCTAGTTGAGGTACTAAGATGATTGTCTTGAGCCTATCTGCACTTGAGATAAATGGCAATATCCAGGCTAGACCGAGAACTTCGTGCCTGCTTTGAAAAGTGGCCCAAGATAGAGGTGGTCTCGCAATGTCTTCATCTATCCCGAACATGTAAGCTTGAGATCTTCGTTTTTACCGACATATTGCCTGGACCCTTATGCAAGCGAGCTTACGCGAGTCCTTCACCGCGCAATATAGACTTACAGTTAGCAATGTATAGATATGCATTACCTAGGATCAGTGCGACTTTATCGCTGCCAATTCCAAGCAGTACCCCTTGAAGTGGTAGCCAGTAAGCCACCGTGTTTTGTATCCGGCTTATGCAGCAGGAAACAACTGATGGAGGCGCCATCCAGGGTAGTTCATTGATGGACGAGTCTCATCTGCGTGATTGAGACACCCGTAGATCCTTCGACACATCCAACAGGGAGTTATTTTGTATTACATCAACTGTCAGAGGATGCCAATCTCACTTGAGGCGCTTCAGTTCAAGTTTCCGGACTCCGCACGCCACCGGGCCCTGGAACCGAAATGCCGGCGGGGAATGAATTCTCTTCGTCATTGGTTATTGATGAATTCTCGCAGCTCGACCAAGCTACACAGCCTTAGTCATCACCGGACGTAAATGCATTTCCTCACCTTGAAGATAAGCAGGCGTGCGGAGTGGTAGGGATATGACGGATGAAGAACTGGTGTTGCGGCGGCGAATAGCCCGAGGGGCCTGGCGATATGGGGCTCACAATTAGCCGCTCCAAACTGCGTGCGACGCAAGCTCTTAGCGACAATGAGCCTGAACAGTCTAGACTCTGGAAATTGTCTCCATATGACAGTATCATAGTCTTAATACCTGGAATTATAGCTGGATGCTATGAGTCTCGCTCGTTTCTGGAAGGTGCAAAAGCATCAAGGTACCACCAACCAACATCAATCTGTACGCTCAGCAGAATGGTGCAATCACGTCCCCACGGGGCCAGACGAAAGTGAAGAGCTGGGTATTTGTGGGGTACCTTCTCGATGCTACAAACTTGACACCACAGCAACTGGGTAGCCCCAGAGAAAAGGAAAACCCGGGGCGGCGTGGGGGCCTAGAGTGCCGGAAGCCAATAAACCTTGTAGCGTATCCCTCCTGTCAGAATCCGTCCCAATCAGCTCATTCTCAGCAGCACCAACACCATGGAACACCACCAGGGTTCTCCCGCAATTGGTGTACTGGTCTCTAAGCGATTTGTGACATATCGGTTTCTCAAATAACTTTCAGTACCAAGTATGAAGTCCCACAAGTCAAACAGCAATAACAACAACTCAAGCATTGCTTTTCAACACCATCCCTCCATCTCTGACGCGTTGCTGAAGAATAAAATCATTGACATCTCGGCATTCACAAGTAGGGCGAGGCACCCCAGGTGGATGTCGCCTATGCTGTGAGGCTTGGTTTGACTTGGTCACGAGCATGTATCAGCTGAAAATTCACTGATGCCGTGATCTTCATTTCCCCCACGAGACATGCTTACGGTGTGGTGCACTTCCTTCTGAGCCAAGCTCATCCCCAGCTTTGTCATGCTTTGGTATATACAGACATTTTATTATTGGTTTCATGGCATGAGGACTAGGCAAATCGGGCAGTCAAACCCCATCTTCCCAGCTCCAAGCATCCTTAGAAAGCAATACCGGTTGTCGTATTATCAACATATTATGACGAATCAGCCTATCTTGTTGGTGCTGTTTGCACATTCCCTGTTCATACCCCACACGCACTCATCCAAAGAGAACGAGGAGGCAAGATCTCTGGCTTGGTAGATACTGTACTATGGTATGGTTGTCACTTCATATCGTGACGCATGTGCATCACAGTTTTCCCAACCATTTCGATAGGGTCACAATACTCAGGAGGATGACGGTCCAGCTTCCCTAGAGAACTTGCGGTGAAGCCCTAATTTGGATTTACGTACACTTTGCTCGGCCATGTTCTCAACATGAAAACGTCGTGCCATCATACACTGATTTTACTCGGCGCTATTTGCGATCGCGCATTTAACACCAGTGACCAGCCCAACCAACCATGGTCTACCTGTCACTGCATTTTCCTAGTTTCCGCGTTTCCCGAACCACCACAAAAACGTCGCCGCGGGGTCTGATATGTAGACTATAACCGATCTATCATCGAATGAGGTCATGCGATCGTTTGAGTTTCAAGTAATGCCTTGCTTGGCCGCAATTCATCACAGGCAAGAAAAGAGGCATCCATTCGTACAACGTAATAGAGACCCCTCTCGCATGTACTGTGTATCTGACCGAGTGGCTGTAATCGCCCGTTAAACGTGCACAGCAGCACCTCTGTTCCTTGTCAATGTCCGTCAAATGGACGTACGAAGACGGGGGCGGCTGTGCCTAGACCCCAAACGCATCTTTGGTCCTATTTTATATGCCTAAATCGAGCAAGTCCCCAGGCGGTGACTACCAATGCCAGGCACACCCTAGGATCAGAATCCTTCATACCCCGTGTTCCTGTAAGACTCCAAAAGAGAGAAGTGCAGTTCGCCTGTCTGACTGGTTTATCACGATTCTGCACGGCGTATTTGCATGTCATCTGGGGCAGGGGTGCTGTGGCGGCTGAATCCCAAGTACCAGAAATCCCAGGCCACCCAAGAACACCCGTTCGGTGACCATGATATTTCCAACCTCCAAGTTGGAAGCTCGTTCTTTTTTGGATCCTTGGACATGTGCAAGGAAGGGCAATTTGGATTACGGCGAAGCCCCGCAATTTACAAAACAATGCTTGTCCTTGACCATGAAATCACTCGCATATTCGATGTCACTGATCTCGATTCTCATAGGGCACCGTCGATGGGTAGGCAAAACTCTATCATCGTGGAAAGTTCTAGGGTAATATTCCGAGCAGGCACATACAGTAGAATAGAGGAAAAGGCCGCTAATAGTAGGAAAAAGTAAAATTAAATACATCAAAAAAATGATGAAACCTCAACAAGCACCACGCACTTGTTCTGCCTTGGCATATGCTTTTGCCTTCGTCACTAAAATCGCCGGCATCATATTGTCAAGGGCTTTCCATTGTCTAGACGCACCCAAATATTTGTTTCAAACCTGCAGCCTGGGGCAAAGCTGGGGGGGGGGGAGCGGAGGGGGGCAGTGGGGAAGCGGAATCTTCACCTAGGTTTCGCTGGGTGATCACGTCAGCTGCTCAGCTCCGTCGACATCCTCCGCCCTGATATTGACGACCCCCAAACTTGAAAGGGGGAAAAAGAGACCTAAAAAGATGATAACGCGTGTCAAAGAATCTGTGGTTGGAAGGGTGGGCTGAGCGCATTCCAAGAGAGCCCTTTTTACTAGGGTCGTGTTTGTCAGACCTCCTCACCGTTCCCGTTGCTTTCACCCATCATGCCACGGCTTATTACAGACAGCAGCATTCGATGGCCAACGAGAGACGGCCAGTGACTTCCCTACATGTATCTTTAAACATGGGTTTTTAGACACAGGCCGGGGAAGTCCGGAGCGCCTGCGGGTTAGCCAGGGCTTCACATGTTGTGGTTTTTCCTTGCAAGTAGTTTCCAATCTACACAAACAGCAAACGGCTGCCTCTTGTTTTCTGGGTTGCTTTGGGGGGAGGGTTTCTTCTTCTTGGCTTTTTCGGTAGGAAGCCAAGAACTTGCTTGACCCATGGATTACATTAATCAGGATTACCGGTAAGACACGTTGAATGAATACAGTACATCATGGCGGGGCGGGCTGTGCAGTGGCCCGAGGCATGTGCATGACTTTATGTATCGTCAATTGAATGTTTTCAACGAAGAAGTATTTCGAGGCGGTCAAACCATCGATGAATATAGAGCGTGTGTGCGTTCTTGAACGGATCGTCATATCCCAACTCTGAACCTAGTCTTATGGACGCTTCGTCGCGTCTTTCTTTTTGTGCGGGGTAATATTGAATTCGAATATGCTCGTACCCGAAACCAGGGGAAAACCCGGGGTTACCTTAATTTGCGCAGTTCGATATCAAAAAGATCTCCAGACACGGTTAGCAATGCGGCACGGCTGAGGAAAGGAGTCCCGCGCAAGGGTTCTCTGTCGTGATAGGCTTCTGGTATGCCGAAATTCAAATATCGGCACCAGGGGGAGGATATCTTTGGTAGGTGAGAAGGGATCAAGTATTCTTCATTCCAAATACCATACAGTGTTTATTGCAATAGGCCAATTTATGCCACTGCTGTAACGCCTTAAAGACCTGGCGAGATTTATTCTCAACCAAAAGCAAATCGCTGATCGCCTGAACCCAAAAGTCCCTAGTTTCCTCATTGCAGGGCACTGTCTATACAACTCGCCAAGAATCCTTGCCACCATGCAGTGTGGCAGATATTGAACAACAAATGAAAACCCAGTGTTATAAGTATAGGTGGTATTGACTTTTTTTTCTTGTTCCCAGGTCCTAAGATGCCCGAAGAAAAATATTCGTAAATCCAACGTAAGAGGAGATCTAATTCCGTCGAGGGGTGTTAAAGTCTATACATCGTCCGCCATGTTGAGGTCGAGTCTGCCCATCATGGTTTCGCAGATCCGCAGAATATTAGAAGTGGAATTGAATCCGACTTATATGCTTCCGTAACGCCGCCTTCTCTTTCTATTTGTCCGTCTAAAAACCACATCATCATTCATATCGTGAAAGGAGAATTCGAATGGTCGGGGGGGTACTACATCCGATCCATGAGATCTCCACCTGCGAGACTCGCAGTTGTCGAGCTTCGCCCGCTGCTGCTGAAACCATCGTTAGGAGCTAGCAGATCTTGAACAGCAACCTTCGGTACTTGAGGAACCGGCAACTTCCTGCTACCATCTGGCCTGGTGATAATGTCCGTCAACGATAGACCAATACGAGGAGCAGGGCTTGTGGCTTGCTGAGACTGCTGGTAGGCCGGCCGTTCATCACCAAAATGCGGCTCCATTGGCGCCAAGGCCGGCGTGTGGCCCAGGGTCAGGTTTCGTAGCGTCGGCAGCTCAATACCAGCGTAGGGTCGCAGCCTCGGTGAATGCGCAGGAGTGGCCAGTGGTGTATGATCAGGAGTAGGAGATAGTGAATCGTGAGAGAAGGTCGGTGAAGACGGAGCAGTAGAGTTGGGCGAGTTTGGCCTCGACTTCTTTGCGTGCCTCAAAGGGTGGCTATAATGATCATCGTGGTCCTCGTTTGAGTGAGATCTCGACATGTGATACGAAGCCAGAGAAGGAAGGTGGCCACGAGAATTGTGCTGGCTGTGGGAATAGTATGGGTGATGTCTTGCACCATGATGGTGCGAAGTAATATGGTCTCGCTCTACTTGCTTCGCAGCGCTCGCAAGTACGCCGATGTCCATGGTGTGGGCAGATCCCAGCGGACTGCCCATATTCCTCCCGTAGTGGAGAGGGCCCTGCGGTAAGGTATACTGAGAGTAAGAGTGAGGTGGTGAAACGTTGGGCGAGACCAGCGTCGAGTTAGGAGCACTCTTGATAGATCTGGGACCGGCTGGCGGAGGCATCATTGAGTCAGGCGCCAAAGCTGAGCCCATATGATGATGCGACGCTTGAGGGTTCTTGTTCCCTCTCCGCGAGTTGGGATTGTTGTGTATCCTCGAGTGCCGGGTGAGCTCATCAGAACGAGAGAACTTCTTGCTGCAACCGGGAAACTGGCATGCATGTGGTTTTTCACCAGTGTGAGTTCTGATGTGTCTCGTCTGATGCTCCAAACGGTGGAATGCCTTATCGCAGAGCGGACACTTGTATGGTCGCGGCAGCTCACTGGGGTTTTCTTGTGGCTGGCCGCCTGGCAGGGGCCCGTTAGGGCGAATAACGCTGACAGTTGCCATATCTACGTCGCCGTCGTGGTCAACAACCAGACCTGCAGGATTACTGGCAGCGTTGAGTTGTGGTACGGAAGTTGGTGCAGCTTCGGGGTTCAGCAGGTTGGAAAAATCCACCGCCGACTGTGAGCGTTGCATGTGATCGCCAGCCAGAGGGGCACCCGTTTCCTTGTCGAAAATAATGATGTCCCCAAGGTACTAGTGGCGATGAGGTATAAGGAGATGCTCCCTTGTGAAAACAAGACCTGGCTCTGTGAAAGATCGCTTCTCAAGTTCTGCCAAGTCTCTAGATAATAAGCCAGTAGATCCTCTTCTCCACTGGTGTCGTGATATGTTGCTATTGTTTGTTGGCGAGTGTCGTCGAGTGTGTGGCGGAAAGTCGTTCTGGTGATTGTATTTGGGGTACAGCAGAATTTAGAGAGAAATCTTTTGGGGTGGGAGGGGGGATCAATGCAATGGTTTTAAATGAACCGGGCGAGCGAGTCGGGGAGGCTGTCCACAGTGGACTGAGCAAAGGAAGTACCTGGAGGGAGGCACCCCGACCGAGCACGCCAGAGGCCCCAAAATACACTACCTACGACGTACAATGACCCCCAAAAAAGATATCTGCTACTAGTGGCACTGGGAGGTCTGATCCTGGCAGACAGGGCGGATCCGGAACGAAGGGGTGGGTGTTGGGCGCGCTTGGTGAAATGCGAAATGTGTGGGCGGGTTGGCGGGTGGAGGTGCGTGGGCATCTTGTACATACACAAGCCTGGGGGAGCCACTGGGGAGCCACTGGGGAGCCACTGGGGAGCTGGTACAGGGCCCGACGTGGAGGGTCTCAGCAGGGAACGCGGAGGACTTGAAATATGTAAATTCCAAAGAAGGTACTGTTTTAGGATTAGGCACTCTGCACTACTTTTTCTTGGGGCGTGGGGAGTGCGTTGAGCATGACTTGCAGGAGTGCGACAAAAGTGCGTGTCGAGGTCATTGGGTGTCTTTGATTTCCGAGCATGTGTTCACTTTACCTTGAGAGTCAAGGCAGGAAGGATAGGAAGTAAAAGCGTTCCTGGCCATTAGTCGATGTGAGGCCTATAGCCTTGGCCATTCAACAACTCGTCACACACAACTCGAATCACCAAATGCCTTACCTATGTGCTCTATGTGCTCCATGCGAAGGATTCAACTGTATCTCTATATACAGGCACACAGGGGCAGGCGAGAAGCTACACAAGAACTAATCGAGGAAACTCTGGTGGCTCTTGACTATAACTCATTCATTTCATTGTGCTGCGACAAGTTCTATTTCTGTTTTTGGTCAATTAGAGAATCCGGTGCTCGTGTAAGGCGTCAAGACTTTGGCGGTGTGTTGTGGCTGAGTTTGACAATTGCTTGTCTCTTGCGTGAAACAAAGCACGACACTCTTGCGCATGCTTACTGTTGGTGAATTTCTACTCTCGCCTCCCCGCGCCAGAATCAATTTTTCTTTCTCCTTGGCACGAGCGCCCACTGATCTGAATCGTTGCCAATCTCCCGAAGCAACTCGCCTTTGAAAATAGTGAGTATGCTATGTCATCTCCCGGCCGTTCTGTGGAGTAGCAGGGAAGTTTGGACGAAAAACCACCACCAGTTTTGGACTGGCGGGGAAGACCGTCCCAGTGCTCGGCGAAATACCACGAGTCAGACCACTGAACAAATGGCCTCTGTCGGCATTCTGGAAAGCGACTAGAAGATGAAGAACTTGCGCATGCATCACAGCGGTTTTTATTTTATTTTATTTTAGGTCTATAGTGCATCAGCTCGTGTGATAAACCCCCCTGCGGCTCTTGTGTTTCGTCCTTACCCTTCATATCTCTATCAACGCTCAAAACCTGGAGGTGCCTCATTCCGACAAATCGCGATATGGGGAAGTGTGGGGCTGAATCTGGAGGAGAGCGGGCGTGTCGTTAGAAGATAAGAGCCGTCAATGCCGAGTGCGGTAGTAGAGATCAAACTTGGTGGGGTGCGGGATCACACTACGGACTGAGGGCGGAATCCAGAGCGCGGTGACAAGAAGGTCCGCTGTCTCAATTCATGTGCTCGATCGTGTCTCAATCGAGCTCACGATGTTTTGTTCTGCTAAAATTCGACCCGGCGGTTGAAACGCGATAAAGTGACATTTCCATGAGAGTTGCATGAACTGATAAGCAATTATCGAACTCTCCACTACTGTAAATTGATGCACACTGAGGACAAACCATGGTCTTGCTCACCTCATCTGTGACGGATTACGGGAAGGCCGATAGGAGCTGTGATTGTTCAGAAAATAATATCATCCATATCTACGTCTGACCTCATCATCGATCCGCGAGAGCGATCCTCGATGCAATGCCCGATACGTTATGAGCCTGGGGGAGAAACGACAACATGAACCAGCTTTCTATCCTATCACGACCAGCGAAAGCTTCCCCCACAGAACTTATCTGGCACGTTAGCTTCGCCCCGGATTCGTCACAGCGTTAACCGCTCCGCCCCAAAGGCAAGTGCCAGTCATAAATTTTGCCCCTGATACGTGTTTGTTCCTTATCATCTCGCCGTCCGAGCTAGCATAGCTCGAGTCAGAATGTACATAAGTAGGCAGACCAGTAACGTCAACCAAGAAGCCTGATCTCATGCTTAGCTCGAGATCCATGGCTTGAAAACCCGTCTTAGTCAGCGACTCAAATGCCAATTCATGTCAAAGTAGTTATTGTATCGATGGTCAAGCTTGTACAGGTACTATCATCGAGCAAGGATCAGCGCAAATATCAGCCGACTTACAGTTTAAATTAAATCAATGTCCATACGTTGTTGAACCTCGGATATGCTTGGGGAAAAAAAGCATCGTAAGATCACCGAACCGAATATACATGTGTTGTGGGTGCCAAGGTTGTCCCGCTCTGGAGAACGTGGGGGGATTCCTCCGGGGCTCCAAAATTGGCTTTCGTCATTTCTCAGGGGAGATCACGACATAAACTATGTATGCACAACGCCAACTATATGGGAAACCCGCAAAACATATTTTTCATCGTGAAGTGATTTTAGGCTTAGGTTTTTGAATCGAGACAATAGGGATTAGTCGATGTAAGTGTTGAGAAGTGTGAGCATTCTACAAATGAACATATCCTGAAGTAGTTAGGGAATCTTTCCCCACGATACCTAACCGTGGAAAGGAATGACTTTCTTTCCGTAAGTCCGGGGAAAGTCTATCATGCCAGATTTGAAACCAGGCACGGATCGTTCGAGTGCAAGAAGTAGTTTCTCTCACAAACACACAGAAGTCTCTCAAACCGGCAAGTAGATCCTAACGCCCCATACATAAGACTTTAACACAACAACTAAACGTCCTAGCAACGAAGATCGTCTGGTAAAAAGCTCGATTCTGATCAACGATCTTGCCTTTCTCGCCGCATTTGGAAGACTTTTCTCACTATTCTCTAGTGTCGATAGTACTTCACAGCACTGTGGGGGACGATGATGACAACAATGGAACTTCTGACTCTAGGTTTAAAAGTTTGTGCCTTTTCAATTTCGTTATGTAATCTTGACAGTAATTTCCTGGTGTCCACGGTGTTCCTTGTGCTACGTTGAAGAACGGTATCGTGCGCTCAGGTGGACGAATAATCGGATGTTTACCTCATGTGAAACGTGAAAAATAAGATGTGTGGCAGCATGAATTCTCGTTTTCTCTCGCCAGGGTCTGGTACGATTGACGGTCTCATACGAACTGTGGCATGCTGCACTCATTGCAACATACAGACAAAATCCCTACTCGTGGAATGACAACCATGAGTTGGTTGCTCCTGGTATCGTAGAGGTAAATCGAAGTTCCGGAGGCTAGATCCCGATACGCATAGATCAAACGTTACCGATGTGACCCCGGATTATGGGATGTAATAATGGGGTACAAGCCTTCTTTCTTTGAATTACCAGTAGTCAGAATCTTGTAGTCTTTTATTACTTGTGTGGAGGATTGTCATGCATAGTCTCCCTATTTCGTCGATCACCCTGGGGTTAATACTTTCTGCTTTGGCCTATCTATCTAATGATCTACCTGGCGTGCGGCCAGGCCCAAGCTCAGGTTCATTCCAACCACCAAAGGACGCCAATGTAGTGTATATAATAGTTATCGCGCTCATTTGGATATGGAGTGTAGTTGGGAGAGGGCGGGGAAACTTCGATCTTAATCGAACAGAATGAAGCCACATCCATTTACTTCCGCAATCCATTTCCCCAGGTTGTGAATATTCGAATATTCGTACCATGCGCCTAGGGTCCAGAAGGCTTGGCTTTACTGTGACCCTTGCAAATATGGTGCCAGGGCATCCTATGTTTGCATTGCAAAATCATGAATATAGCCTTGACCCCGCCTTGATGATTGAGTCAGCTTTTCCCACGCTATCAACTTTCTGCTGGTGACGGATAAGACTTTTACCATTTGAGTCTAATACACACAAATGTACTCCAAAGCCACTTGAAATACCCATCCACAGATAACCGGGACCATGTGACAGTTGTACAACAAGAACCTCAAATGGCCAGGTCTTCCTAGTGATTATGGCGATCTCCTCGCGCAATGATCTCCAGCTATTTGTGGGGACCTCGTGGGGATAGATCGCATTGGGTTCTAATGATGAGATTCCAGACCTCGGTGCCTCGTTGGTTTGCTTTGTTTAATGGAAGCTGGATCTGACGCCTTATCGCGACAAGCGTTTGTTCGTCAGGATATCCTGCGGAGATTGGACCAGGGTAGTACGAGCTGATGCCCCCGGACCCCAGCTTTCAGGGCTTGCAAAAGCTTTCTCATTTTCTATCACGCGCGCCGAGTTTACCCGAGGTGCTGTCTCCAGACTTTCGGAAACGTGCAATGCCCGGAACCGGAAATTTGTTCGCTGTGATTGAGGGTCAGGGTGAATTATATTAGATAATCACTTGTGAGGTTGTTACTGTATTTTCTTTCATTGCAGATAACAAGAAAAGGTTGACAAGTATGAATCATTTGTGCAACAAGCAACTAAGGGTTCGGAAATAACCGAGTCAGTAGCTGGACGATCAGTGTTCCCAAGTTGGAGGCAAGGTGACGGATAGGCGATTCCCCACGGCACCTTAAGTCAGGAGGCTGTCCCTTCTCGCCGAAA